AAATATGGTAACTGTATCTGTATCTAGATAGATTTATGATTAAATAATCTGTATCTAGATATTATTTTAGACGTTGTATCTGTATCAAGATCCACGTAAAAAGTATCTTTTAACAACTCTGGAAATATTAGATAATGATAATGAACACAAGGAATTTTGAGATAAATTTTCATTTGAAGTAACTTTTTTTTGATGTGAAACAGCTTTTTAATGGATCTTTTGCTGTTGTTTAGTTTAATGAATTGTGTCATATTAACATTTAGATCCATTATATCTTTTATTGTTTAATAATACCGTAAGGACTTGTATTTTGTATATTGTTTTCCTTTATATGTTATCGTGAGCTAAATTGTTATCGGAGTTCCTTATTATGTGGGCTAAGAACTGGATCCGGCGTTTTTTTAGGGCGATATTTATTGGCGTGTGAATTGACTTTTTCCAAAGATCAGAGTTGGATATAACTCTGGGATAAAAAAATGCCGTTTATTGTACGTAGACAATTATTAATAAATGATTGTAGACGCCTTATTTCTGTTTTATTAGCCTCCCAAATATCGCCTCCATATAATACGATAGGAACTATCATCGAATTAAATATCCTCAATCTTAGTAAATACCAAGATTTTTCTAGCTTTCCATATTTTTCATATATTTATAAAACGCTCCTCTAGCTTTTTGTATTCTCATCCTCATCTCTTCTTTGCAACTTCCTTTATTAACTAAAATTACTCCCAAGTACTTTATTTTCTCCACGATTTTTACTACGTTCTTTCCCACTGTAAGATTTTGGATCGGTGGCGCATTTGGGGAGGGGAGGATAACAGTTTTGTTGAAGTTAATCCCAAGTCCTACTCTATGGCTCACGGTCTCTATTAGATAGAGAAGACTTTTGGTTTCTTCGATACTCTTGCCACAATATCGTCCGCATAGGATATTATTCTATTTACAAAAAATATCTTCTCATTTGACTCTAAATCAACTAGATCAGCCGCTCCTAGTACATCTTTTATAATTTTATATAGATAATTACATTAAAAAGGAAAGTGTGAGAGGGTGCAACCTTGTTTTACACCTTTTTTTTATCCTAAACAAGAGAAGTTATCATTAATTTTAAAGCAAGCAAGTGAATTGGAATAGTGATTTTTTAAGAGATGATGATTATTTGAGGTTCGATACCGCATTCTGCTAGCGTCTCCCAAAGAGTTCAGGTTAACGTTGTCGAAAGCTCTGCTAAAATCAATGAATGTGTAGAAATAGGATATCTTGTATTTGTGGCATTTCTGCATCGTTATTTTTAAGGATAATATTGGTTCCAATATATTTTTGTTAGGTCTATAAGCGCAAATGTGTTTAGGAAAAAGAAGGGGCGTTAGATTGTATAATTTTGTTTTTAACTAGCACCATAAATATTTTGGATACACAGGATTTAAGTGCGACAGCGCGATAATCAGTAAATTTTCGTGGGTTTTCGGTTTTGGGGAAGCTACTTAAGAAGGACATGTTCCATTCTGCTGGGGTGTTACCGCTATCCCATATTTTGTTGAAAAGGACTAGAAGGAAGAGGTCCTTCCTAGGTGCAATCTTTAAGCACTCGGCTGTAATGTCGTCAAGCCCAGGAGCTTTGTTACTATGCATTTTTTTTATTACACTCATTATTTCACTTACGGAGAAACCAGACTGGGGTGAAACGATATTAGTAGCGTTATTATTAAAAACTTATGAATAGATGATAAAAATTTTAAAGAAAGTGTAAGATGATTAATGTAGAGACAATTGAATAAAAATTTTTATATAATTATTTCCTAAATAATTATTCTAGTACAGTTTTAATATTTTCATTACTAAATTGGGTGTAAATATTTTTTTTAAACAAATTAATTATATATTGTGATAATTCTCAACGCTTATAATAAAAAAAATCAACACTCAGTATCTTTTTATATTTTTCAACACAATAAACGATCAACACTTATATCTTTATATCTATCTTTCAACACAATTTCCTTATTCAAAATATCTTACTTTAATCCTTTTTTTTAAACGGATATTTCTCACTTTTTTAAATTTCTCGAATATTATTTTTTTTTTTGTGTTTCTACAAATTTCTTTTTTTTCTTTTTTAAAATTCTTTATTAATTTTTATTTTTTTTCAAAAATTTAATCAAAAAAATATAATGAATTAAAAACAAAAATTCTCTTTTTTCAACAACTTTAAAAAAAAAAATATAATAATAATAATTTTAATATAGTAGTATAAAATTCCTTTATTTTCAATTTTCATATAATAAATAATATAAAGTATTAAAAAAAACGAAAATATAATATTTTATGTTTTAATATATTTAAAAATGTTTGAAAAATCTATATATATAATCACCGTGATCAAGAAATGAACGTTTACGTATATCCTTAATGTTAATTTTTATTTTTATCATTAACTTTCCTATCTTCTTAATGTTAAATAAATCGATGGAGACTATAACTCTCTAATGTTAAATTTTAAGAATTTTAAGAAAATTTTTTATATTTTTATATGTAACGGGATTCGAACCCTTGACTTAACGATTCAACCATCTTCTATATTTTGTAATATAATCTTTCTTATATACTTTATTATTTTGATATTATTTTATATTTTTATTGGCTAATTATCTTTATTTTTATTGGTTTATTAAGGTCTTATTTCATTGGTTTAAATTTATTTTCTATCTATTTTATTGGTTGTAATTTATTTTCTTTGTTTTTAATTAATAACATTTTTAATTATCGATCTTTTTTTAATTAATGATTTTTAAATATGGAAATATTTTGAATTAAATCTACTCAACACTATAGATGATAAAATCCAAATCAAAAAAAGTAAATTTATTAATTAGTTTTTATAAAAATTTTCATTATTTAAGAAAGGTAATCGTAAATTGCGTATTATTCATAAATTACGTCATAAAAAAAATCTAAAAATAACAAACATCGGTTAGTTTTATTACCTACGCCTCAAAATGCAAATTTAAATCAATCTTTACAATTATAATATATATGATTGGACAAGGTATAAATAATTATTTATAAAAATATTTTAACCAAACATTTTAATAAATTTAAATTTAAAAATATTCTTTTCAAATTTCGTAACATATAAAGTATGAACATTATAAATTTTTTATCCGCTAGATGGCGTATTTATGATATTGAGTTTTAAAAAAAAAAAAATTATCTCTAAATTTTATAATCTTTTTTTAATCAATTATAAGTAATAATGAAAAGTAATTTATCTTATCTAGGCTGGTTAGTTATACGATTACTTTTATTATTTGTATTTTAATTACAAATACTTTCTTTTTTTTTAAAATTTGTATTTAGTTATTTATTTGAATATTTTTCGAAAGTATTTAGTTAAATAAAAATTAAAAAAATTTTTGGTCTATTTTGCAGAGTTGTTAAATAATTTAGATATCTAGATCCTGTATTTAGATATAAAAATGTGGTATCTGTATCTAGATAGATTTTTGATTAAAATATCGGTATCTAGATATCATTTTAGACGATGTATCAGTATCTAGATCCATTTAAAAAGTATCTTTTAACAACTCTGGTATTTTGTTACTATTTCAAATGAATACAAATAAGAGATCGGCAAATCACGCCCTGGCCCGTACCCAGCTGGAGAAAGGGTTAGCTCACTTCACGCTTAACGCGTGACATCATAGTTTTCATTTTGTTCATAACTCGGGTTCTTTTAATGGTTCTCTTACTTTGGGGAGAAAAATTGAAAGTACAAGTCAGGCATTATATATTAGCGCATGCCAGATATACCATTTTAGCCGCGATATATTATTTGGCAATTTTCTTTCTTTATAACTATCTTAACCAAACACATTAAATTTATATACAAATAATGACCCAAACATTGATATAATTTATATAAATGAATTCAAACACTTTTAAATTTTAAGGCCAAAATATTGTTTATATATATATATATTTAAAATGATATGAGTTATAAAACGTTTACACATTTTTATAACTCAATTCAAAAATTAAATTTTTTTTTCCAATTTATATAAGTCCGCCATAAATATAAGGTTCTTCATCTAGCATTAAGTATGAATAACTGCATGAATTCTGATGGGTATAGTAGATAAAATCACTGTCTATTTTTCTTTTGGGGAAATTTATCCACTGTTATTTTAATATATTAGAAATCATTTTCTATAGAAAAGACTTTATCTAACCTTCATAATTCTCTATATATTTTAGGATGTTTTTAAATCTAGACCAACTGCTAATATTCGACTAAACTTATAATTCGATATTTTTAAATCTAATTTTATGGCTATTTTTACAAACTTATATAGTAAACACTTTATTTATTCTATTTAACGTAATTAAAAGATATCTGGTAATGAATTTCTAACTTACCGTGATTACGTCTCTTAATTAAATGCTTGTAGGCAAATTCTATGAGTCTAAGATATAAATTGCGTCTACAAGGTTAAATTGTTTCGCAGAAAAAAAAAAATTTTAAATATACTCCCACTGAAGAAAAAAATGGTTTACCTTTTAGCATTATAACTCCCTGATCTTTATTTGCCAAATTGATTCGAGAAACTTAAAAAAGTCACGTGCTTATTTAATTAACCATCTTGTTTTTAACGTAGCTGGCCTAACTACTAGACAGAAGAGAAATAAAATATATGAGAAATTTTGAATATTCTATAAATTTCATTGAGTATAAGCCAGAAAAATATTGCTAAAGCCTAAAGATTTTGCCAGTAGATGCCCAAACCTTTGAGTCATATATGGCCAAAATCTTCAGGCTATCATAATCATAATCGAGCCGTTTACCAACACTAATCCTAATAACGTTTATATAATAATACATATAGGATTACATATGTTATAAATATTTATCTAATATCTAATTTTGATAATATACTAATACATAATTAATTAATATATTCTATTCTTATTATTTATAATGAAAAAGCTATATCTTGCAATTAGATAAGCTATATCCTAGGATGAGCCACTAGCCATATTCCGCATTTTGGATAATGGAATTCGTTCTTTTTAAAAGGCGTTTCGTAAGGCGTGTACCCATTTAACGTCTTATGGCACTTTTTAAACTCCATCTTTTGTAAGGCGACAGCTAGAAACGCTTTTATGGTCAAAATTGCGAATTTTTCCGCTGCACAATTGCGAGGACCTAGTCCGAATGGCATATAAGCGAACTTGTTGTAACTGTTAAAATTTTTGAAAGATACTAATAAAATTATGGATAAATAATTATTAATTACTATGAAAATAAAGGGCTTAATATCTAAAACTAACTTTAGGGTTAATAATCTATTTTTTATATTAAATGTTAAGTTATTTCAACGTTTAGAAAAAAAATATTATAGCAATAAATTAGCAAATCTCAGTGATAAATAGTATCCTGTATCTTTATATTAGGCCCTTTAAGTCTCATAAATTTTAAGATGAAATAGACGACACATATAATTCTTAATGTTAAGAATAACATGTTATCACTCTCAAATCTCTCCGGATCTAAGAGCTCAGGGTCAGGCCAATATTCTGGATCGTGGTGTATGGCGTAAATAGGTACATCAATCAAAGTTCCTTTTTGAATCTTTATATCGCAATCTTCAATCGGTATGGTATAATCTTCACTTGCCACGCGATTTATGATAGCTAGTGGCGGATCATGCCTAAGCACTTCTTTAACAAACATTTCCGTATATCTTAAGCGTTTTAGGAATTTGTAATCCACTTTAGAAAACTGCGAATATTTGTATTTATCATTACTATCTAAATCAGCCACATTTTTATCATTTGTTAGAATATCATCCTCGCTGTTCGTGCTACATTCAGTATCTGTATATCTGTGTTAAAAAATAAAATTTTTGAATGAGATAAATTTAGATATATATTTTCTTTTAAAACTAAAATTAGTATTTATAGATAACTGTGTTAATATTTTGGTAAACCTGAAAAAAATAACCATAGCTTGTTTATTATTACAAAGAATTTTTATAAAGCCAAAAGATGGGTATCTTTTAGATTAACGCTAAAGATTTTATATTTATAATAAATATTTCCAAGGTGAAATTGGCCAGGAATAATAATTAATTTTAATAATTTCTTTCAAACAAAAATGTGGATATATAATAAATATGGCTGAAATGTTTACAAACATTCTTTATCTTATCTAATCTATCTAATGGCCTATAATCATATAAGTTTTTACAAGGTTGGAATGAATAGAGTATCATTATTAGCATTTGTTATACTTTACCCAGAATCAGGGATTGGGGCTCTCAGTTGAGTCATTATCTCTTGATAAATCCTGTCTTGCATTTGGGAATTTTGGGCTAAATGATAGACGATCCAAGACAGCGCTGTGGATAATGTATCGTAAGTGGCTAGAATTATGAAGATTGAGTTAGCTTCTACGTTCTCCATATTGTAATTAATCTTGTTTTGATTATGTATATTCACAGAATCATCTCCAAAAGGGCAACCTTTGAGATCATCGGCTGAATTTTTGCGCATGTTCTTCCTGGCTGCGTTTAGCATAATTTGATAAAGGTCCTTCCTATATGAAAAATTATTAGATTCGGTAAATTTTTTTAATTTTATTTATTTCTTTATATATATTATATCAAATTAAATTTTAAAAAACCATAGTAAGAGATATTAAACTAAAATAATATTTTAAAATTTATATATTAAACTTAATGAAAGATTTAATGATTAAATCAAGTGTTTATAATTTCAGAAAAAATAACATTATAAAAATAAATATTTAAACAACACCTAAATTCTAATAAAATTGATAATTCTTAACTTCTAAGCAATATTTCTATAAAAAGTAAAATTAATATACCGATTAACGTTGCTCTTTAATCTCACGTCCACAAATTTTCTTATAACATCCCTAATATATAGAAGAGAAGCTTCGCCAACGAACGATACTTTAAATAGGGTAGAGATTAGAGATGCTAACGGCTGTAACCATCTTAGCAGGATAAATCGATACATTTGATAAGTGAATATCAGATGGGTGTTTTCCAGAAATCTTGTGTGTTCAGGTGTTCCAAATTTTAATTTGAAGCCAAGAGTGTTTCTGGTTATCATATCTATGGCATAAACCCCAAAAAGGGTCTTGGCTTCAAAGGGCGTCTTTCCGTCTATTATTAGTGGATAGGAAGGGTTTTCACGTTTGGATTTACATTTTTCTGCTATTTTTTCAGCCGGGATTTTAGGTCTAGGGTGCCTCTCCCTTATATAGGATTCTTCGTGGCTAATTTGATTTTCGTTTGAGAGTTTTGATGGAACATTAAAATATTCTACCTTAGTGGTAGTCAAACCGGCCTTCTCCATCAATTCCACCGTGCATCGTACATTTTCCAGGATCATCTGTTTCATCATGGAAGTCGTGAACGTTTTTATTAGGATTCTGCGATTCTCTTTCCAATCATCGTACGGCTGAGCAATCACAGATTTAGCTACGCATTTTTGATGCAAAATCATTAGCTTTCGATTGGGGAAAGAGTGAAAATCTCTAATCAGTATATACTCCAATATCTTAGGATCGGCTATCACAACGCTATAATCCAAACCATCGCATATTGCGTATATTTTATAGAGTTGATTTTTGCCCTTGAATCCATTTTTATCGTTATTGGAAGGAAAAAGCTGATCACGCCAATGACTATGACATATTTGAAAGCCCTTCATCATTAAAGCCAACTGATGTCCGAATATGGGGTAAACGGGTGTGGGGTATAGAAGTCCACACTTTTTTAAGATGTAATAAGGACGCAATGCTAGGTATATTATACCCAGTGTAGTAATTATTAAAGTCAACACCAATGTCAGAGTTGTATATGATGTAACATAAGGAGTGAGGTGCATTTGGGAAGTATAAACGTACTATGGATATTGACAATTCTTTTTTTTCCTAATTTAAAATAAATGGTTTGAAATTTCGCATTTGATTATTTATATATCTTTATAAAAATTAGTATAAATATTTGAATTCCATTCAAAGGCTATCTTATTATTAATAGTACCAGCTGGCAAAATCGTCACAAATGGGTGAAGAACAAAGGATAGAAGATTACTGATGGCAGTGAATTAGAAATGGTGGTGAGGAAAAACAAAATGGCGGTGAATATTGGTGTTGAGTTTTTTAAAAAAATATAACAAATTATTAATGGGTAGTGGTGTAACTAGTGTTGTTAAGAAGTCCGATTTGAGTAGATTATTCAAAACGGCCTTATCAAGATTTTAGCTAAAATAAATATTGTGCAAAGCAACGAGATTAGGCTAATAGAGGTCCAAGCATTTCTGCCAGCTATGAGGGCAAAATCTTTAGGGCTTACATAATGTTATTTCGGTTATAATCTTTATTGGGCCGGTTTTTAAAACCGATTCGAATCGGGTTTTTTAACAACGCTAGAGTGAACCGAACTTTGTTTTATTATTTTTTTTAAATATTTTGATCAATCACAAAAAAAATTTATTGTATTATATATAGGGGTTTACCATGATTATATGCGGGGTGTAACATCACATCTTGATGTTTTTATTGAAGTTAATCAAGGATATTACGTAAAAATTTTTTCCATGGATATAAAAACAGGCCTCAGGACGGGTAATAATAAACTAACATGGATAAATGTTTGGACACTGTTTATTTTTTTATATTTTATACTAATAAATAAAGCCAAGTAAGATGTATCAACATAAATGGTAGTATTATTTACGCTTTCCCTTTAATGATTGCCGTACATAACCTGGAGTTGTCTTTATTACCCAAAATAGGATGTAGCCGACCCGAGATGGCTTTGAAACCGAATAAATCACTAAAACCTCGAGGATATAAGTTGCTTTTAAAGACAAAATTATATTTGATATCGATCATTTTATACCTCTAGTCGAACTGATTTTTTATATTTTTTTTTATGGATGCCGTTTCAGTTGATTCAAAATAGTTATATAGCATATTAATTATTATTTTTTTAATCTTCGTGAAATATAGATTATAGATTATAGTATATAGTAATAGTAAATATAGCATGAGAACCTGCAAGCTCGGCCTGTCTTTGTCGGGTCGTATTGTAATTTTAAAATATACCCTAGCTGAACCTAAAAGTATTTTATTTAAAAAAAGCGGGGTCGGGCTGAATATATTCTAAAAAAAAATACCCGGGGCGGTTATTAGCTATCATTGTAGAAGGCTTGGGATAAATCTCTAGTTGGCAACTCCGTTGCATTCCTTAAATCGAGGAGCCAACCAGAGGACCATTCTCTACTCTTCTCCATTTCCAAAGGTAGTGGATACGAATTTCTTGAGGCTTTCCCATCCCGAAACCTTGACCAGCTTCCTAAGCAATGATGAGCTACGTCACGCCATCGGCCTTAGACTTAATTGCGATATGGTAATACTTTATCACTATCCTCTGTCAAACGTCTGTCACCTACACTGCAAGCGCTGTAGAGGCAGATTCATTAGGCATTCAAAATGCAATGATACCATTGCCAGGGCCTTAAAATCCGCCGGCATCCCATCAACCCTCGAATCTACTGGCCTTTACGATTCCGATGGTAAACGGCTCGATGATTCGACTATGATCCCTTAAAAGAGGGGGGAATTCCTAACTTGAGATTTCTCATGCATCGATCTTGCCCCTTCCAATATAATTAGAGATGCCATACTAGATGCCGAGGCGAATAAACTAGCTAAATATTGGCCATCTCTTCCCGCCAATTATACATTCCTACCATTAATCGCCACGACTCTAACGTCGTTCGGCTCTCATGTCCTGGACTTCTTTAAAGAGCTGGGAAAACGGATCTCTGTTAGGACCGAGGATTCCAATGAGGGATTCTTACGCCAAAGATTAGCCATAAAATGGTAAAATACAATTATCTCAGTTTCATTTTTTCAATATCCGAAACCCCGCAATTGTATCCTATGATATATAGGAAAGACTTTGGCCATTTTGCTGCCTATTATAATGTTAACGCTAAAAGGGAACTTGAATCTCAATCAAGAAAAAATAGCAAGAATTTAATGACTTTATATAATTCTGATTTACTAATATTATATTTTTTTTTTAACTATTATTATAACTTACCTCGATATAAATCGTCTAAATAAAGATAGAGAAATATTAAAAAAAAAAAAATTAAAAATAAATGCTGGGGCCGAATGAGCCTGGCCCGAGAATATAAACCCCGGGCCAAGCCGGACCGAAAGAAATGTATTTTAAAAAAATCCGTGCTTGGCTGTTCTAACGGTATTCTTCAGGTCTCTTAGTGAATATATATAATTTATAATTTATAATAAATATACGGTGATAAAATTTTACCCTTTAAATTGATAAGAATTTTTTTCTTTCTTTCCTTCCTATACTTAATAGAATCAATTATAAAATATGATAAATTATCTTGTCAAATATTAGAAATGTCAAAAATACCCAAATTTTCTTTCCAAAAATATTTATTTTATCCATACATATATATATCGTTTTACATCAGCACTATCTTTTAAAAAATCGCTAATTGATATTTATCAAATATATCATATATATTACAATACAATATATACATTTTCTTGTAAATATTTTTTCCACCGGGGCATAAATGATAATTTTAAAATTTTTTAAAACATTTTTATATCGTTTATTTTCGAAACTAAATAAATATTTACTTAATATAAGGCAATTTATTTATAAAAAACTTCTTATTAGAAATGGTAAAATTTGTCATTTTTTCTTAGAGTTTCTTAATTGAAGCGACGTATTATTTCACGCTTTGAACTCTTAAAAATAAATTCTAATAAATTATTTTATTTGTTATTCCATCATTTTTCTCATATTAGCTAATTAAAATTTACTTGTTCCTTTGAAATTTCTAAATACTTAAGATATCATTTGTGGAGATTTTAAAAATCTGAAAGAAGTTTATAATGTTCACTTTTCAACAACCAATTTATCTTTGATATACTTTGTAACAGATATATACCTTTACAATGCCATAAAGGGGTCAATAGAGATGAGAGCAAAACATGCATTCTCTAATCCTTTGATTTCTTCCGTTCCATACCAATAAGAGCCAGCACAAATCTCTAGTTATCATTTTAAAATCGAGGTAAATCCCGGAAAAAAAAGAAGAAAAAAGAATCTAGAAAAAAATGAAAAAAAAAACGTAAAATTTTTTTTGCAAAGCGTCCCCAATAAAATAAATTTTGAACTAACATAGCGGGTATAGAAAATATGTTAGCGTAGGTTATTTCTACGGATACCGAACATGTTGTTTTTACCACTTCCTAATAGTCTTACTGCTGCTACTCCCCTTGTTTCGATTAGTGTAGGAAACTAATCTCAAGAACTAGAAAGTGAAATAGGATTCTAAGTAATTATTTTTTTTAAAAAAAAATTAAAAATTCACAATAATTTATTTATGAATTAAACATATTTATCGGGAAAAAAAATAACAAATATAAGTTATGAGCTTAATATTTATCGTTCTTCCAAATGATTAGCCTTTTAACATCCGGAAAAACATGGAGGAATCATATCCTGGTTATGGCCAACTCTTGTGTAAACTTTTTTTTAAAAAAAATATATAATATAAAACAATCATATTTTCTTTATCTCTTTTTGCATAATATAATTAATATATTAAAATAAATCGCATTTCAAACGTAATTAAGTTTATAAAAAAAAACAATTTTTAAAATGATTATATTTGTCCCAAACTAAATAAAACAATTTTAAAAGGAAAAAAATAGTTTGTAAAACTAAAAAGAATACATAAATATTTTATAAAAAAAAAATTTCCAAAATTTAGTTCTTTCTTTCCTTCTTTCTTTCTTTCTTTCTTTCTTTCTTTCTTTCTTTCTTTCTTTCTTTCTTTCTTTCTTTCTTTCTTTCTTTCTTTCTTTCTTTCTTTCTTTCTTTCTTTCTTTCTTTCTTTCTTTCTTTCTTTCTTTCTTTCTTTCTTTCTTTCTTTCTTTCTTTCTTTCTTTCTTTCTTTCTTTCTTTCTTTCTATTTTCTTTCTTTCTTTCTTTCTTTCTTTCTTTCTTTCTTTCTTTCTTTCTTTCTTTCTTTCTTAATATAAAATTTTGAGGTTATGGAAGGTTTAAAATTACGCAAAATGTGACAAAAAAATATATGTTATTTTAAAATTTAGTGATGTCATAAAGACATTAATTTAATTATATAATGATGACGTTAATAATTTATTTTTTCAAATTTAAATCGGCGCGTTTTTTAATATTATAAAAATCTGACTTTACTGTTTCCTTCCTTCCTTCCTTCCTTCCTTCCTTCCTTCCTTGATTACATGGATCAACAATTTCTTGATCAAAGCGATTCCATTCATCCGCAAGTGCTGTTTGGGATGGTGAATGTCACCTCTGCGGTTGATAAGCACGTTTTGGAATGACGTTCCATATTTTGTAGTCGACCGGATTGAGATCGCGGTTATTGGGAGGATGGCAAAGAGTGGGTGAAATAAAATCCTTTCTCCTGAAAGCTGATCCACAGTACTCTGGGTCTAAAGGAACTGGAGCACAGCCCTCCTGGAATATAATTTACTGCCAGCGGCAATAAATTATTTCCGAGTAAAAAGTCACGATAATATGCACCATTGATTTTGACCCCTGGATCGATAAATATTAGCTCCGTGCAGTCAAGACTTGTACCCCGACTAAAACTGTGACAGATTTAGAAAAACTTGAACCTAGTAAGAAGCAATCGATATGCCGCAACTTGTTTTTTTTCTCGGCGGAACTGCAAAGTACTATCATAGTGCAGATTTACCAATGGAGTTACTTTAGCTTTGCACGTGAACCACATAAAATGAACTAACTTCTGAAGATATTTCCTAAAAGTTGATTGGTAGGTACCGGACGATGAATTTTATTCGCATAAGTTAGGTTCGAGGCATATTTTTTTAAAGATTTTAGCTGTAGATCTTTGTGGATAATAACCATGCACTGAAGTTCGCGAAATACTTGTTTCTTAGGATACTTGTCAAATTGTTTTATGGGTGCCGCCAGCCCTGTCTTCCTGGCTCAATACGATATTTCAACAGAATCAACCTTTTTCATGTATACGTGGTCTAGCCACCAACATAGTTTCTTTGATGATTCGGCGCATCGCTGCGATAAACTAGTTTCCGTTAGAAAATTCCGTCTCAAACTATCATCCTTACTGAAGACTATATTATTTTTTTATCGTCTGCTTAAATGGAAATGACGTGATTATGACGTGATATTTTTTTTTGTAAGTTAGATAAGTAGTCTGGGGAAAAAAAATTATAATTTTTATTTTTTTCATGCTGGAAAGATCGAATTTTGTTTGTCCAAGTTTGAATATTCATAACTTTAAATCCCGTTAATATAATTGGTTGAAATTTTACGAAACATCAATCGATTCATCTGTCAATCTCTAAAATTCTATTAAATTATATTTAGAATTGAGAGATTTATTTCTAAAACACACACGAGGGGTATCATATCAATTGAGACGAAAAGAATGATCCTTATGAGGTTGGGTAATAGGGATTCTAGGATTTCTAACTGCAGTATTTGTCGAGGGATGTTAAAATAAATCTTTTTTTGCCTTCAGGGTCAAGTTTTAGTAATCTAGGTTTGGACGATTTATTTATCAAATTTTTTTATTTTTTTGTGAAACAACAAATAAATCGAATCAAAAGGATAACTTAGGCGATTACAGTAGCGGTATCCGGTATCTAAGAATTAGGACCATAAGTATCTGCTTAATCTCACAGAGGTGCAAATTAGTTTTTAGCAATGATGAAATGCAAAATAAGTATACATGAAATTAAACCTATCAAGTGTTGTTTAGAAATTTTTTTTAAAAAAAATTATCAACCATTTTGAAGAGATAATTTATCTATCATAATATAACCGTGACATTTCAAATATCTTTTTTTTTAATCAAGCCACACCTTATACATTCAATATTTCTTTCTTACAAATTAATTCCGGAAGTTAAATTTTTGTTTTATTGAAGTTATCCTTAGGCGAAAAATATATTTTTTTAGAAAAATTAATTAAAAATTGTATTAAAAAAGACAAATTAGGTATTATTTGCAATTGTTATGAAAATTTAGAATGTTCGTTATTTAGTATAGCTAATGTCTTAGCAATTTGGTCTGACAAGATTTAGCATTAGCCTTTAACATTAGCCCCTATGTTTATTTGTCAATAAATAAAAAGTTTGACTAATTAGATTGAAAATGAGTGTTCTGTGGATTCTAAGAAATGCAGGCCTTTATCGGTATTTAGAATTACTTTCAATATTTGAAGATTCTGTGGTTGGTTTGCAATGGATTCAATTTTAGCAATGAGATCGTTGGAATCATTAAAGATCATAATCATGGAGAGGGGAAAAACTAACGATTATTTTTATTAGTTCTATATCCAAAATATTTATAAAAAAAATACATATATATATAGGTTTTAAACAATTTTTTTTTGTAATACTATAAACTATGTACTATTTATATACTAATTAAAGTATACATATATTTATTTTGTAAAACATTAGAATTGCAATTAGGAATGTTATATTCTGGGATGCGCCACTAACCATATACCACATTTCGGATAATGAAACTCGTTCTTCTTGAAAGCGGTGTCGTACGGCGTGTAACCGTCTAATGTCTTGGAGCACTTTTTGAATTCAACTTTCTGCAAAACGACAGCTAAAAATGTCTTCAGAGTCAACATGGCATATTTTTCTGCCGCACAATTACGGGGTCCTAGTCCGAATGGCATATACGCGAATTTGTTATAGCTGAATAAAAAAATGACAAAAAAATAATATATAATTAGAAAGAGTTTGTAGAATAAAAACTTATATATAAACTGCAGTTAACCGTTTAAAACTAACACTCTCAAGTATCCCTTTACCAACATATTGTACGACTTCCTTAGAATCAGATATATAAAATAATTCACATTTATAATTTATAAGATTAAATTTTTTTACCTGTTTTCACTGTTAAATCTCTCAGGATCGAAGGTGTCAGGATCGGCCCAATATTCTGGATCATGGTGTATAGCGTAAATTGGCACATCAATCAACGTTCCTTTCGAAATCTTTATTTCATTATCCTTAATCGGTATAGTATAATCTTCGTTAGCCACGCGATTTATGATAGCCAAAGGTGGGTCGTGTCTGAGAACTTCTTTAACAAACATCTCCGTATATTTTAAACGTTTTAGAAAGTCGTAATCTACTTTGTAAAAGTCGGAATTTAGATCATTTCCATTTCTATCTTTGCCATTCAAATTTCGAGAATTATGATCATTTATCAGTATTCCACTATCATCGTCACTACTCACGCTGCTGCAATCTATATTCGTTTTATCTTCACTAATATTTTTTCAAAGTGATATTTATAATAGGAAGATTGTTCCAAGTTCAATCTAGGATATATACATTCTGTTTCGTTACGGGCTTATTGTAATTCTTATATTGACAAGGGAATTCAACTTTAGATTGCAATTATTATAAATTACTAACACTGCTTTATAAAATGAGTGTCAGTGCGGAATTATGTTTCTGTTTGATTAATATTGGTGTGAATTTATAGTTTTAAAAATTCTTTTTTACAAACTATAGGTAAGGTCCGCAAATGGCAAAATCTTCAAACCGGTCCAGGTGGGAATTTAGATTAATGCCCAGCCCGGCCCATTTTTCATTTTTTTTACTACAATGCCCTAAACCAAAAAATATATTAATAACAATCAATAATCGTGGGGAATGGTTAAATTAAAAAACACTATGCTTAATGGATTATCAGTTCTAGGAAATATCAATATTGATCAAATATATGTAAAATTTTATGTTTGCCAGGCCCATCTTGCCTCCCGGCCCAAAATACTTTGTCTACTCGCCAGGTGTAAAGCGCTGGGAAGGGTACTGAAGATCTCTTATTAATTAAATGCTAGATTTAACAATTTTAAGTGTAAGTTGGCTCAATTATTTTCTACGTGAGATGCAGAGCCAAATAACATTAAATATTTACAAAAATATTAGTGTCTACTTACCTAGAGGCTGCTTTTAATTCTTCTACGATTTCTTGGTATATAAGATCTTGCATGCCGGGATTTTGGGCTAGATGATAGACGATCCAGGATAGGGCTGTAGATAATGTGTCGTAAGTGGCTAATATGATGAATATCGAATTCGCCTCCACGTTCTCCATATCGTAATTGACTATATTTTTATCGGTATTTTTTGAAAAAACTTTGCCGAACGGGCAACCTTTGAAATTATCGATTATCGAATTATTACGACGAGTTTCATTTTGAAGATTCTTTTTAGCCGCGTTTACCATAATCTGATAAAGGTCTTTCCTATATTAATTTTACAAATATTAATTCTGAATTAAGCGTTGGGATGTGATCTTAGAACTTGGTAGTGGATATACACTTAGGAAATCCTATATCATTGTAAATATATATTTGAAATATAGCATATTTAGTCACATTGATAACCTTAAGTAGAGACATGATGAGAAGATAGTGGCATCTTTTAATCGAATATTAGTATTAAAAAGTGTCACCAGGATTTTAAAAAGTATGTTGCGACATTTGAAGATATGTAATTACTAATAATAATTATCATAAATTTTCACGTTATTAAACAATATTTTTTATTTACCGATTTAAGTTGCTTCCTAGTCTCACATCAGCGAACTTCCTAATAACATCCCTAATATAGAGGAGAGAAGGCTCGCCTACAAAAGAAATCTTTAACAGGCTGGAGATTAGAGACGCAATCGGCTTAAACCAACTCAGCATGATGAATCTATACATCTGATAGGTAAATATTTGGTGAGTGTTTTTCACGAATTGCGTATGTTCGCGCGTACCAAACTTTAATTTGAGACCGAAAGCGTTCCTGGTTATGATATCGATAGCGTAATTTCCGAACAAAGTTTTCGCTTCGAAGGAGGTCTTCCCGTCTATCATCAATGGGTAACGTGTATTTTGTTGTTTAGATTGACGGCTATCTATTATTTTTTCTGCTAGAATTTTCGAGTAACGATTCTTGACTTTTGTACCAGATTCGTCATCGATCATTTCCGGAATATTAAGACGATCTTCAGTCATCAATCCAGCATTCTCCATTAAATCTATGGTGCATCGCACATTTTCTACGAGCATTTGCTTTATCATGGAAGTGGTGAATGTTCCTATCAGAATTTTACGATTTTCTTTCCATTCCTGGTAAGGTTGAGCAATCACAGATTTGGCCACACATTTTTGGTGCAAAATCATGAGCTTCCGGTTGGGAAAAGCGTGAAAGTCTCTGACTAGTACATATTTCAGTATTCTAGGATCGGAAATGACAACGTTATAATCTAAACCATCGCATATGGCATATATTTTGTAAAATTCCTTCGATCGATTTTGGTTATTCTTAGATGAATTAAGCTGATCGCGCCAACTACTGTGACATATTTGGAAGCCCTTTACCATTAAAGACAACTGATGCCCAAATATGGGGTAAAGAGGTAAGGGGTATGAAAGCCCACTCCTTTTTAGAAGGTAATAAGGACGAAATGTGAGGTAAATAATGCACAGTGTTGAGATTAGTATTAGCAGGAAGGCTAGAGTTGTATACGATGCGAAAGTGGCAATGGCATCCATTCTATATAGGGAAATGCGTTATTGATAAATATTATAAGCGTTTTTTTTCCTTAATTTAAAAATAATTAAATATATTTCGAATTTTTAAAAAATAAAATCTTAAAATGGCACATATTATTATTATTTAACTTTTAATTTCAGAAACCTTTAGTGATCGAATCAAAATTATATTTAGCTTTATATGACAAAAAATATATTAATTTTTATAACATCTCATAAATTTATAAATCATATTTTCAAAAAAATTAATTTATCAAAATTTGTAATATTCAAATAAAATATTAATATCCTTGTTATAAAAATATAAGTAATTAATAATATTTTAATTGACTATTGTCATCCAATTTTGACCTCTAAAAAAAAATTAAATAAATTAGCAATCATTTTTAGGACTTAAAATTTTTTTTTATGTCGAAAAATATTTTTATTATAAATATTATAATAAAAATTAATGAGGGTATATATTAATTTTATGATCGTAAATTTACTAAAACTATTGCCAAAAAATATCATAAGGACGAAAATTATATCCTTTTTTTAGATTATATTTATAAACTAAACTAAAAGTGAATTAATCGCATTGGATGTTTTTCTACGAGAATTTTATATATATTTAACATTAAAAAACACAATTCAACGTTATTTTCAACCGTATTTTTTAATATAAAAAAGATAAGGGAAAGAATGCCAAAAAAAGTACCAAAAAGTTTTTATTGCCAAAAAATTACTTTTGTTATGTCTCAATAGTTGAAAATAATATTTTTTTAAAAAGAAAATTTTAATAAGATTTTTCAGCTAGTATATACTTGGAATATATAAAATTAAAATCAAAAAATTATGTCGTTTTTTTTAATTATTTTACTGATGGAACCTAACATGTGACCAGCATTTTGAATGGAATTTCTAACAACTCTTACAGGCTGCACCTTAGCTCGTATTTATTTCTGTTTTGTCGTATTCATGACTTTCACATAGGATGATAATAGTATTTATTAAATATTTTAAAGTTGGGAAAATAGCAAAATCTTTTTTTTCAACGCGGTTTTTTTTTAAAAATGTATTCTAACACATGTGGGCGGGGTAGGTCGGACCACTTTCATTCAAACCTCGATAAATTCAAAAACATCAAACTAATCTCTTAATAAATAAAACGTATTCTGAATTCTCAAAGTAGAGGCTATTGTAGAATCCATGCTTGTTTAGAAAATTGGATTTGAAATAATTTTTTTTGATCCAACCTAGCCTTGCTCTGGGTACTTTGGTCCAAAAATGGGTGATAATTGGTCCGTCAAATATTATTTTTTTTTTGATATTATATAATACTAGAAGAGACTTTAAATGTATATTTATTTATCTATAATACTTACACTTTCTGATCGTCGCTCTAGACTTGGGGGATGCATAGAAATTATTTTATTATTAAAATGCGCAAAAAATGAGTATTACAATAAATAGTTTATTTTTATTATAATAAATTATAGTTCTTTTTACATAAATTTTTTTTTATGATCTAAAATTAACTATTATATATAAAATATTTCTAAATGTTCATTTTTATGAAATTTATTTCTAATTTTGTTTTTAAATAAAAATTTAACCTAAAAAGCAGGCCAAAGTTACTTTTAAAAAATAGTTAAAAGCTTGCTACTTTATTTTTGATGGGTAGCTATAGCTGTAGCGCGCCATTTCTTTTTGACAAATAGCGATGGCGGTAGCGGACTGATTAAATAGTAGGGTTCATCAACTCTGACCCTAACCCTATTATGATGATACTTAGCAAAATAAATTTATTTATTTATTTTTCTAACTTCTTTTATAAAACTATATTTAAAAAAAAAAATTATAATAAATACCAGAGTTGTTAAAGGATCTCGTATCTAGATCCTGTATCCAGATATAAAAATGTGGTATCTGTATCTAGATATAAAAATGTGGTATCTGTATCTAGATATTATTTTAGACGTTGTATCTGTATCTAGATCCATTTAAAAAGTATCTTTTAACAACTCTGATAAATACCAAACAATAAAATTTTGCGACTTCATAAAAATAAACTTTCCCATAAGTCTGAAAAAAATTTTAAAAATTTAATCAATTTATAATATGCCCAAAAAATTAGAAAATAATTATGAAATAATTTTTTAAAACTGTCCAATTAATTAATAATTTGCCCATTAAAATAACCTATTTAATAATTTTTAAATTGTTCTTACGCATTTATTTTTTGATTTTATATTTATAAAATTAAAGATATTTTAAAAATTTAAGATATAAATTTCGCATAGATAAAAAAAAAAAATTGACAAATAAAAAAGACAATATTTTAAAATTTTTTACCTTCAAAGTTAAGAATCTATTTTTCTTCTTTATCGAATTATCAAAATATATCATATTAATTCCAAAATATCATAATAAAAATGTTCAATATTTGAAAGTCAATAAAAACTAATGCATCCAAATACGTTTTTATCAGAAAACGCTGGAAAAGCCCCAATTTACGAATCAATGATTGATCATGATGATCGAATCCTAATATGGCAATATATCATATTTATTATTTTGATATGAGAATTTGCCAATTAAAATTAAAAACGTTTTTTTTTAAAGTTTTTTGCAAATAGTTGATTTGTTTATAATTTAAAAAATATTTCAAATTTAATGAGATAATAAGCTATTATTATAATAAAATTATCCTTCATAACAGATCGCGTTTTTGGTATACATGTCACTGCCCGAATTTTACAAAAAGAAATAGAATTGGAAGTTTTTAAAATAGTTAACAAAATGAGGCATTTCTATCGCCCGAGTTCCCTCACTGACTCGGCCTTTATAAGAGCAGAGCTTTGCAAGTCTCTGATATTTCTGTAAATAAATCCTAGATATAGTATAGGTCAGTGTTGTTGAACGGCTGGCTCTATTGAAACCAATTTTTTAAAGAAATGGCTCAACTCAAACATTTTAACCCGAATAACTATTGGATGGGCCTTCGAGATTGATAATGGGCATCCAAAACCTTGGTGCCTTCGATGAGCAAAATTTTCAGGCTTGTTGTTACAGTGCGCACAAATTGAACGTTTTAACGCAGCGTTTTCAAAACGCATATAAATAATTCAAAATACAAAACGCAAACAATGCTAAATATAAACGAATGGATTTAAAATGCATTATTTGCGTTTTGAAACGAAGCGTTGAAATGTTCAATATGTGCGCACCATTAGCCCATTTTTTTAGAAAATAGGCTCCAATCGAGCCGTTTAACAGCGCTTAGGGTTTATCGGAATTAAAAGAGGGGAAATTCTGATAATTTCAGTCGATACAATAAATATTTAATTATAATTTGCCAACAAGCTACAAAAAAATGATAGCGATTTTATTGCTTTACAATTTTTTTTTATAGTCAAAAAGTGTCCATTTTTTTAAAAAAAAAAATTCATAAATATTTATATAAAGTGTTTTAATTTTTTTTTTATAAAGAATGAAAGAAAGAAGGAAGGAAGGAAGGGGGGAAGGAAGGAAGGAAGGAAAGAAGGAAGGAAGGAAAATTTTACTGCGATTTACATTACCAGTTATACCCCAGGTAAGTGAACCCGAACCCCGAGTTCAAGAATTTAAAATTTAGTTTAATAGAAATTTTGATAACAGGAACTTAATCGAAACCGATTTCCTGAGAAGTGTTTCAGACCTGCCCCAGGTCCATATTAACCCGGGTTTAATGAGTCGGTCTCTGTTTGTTCTGCGGTTTCAAAATGCCCGACCAAACACTTTTTAAATTTCCTGAACCCGGGTATGGGTTCACGTCCTTGGTTATACCTATAACATTTTGTTTTAATAGTATAATTTATTTTGTATTTTTCCAATATTTTATTTTTCGTGTTCGAAATTGTCATTTCTGATATGATTGGTTATCGATAAACGTTAAATCGATTAGTTCCAATAAATTTTTAACTCTACCGAAAAAAGCAATTATTTTAATATAAATTTTTTTTTAATTGCATACCAACTGTAATAAATTTCTGGCTATGCGCCTGTGTTACACCATGTTATAATAATCAAGTGAGGTTTGGTAAATTATTGGATATTAACTAATATTTTTTAAAGACACCACAATAAATAACGGTGTCTCTCTTAATATACAAGCTTAATATATTATTTCTTTAAAATTATAGTTTCAAAATATATTTCAATTTTTCGAGCCAAGGAAAATAAGTTTACACAGTTGTTTTAAAGTATAATATTTATAATTTGGTGGGTATTAATAAAAAAATTTTTTGGCAAAAATATATTAAAACATACAACAATATTTCGAAGGATTAACGTAGGTAAAGAAATTATATATAAAATTACATCTTCAAACACTTAAATTTATGATTTCTAAAGGCTTAAACGTTATATAAAGTTATTCGCAATTAACATTGTTACCCCATGTAACCGATATCCCTAAGATAATAGTAATTTTAAAAAATTAAATTGATAAAATAGAAAATAAATATAACTACTTTTTTTTAGTGTATAAAAAATAGATTTATATTTTTAGTATTATAATGAATTTGGGGTAAGGAAAATAAATTTTTTTTATCTAAACATTATGATTTTACCTAGAGATGCTTTATCCCAAGATGAGATTTATTATATTCACTAACAAATTCTATAGCTTCAAAAATTCAATAAATGCCATTTACTCTTAAAATATCGATATGAGTACGTCCTCGATAAAGCCTTTAAAAGGTATCTTATCTCGGATTTCAAGCAATCCCCTGCAAAGGGGCCACAATATTATAATAAAATGACTTGAGGTTATTTATTAACTATAATTGGTTAGATTTGTTATAAAGTATAATCATTGGTTATTAGAAAAAAAACCATTGGATACGAACGGTTAGATCTTATTGTGAATATATTTTATACATTTATTGAAAAATTGAAAACCCGGGGTTAAGACTTTGAGTAAGTCGTTTTTAAATCGGCTTAAAAAGAGCCGTTTTTCTTAACACTGGATAAGAAAGACATCAGCATATAAAATTTCCATTGTCTAGTTTAAATCTGAGCAAAAAATAGTTTCATAAAGTTATATAGTAAAATTGGGAACAAAAATGGCGTGTTACCATGCTAATATTGTTTTTATACACATTTCAATAAATGAATGAAAGAATAAATAAATGAATGATGAATAAATAAATAAATGAATGAAAGAATAAATAAATGTATGGAATGAATGAATGAATAAATGAATGTATGGAATGAATAAATAAATAAATTTATGAATGAATGAATGAATGAATAAATGAATAAATGAATGTATGGAATGAATGAATAAATGAATGTATGGAATGAATGAATGAAAAAATGGAATGAATCGTCAGTCATGTAGTGATTAATTATCATGAATATCATTTTAGTCTGTCAAATGTCATTAAATCTGAGTACTTTTTATAGTGTCACTATTGTCTTTCCTTCTTTTCTTTTTTTCTTTCTTTCTTTCTTTTCTTTTCTTTTCTTTTCTTTTCTTTTCTTTTCTTTCTTTCTTTCTTTCTTTCTTTTTTTCTCTTCTTTCTCTTCTTTCTTTTCTTTCTTTTCTTTCTTTCTTTCTTTCTTTCTTTTCTTTCTTTCTTTCTTTCTTTCTTTCTTTCTTTCTTTCTTTTCTTTCTTTTCTTTCTTTTCTTTCTTTTCTTTCTTTTCTTTCTTTTCTTTCTTTCTTTCTTTTCTTTCTCTTTCTTTCTTTCTTTCTTTCTTCTAACTTGGCTAGAATGCATTTTATTTAAAATATTATTCTTGACTCAATACAAAAACCAAGAAAAATACATATTTAAAATAGTTACGACCGGGAGGTAGTCGACTAAATCCGCTAAACGCCCATAAAACAAATTTTAGAGGTAATGAGGGGTCGGATGCTAAGTTTTCATCGTTACATTTTGAACCATTTACAAATGACTTAAATTAAATTATTTTTACATTTAAACGAATATTTTATAAATAATTATTTAATAATTTTATATGCTAAGATTATAAATATTTTTTGGGTCACAGGCATGCGCACACAATATTTCCCGGGGGTATAGTTTCATCCTTTTTCTTCCGGAAAAAATTATGGACATTGCAACGGAAATTCGAGTAACTTTATGGAACGGGAATAAAACCGGAAAGCTTATTCCGCAACCTTTCCGGAACGTTCCTTGAAATTATATATAAATTTCATATTTATTTCTATAATCATCTATCAGGTACATATATTCCTTTCTTTTTTTGTCAAAAATGACTTTTTTTTATATAATAAATCATATATTTTTTATATATAATTAGATTATTCTATTTACAAAAAAAAAAATTAAGGAAAAGTGGAGATGGAATAATCTAATTGTCAGCCACGATATACCTAAAAATTTTATTCCCTATAACTCTTTTTCGGAAGATACTGCTCAAAGAAGCGGGTTTTAGGAGCTAAAAAAATTATTTTTTAAATTGACCTCTTTAAAAACTTATTTATTTACACAATAGGCATTTATTTATAACTGCACGGTCTGTCCGTAGCTCGACCCGTCGAGTCTCGGGCTCGGTTCGGGTTGTGAATCTCTTCAAAAATAAAAAAGGATCTTTTTCGACCACGAATCGGGTTTTGCCAGTTCTTTTTTTTAGCTTGACAAAGTCTAAAATAATATAAAATAAAGCAATTATAACAAAACTTTAATATTTATACCTATTAAAGATTGATTTACTTTACGGATGACATTACAAAATAATACGACAATTATTTGTCATATCGAAAAAATAAAATTTTTGACATCGGATAACTTTTATTTATTATGATTATTTATTTATTTATTTTTTTGCAACGAAAATAAACAAAAATATAGTAAATAAAATATAATTGATAATGTTTAATAGATTTTTTATAAATTTAAAATCTTAATTTTTATAATTATATAATTTTAAAAAAAATTAATAACGCTAATTTTTTTTAAATGATAGATTTCCGATTGGGCTGTTAAAGAATATTCGTCAATGACAGGTTATCCCTTTTCCCTACGAACTATTTTGAGATCGGCATGTTTGATTTTGATTTACCGCCAGTTTTTGGCGACATCTATGGATTCCCAGAATTCTCAAACCAAGCTGGCCCTCTCCAACAACCAATTCACCTTCGACACTTTGAGACAGGTAGCGACCAGCTCAACGAAGGGCTTAAAAAATGGTGTCAATATTATTCTGTCTCCCTTTAACGTGGCCCAGGTACTTTCTATGATAATGATAGGAGCTAAGGGTGAAACGTTCCGCCAATTATCGGACACCCTGCATTATTCTTCGAACTTTCAACCCATTCCGACTCCCCAGAATCAGGAAGGTTTGCACAAAGCTATCGCAAATGCTGCAAAACTTCATTTGGGCGCCAAAAACCGAAAAAGAAACTTCACCCTAGAAACCGGTTACGGAATTTACCCCGACAAAACGTTTCTTCTCAACCCGATCTTCGAAAAAAATGTGAAACGTTTTTACAGGGCTACTATCCGAAATTTGAATTTCAAGAGCCAGCCGAAACTGGCAGAAAAAATTATAAACCAAGATGTTTCGAACGCCACCAACGGGAAAATCAAAAATCTACTACCCCCTAATAGTCTCGACGCGTTCACTCGCATGGTTTTGATAGGCACCATTTATTTCAAAGGAAACTGGAAGGATAAATTTGATCCCAAGTAAGTGTTAATAAGATAATTAATTTTCAAAGACAAGTTCCTGTAAGTTATCACAAAATCTAATGTATGATTTCCTTAATCTTTAAGTCATCTTTTCCTATCTTCTTAATATTTAATTTTACCTATTAACTTTCCTATTCAACTCACCTTTACGAAATAAAAAAGTAGACTACATAACCTATTAATGTTAAATTTTCGAACTATCCGCTCAGCCTATCCGGGCCGCTAACCGACCGAATTGAGTTCGGAATCGGTTTTAGATCGTATTTGACATCAACGACCAGGTTTGAATCTTCATACACCAATTTATAAGGGGATATTTGTCTCTCATTCATAAATTTAGTTGTGTGTAAGTTATTTACAGAAACCACCTAATTAGGTCCTTACCATATATGTAACCGGTCATTCATGGAGGAATTAGCTCAAGAGAAATATCCAAATCGCCCTTCATTTTTGACAGGTTAGCTGTAGGGGGGGGGGGTGTCTACATAAGCTCAAAATTTTTTTCCCCTTTTTTCGTTTGATAAATTTCAAAATTTTCACTTAAAATCCCTGGATAGCTATTAGTATTTAATAAATATCAATTTTTTTATTATTATTTAGAATACAATAATAGTATATCATATATCATTCTCCAAAAAATTTTAAATAGTTTTTTTTTTCGTGATCAAGGTTATTATTTGCTAATGTTTATTATATTTATATTACATTACATTACATATACATTTATTAACTAATATATATAAAATAAATTATATAATTAAACGCGAATATCATATTTTTAAAAAATTTATAAAATTAATATAATTTGGATGATCGAAAATCATCAATTTTTTTTAAAAAATTTTTCTCCTCTAAAAATATTTCGTAATATGAAAAAAAGGAATTAAAGAAAATAATATTTTTGAATCCAGAATTTATGTATTTTTTGTTCCAAAATCTTATGCTATAAATTGGGATAAATTCACGTAGAAATTATTCAGTGAAAGCTACTGCGGTTATTGGATATTTTTTCTTTAAAAAATTTAGACACACTTTTTTTTATTCAAAATTTTCCTTTATAAATCAGTTATGCTGTTAAAAAAAATCCCTTCTTTTAACGGAGATCGATTACGGTCTTCCTTTAGGAATGCTAGTTTTTTCCTTATTTCGCTATATTTGTTCATCAAATTTACCATTGCCTTTTATAACACTCGAAAATATTTACTTTTCCCGAGGATGCCTTTCCATTCACAACATTAACCGGTAAAACCAAATCCAGTAATTATTCATAAAAGATGTTAATCCTACCACCCATGGGCAACTTAATTTTTTTTCCCCCTTAAACGATAATTTTCGACCAATCGAATCGTTTGACGGTATCCGCCACGCTCAATCCATTTTATCATGTAAACGCCGATTATTTTTCAGTTCCCACACTTCTACCGGAGTTAAATTCAATTCCCCGTAAATATGCTTTACCATATTACTTGATTTAAAAATTTATCCTCCGCGTTTCCGGTGCCAAGGGTTTCGAACGATTTATTTTATTTTCGCAGGTCATCTAGTCATTACGGGCAAATCTGGTGAGCGCCTCACCTTTCCGCGTCATCGTAATTTCTTTCCACGACCCGCAAATTATTCGCCTTCTCAGTAAAATCTAACGTTCGAAGCAACTCGGTAACAACGTTTCTAGGCAGAAAACTCTCCTGGTTGTTTTTTTCATCCCCGGCCTGGATATATTTTTAAAATATTAAAATACGACTCGGACCGGATATCCGGTGCTTAGGACCGGGCCCGCCGGTTTCCCCGACATTTTTATTTCGACAACAATCGCGAAAATTTATCATTTTGAAAAATTATTTTTAAGAGTCATTTTGTTTGTTTCATTTAAAAAAAAAATTTAAAAAAAAAGGTTAACGAGAAAAATAGAATTTAAAAGCGACGATGGACTGAGCCAGGAAGTTGACATGATGCAAGGTTCTAAGGACGGTCATTACGGAGATTTCGATTTTTCTACACTAATGGACTCCTCCATAAAGCATCCACAACCGGTGAAGGTATTGAGATTGGATTACGTGGATTCCAATTTGGCCATGTTTTTCGTGCTTCCAAAGCAGAATGGATTAGATGGGCTTATCCAAGATCTCAACACGGCTATACTGACAAAATTGATCGAAGGGCTAAGACACGAAAAAAAAATTAGGGTGACGATACCAAAATTCAAGATTGATTACGGCATCGAGATGAAGGAGGTTTTGCAGAAACTAGGGATGACCGATATATTTGGGTACATCATAATATTATTGCACACGAGGAAAATGTACACGTTTAAATTTATTAATGTCGATCAACGAAAATAACATCGATATGTGATGTAAATAATTATGAATTTTATGAGACACTATTCGAATCTGGGGATTTAGTTTTAAGCTAGAGATGTACTAAGCCCGGCCCGGCCCATCCATAACCCTGCAGGTAACCCTGGTCGGGAATTTTTTTTTAAAAAGCCTGACCTTTCATAATTTCACAAGCCAAGGCTGTCCGTGCTGAGTTTCAGATGTATCTACTTTAAAGCTACACACTCATTTATGTTAATTTATATTTTGGAAAAAAAATAATAAAACTTGAATGAAGTAACAAGGCCGATCTGTCAGGGATTTCCAGAGCTGAATCGGGTTCTTCAGAGACTGAAAGACTGTATTTGTCTGAAGTTTATCATAAGGCCTTTATCGAAGTTAACGAAATCGGAAGTGAAGCAGCCGCGGCCACCGGTGCTGTTATATCCTTGTTATCTGTCATGACTCCAACTGAGTTCAAAGCCGACCGACCATTCTTGTATTTTATTATGGATCTTTCCAATTCAAACATTCTCTTTATTGGAACTTACAGCAAACCACCTCAAACAAATGCATGAATTTATGAATAATATTATATAACTTTTATAACTTATTTATATCTTATGATGAATTTTTATTTTGTTTACTTTGATAAATTCAAAGATTAATTATTGATATCATATATTTATAGGTAAATAATTATATGGTAAAGCAAAGAAGCATAAAAAATTTTTTTTTAAAACCTATTATTAGGTAGTGCTAACAAAATGATAATTAACTGTAATCAGTTAAAATTAATATATTAACATTTCTTTCACGCACTAATAAAAACATTCTTTCTTTCATTCTTTCTTTCTTTCTTTCTTTCTTTCTTTCTTTCTTTCTTTCTTTCTTTCTTTCTTTCTTCTTTCTTTCTTTCTTTCATTCTTAATTGATAATCCAGGAGTCATAAGATTTATTCTAGGAAGGAATCTTAAAACGCAAATTTTGAAACTTTTATACCTTCGATTAACTATTCCCGTTATAACGGTGTAGAATCTAAGAATTCAGCTTCCATTTCTAACGATTTTCTTTAACTTACGTTTTATCGGTTCCTTTCTGGTGCTGAAACTTACATTTATATCATTTCTTATAGGGTTAGTATCGTTATAATTTTTTTAATACTAATATAGATATTATCAATAGTAACATAAAACATTATATAAATTATATATGTATATGATATTAATTTTTTTTTTCTGAATAGATTTAGAAGGAATCAATTAAATATCTTCTAATATTTGAGGATTTATCTTCGTTACCATAAATCATTCAAAGAGTAGAAGAATATTAGTATTTTATATTTATATAGATAAATTTGAAAACGCACATAAAAGATATCCCTTTCAGCCATAGTAGAAAAAAAAATTCTTTTTTTAAATATCTTCTAATATTTGAGGATTTATCTTCGTTACCATAAATCATTCAAAGAGTAGAAGAATATTAGTATTTTATATTTATATAGATAAATTTGAAAACGCACATAAAAGATATCCCTTTCAAGCCATAGTAGAAAAAAAAAATTCTTTTTTAACTGATTGTATATGATTTGATATAATAGAAGACAATCTTGAAAATTGTTTTAACTGTACGATTTATTATTTGTTTCGTGCATATTAATGATAAAATATAGCGTTGGTGTTCTTTCTGTATAATATAAGTTTTGCGGGGTTTGTAATAAAAAACAATGGAGGTTCTCAATTCATTGTTCCTAAAAAGGTTTATATGCCAAAATTTAAATCGAGTTTAAGGGGGAGATGTCCTTTTATACTCTTAGAGCGAAGGATCCTTGGGTCAGCACAAACCGGAAAAGGACCTAATAAAGTAGTAATTTTATCAGCATCTTTTCCTCCACGTAGTTATCCCTTACATGATTATAACACGTATAATGAATCTCATTTAGAGGGTTTAAACTGAACCAATATTATTATTCTAAACTGTTATTTATATTTTTAAAACATTATATTTTAAATAACTTTATCAATTAATTTATATAATTTAATTGAAAACATAATAGAATTGTAAATTTAAATTAGTTACTAAAATTCATTATTGAAAACTTACTTAATTCTTTCAATTCCATCTCGCCTCTCACTTTCTCCCACAAATATAGCGATAATTTCCCACCTTTTTTTTCCACTCCTGCTATTCTTTGCCATCTCATCTTCCAATTCAACAATTATTTACTTTCGTCATCAGAAAGGATCCATCAAAGTGATCCTATAGGCTCTTCACTTTTCCTGCAAAGGTATCTATCAAATGAAATTGTGAAAAACATTAAGGCCTATTGCAATCTTCCATTGCACACCTGGTACATCGAAGACGAAATATTCTACGACCCCCACGAGATCGCAAAGGCACTGACCATTATTAAAACGCTCTCAAATAATTGGATTTTCACTTAACGAGCAGAAAACCGAGACCTGCTATATTGTTCCATCCCAATTCACCCATAACTTCAATGCAAAGGAAATCTAATCCCTCTCATCTCTGCTTACCAGTTGTGGTTTGAAATCCATAAATCACTTCTTCGATAACGCATCATCCTAATTTTACTTCAATTTTATAAACATCTCCAAGCATCTCCCTCCTCATCAGACTTTTATTATTCTCAAAAACCTTTATTACGTTCTTAAAATTCTTTATGCTCTCCGATCCACTTCAATTTTTGAATTTCCTGAACCATTATAATTATTTGAAACTTCCGTCAAATCTAAGGAGATCCTTAATCTCCGACTTAATCATAATTCATGGTTACTAGCATCACCTTCCATGCACGCTCGGGGGTATAGGCCTACGTTTATCCCCTAACTCTTTCGATCAGAAGATTCATATTCCGTTGTCCCAAACACTCTAAGACCCACCACATGTTCATAGAAAGATTGGAATATGCCACTCACTTAAGTCTCCTTCACTTATCTAAAATCGGAGCCACACTATAATAATCTCACAATTTTTCACCACATGAACTAAGGGGATTCGGTTATGAGTTTCCCTAAGCCATATTTCAACAACCTGTTGACGATTTCCGCTGACGGGGTAAGATTTGGTTGTCGTTTCCTATGGCGCACCAAATGTAGGGAAATCATTTCGCGTGCACTTAAATCTGCAGGCATTATATTTAGACTTAAAACAACCGACATATTTAGAGTCGATGGAAAACTTCTTGATGGAATGTCCTTAATTCCTTGGTAAAGGGGTCAGATCTTAGTTTACATTGATCTCCAAATGCACCATCCAACCTCTACGTAGATGCTCTTGCCTTAGCAGAAACCCAGATTACCACTAAATACAACTCAATAGATCCTTCTTACTCATATATCCCCAACGTCTGCCCTCCATTTTTACCACCTTCGGCAGCAAAGTTAGATGCCTTTTTAAAGAAGTGAGGGAACTTATTCGCAAAAAGATCGATCAGGAATCCCTTTACTTACAACAAGGACTTGCTACCGCTGATATTTGCTCTAAATATCTAAGTCGTATCTCTTCCTTGAGACGTTCAATTTGTGCGCAATCGCATTTAATAATTTTGTCTTATTTCTTTCTTTCTTTCTTTCTTTCTTTCTTTCTTTCTTTCTTTCTTTCTTTCTTTCTTTCTTTCTTTCTTTCTTTCTTTCTAGGTAACTTATTATAAACGCATCTTCACAAGGATTATCGATACACTTTTTTTCCCCAAGACAAAACTCTGGAACGAATATTAGGAAATGGAGAGATTTATCCATTTCGCGTTTTTATATTCTCCCCCTAAATCTGTATTCCCAATTCCTCACTTTTTACATCAATCCCGCTCTTAAAAAAAAAATTAAAATTAAAAGAATAATTTGTCAATTTCGGAATTCGTTAAGAATTAGGTGAAACCGCTCTTTCTACTCTGAACTTCTCCATAACTACAAAGTCTAACTATTTTCTCCACGAATACAATGTATCCAAGACAGGGTAGGGTATCCAATCCCTTCATTCTCCACAGTTATGGCAGTATGCTCAGGAAAGGTTTGATTGGTATCTACTCCTCTGCTCTCACTTTAAAATGTTCACAACTTGTCTATAGCTGGAAATAGATTAATTTTTATATTTTTAAATTTTACTAGACTTAAATTAATTTTTGTATTCCAGTATACTAGTTAAACCTAAAAATAAAATAAATCATTTATTAGCTTCAATCAAGAAGAAAGTGTCCATTTGATAATAACCATCATTGATGAATTTACCTCATCTAACTCTTTAATTCAGTTTTTTCTGCAATATTGATCTCTGAAAAATTAAACTTTGGAGATATTAAATGTATACTGCTCGAATTTTGACCTCCGATGATATTATTTCTTCCATCAATGCTACCATTTCAACAACTTCTCGATAAACATCCATTGGCATCGCCTCTCGACTTTCACACTTATGGTTCCTCTCCTAATCCCTTTACCTGTGGTGAAGTTCTCATGTACCTGAAGACCTTTAAAAAAAAGGACGACGACGGGTTCACACAAGGTATTTTTGTTAATTCAAGGCAATGCTTTGACAAAGGTTTTATAATTAACTGAATTTTGTAATATCCTCTTATGCGAAGTTCCTCTTCGTATACGTCCTATTCCTTTTGGTGCATTGATTAAACTGGATGATCGTATTAAACCATTAGACGCATGGTCATTCTTTCGTCGATTAGTTGTCAAGGTTATATTGAACAGGATCCGCTATAATGCCAGTTTCCTCATATTTCTCTCTCAGTTAGATTTTGAAGTTAGAGGTGTGGGCACGAACTGGCCTCATATGTTGCACTTACATTTATAAACACTGACGAAGTTAGACTTTAGGAATGACTTCAACAGCATTCATAGGAGTTCATTCCTACTTTAACACTTTCCCAAATGTGGGTTTTATAAATTCCTGCTATAGCTTTTCTCGTTACTCAAATTTGGGGAGTTTTCATACCTTTACAAGAGGGTATTCAGCAAAGTGATCCACTAGGCCCCTTGCTCTTGACTGTAGGTATTCTTTATTTGATCAAATATCTAAAGCAAGATTTCAAATTAGATTTAAATTTATGGTATATCTCGACAATGTCTCTGTTGGTGAATTTTTTCCCAATGTCATGTCGGCCATCGATTACGTTGAAGTATAAGCTTCAAAAATTGGTATTTCCTTAAATATAAAAAAAATGCATGATATTCTCTATCAACAAACAGGATATTAATACCTCAGACTTTAGAATCATTACCCACGAAGAGCTCTGTTTTTTAGGTTCTCCTATAGACTTTTCAACTTCTCAGTCAATATTTTCTAGACAACTTGATTCAATCCCTAATTCTCTAAAGAACCTTCATCACTTTTCTCATACATTAGTTTTTTTTCCGCACATCTTTAAATCTTCACGGGTCTTCCAATATAATTCCTTTTTGAGTCTTTCTAATTAACATTTTATAGTATCCCTTTTTAGTGCTAAAGATTTCTGATTTTAATTGGTCATTTGCCTCTTTGCCAGCTTACAAGGGAGCACTAATGTTTACCCACCTCCACCCTATCCGCCCGCCCAATTTAATGGCAATTGATTGGTTCCTTTCATCTCGGATATCTTTTAACAACTCACGTTCCTTGCTTATCTAAGTAAACGACACTTCTAGATTCGGTCAAACAATATTGGCTTACTTTAGTTCTCGAAAGTCCCGACTACCCCGTTTCCAGCCAATTAAAGAGCTTCATAGTTCCCATGTTTCGATGCTTATTTGAAAAACTCTCTTTGTCTCCTTATACAACTAACCTTTAAGTAATTAGAAAAACGCTAAAAAAACGGCCATGAAAGGCTAAACATTATGCGATAAAGGAGTTGTTACTCACAAACGATATCCAAATTGCTATTGGTCATAGGCTACGTTTTTTTATTCTGATTGTTGGGTTTAGATTTGCATGCAATAAGCAAGTTGATCCATTTTCTAGGAATTATTTCTCTTGTCTCAAAACAGGCGGCCACTATTTACGGCATAAAAATCTGAATAGCTTGATAGGCAAATCTCTGATTTCCTTCAGTTCCCCAATTTTTTGGAGCCTTTAGATGTCTTTTAAATGAGGATGTAAGCGTTCCGATGAGGTGTCTTTAATATCTTGTTTTCTCATTTCCCTCTAGAAATTTTGATCTCTTAGGAACTTCCAAGAGATTTAAAAAAAAATGCAAAATTCTTTTATTTCTATCCCTCAAATCTTTATAATGCTTCTGGGAAACCCTTCTCCTCAGAATCAATTAGGCATAGAAATTTCAAAAAGTACTGCCGGGAAAAATGAACGAGTCCCGTTCCTTCAAACAAAACAAACTCAAATTGGAATCCTAAAAAAGAATTACGAGTGTTTCTTTGAAACCCTTCCTTATCCTTTCTAGTTCCTATCACAATACGGGGCAAAATTCTATTTTTATTATTAAATAATAATGAAAAAAAAAACATATTAAGTGATTTAATCATTTTATTTGTTGAATTTAAAGATATTTTTAAATTTTACTTATATAACGGCCATACACTTTAGACATCTGTAAAAGTAGGCTCGGCTCTTTTTTAAAAAATATCGGTTTCGGTCCGGCGGGCCGGATCTTTTCTTTAAAAAAGTCGGGCCGGTTCGGGTCGGGCTTTGGAAATTTTTTTTTTAAACATATCTAAATTTATCAATTTTATGTTAAATTTTTATTTGGTTTTTATTTATAAAAACTAGTGGCCATTATAACGTATTATTTTGAGTGATTATAAAAAATGAATTTCTATATTTAAATTAAATTCGGGTCGGGCCGGTAAATATTTTAAAAATTATTCGAGCCTGGCCGGGCAAATTTGGCTAAATACAGATCACAAATACACATTATATTATTTTTTCCTACACCGTGTAATCCCCATTATCATTTTATAAATTACATTCTTATTTCTACAGTTACTATTTTAATATAATAGAGGCATTACCAGAGTTATTGAACCTCAGAAATTATATATATAATGAGAAATTGAAAAATAGTTTAACAAAAACATGTTTTTTATTTACTATAAAGAAATATTATAATAATATGCGAATTAAAATGATAAAAAAAAAATATAAAATAAGATAAGATAAACCCATTCGGGTTTTATTGACGCATAAATTTAGATACAATTTAAGTAACGATTTTTAATATAGATTTCTTTGAACCCAAATGGAAGGAAGGTTTCCTTAGGGATCGCTGGTAATTAGTTTCGTTACATGCTCAACAACCTTTGAGAAACTGAAAGGATTATGGAAATAAAAACGAACGTTAAAGAGGAGAACCGGGTGTCGCCCGAAGGAAGCAGCGGTAATATATTTTGCGAAACGACCTCGCGTTTAATCTCAAGTTAGGGAAACCTTGCTTGTATTCCAAGGGCGCTGACAGTCGCATCAATTCGAAGATTAAGTAGTGCTCGTATTACTGTGACATCATTAATATACGATTTTAGGTTTTACTATTTCCGTATTTGATAAAGAAATTGTTAGAGGTAGAAAATCACAAAATAGTGATCTAACTAAATAATTATTAATGATTGATTTTGATTTGTTGAACGACATTATGACAATATTTTTAAAAAAAAGGTATGTCACCAACGTGTAAAAACTAAGTAATACTCGTTTAAATTTTAAGAAGCTATAAGATATACTTTTTAAATTGTTTACTTAATTAATTTATTTTTTTTTTAAAATGTCATTTCAAATATTTATTTATTTTTTTTAAAAAAAATGTCATTTTAATAATATATTTAATTTTTAATTCTTAAATTTGTTATTTATAAGATAAGATTTAATTTATCGTAAATAAAAAAAAGAGATTATAATATTACATATTATTTTTTTAATAAATAATATCATTAACGTGCAAAGCAAAAACCAAGCATAATAATAATAAAGAAAAAATTTATAAACATCGGAAAAATTTTAATAAAGAATATTTTTTATAATTTTTTAAGTTAGTTTTCATTGGCTTATAAATGGTCATTTTTTTTAAAAAAGTTTAAAAATATTTTAAGGATAATTTCAAATATAAAATTCTATGATCCTTCATTCATCAACCCCGTTAAACGCCTTGCCTTCAGCAAGGTTAATCTTGATTTTCGTATGTTCACTCTTCATGATAAAATCTGTGGAAGCTCAGAAACTTGATGGGGCTTCTAATCTAGCGCTCGCAAATAACCAATTCACTTTCGACACCCTGAAACAAGCTGCGACCTCTTTGAAGGGCATAAAGAATGTGAATATCATTCTATCACCTTTCAATGTGGCTCAAGTACTTTCTATGATAATGCTAGGAGCTAAGGGAGAAACATTCAATCAATTATCGAGCACTTTGCATTACTCTTCGAATTTTAAACCTATTCCGACACCGTTAAACCAAGAGGGTTTGCATAAAGCTATCGCTGACAAGCTACTAACGGGCCCCAAGGACCAGAAAAGGAACGTGACTCTGGAGACCGGAAACGGGATTTACCCCGACAAAACATTTCCCCTCAATCCTACCTTCCTGAAAAACGTAGAACGTTTTTACCAAGCTTCTGTACAAAATTTGGATTTTAGGAAGGAATCGCAAAAGGCCGTAGGCATTATAAATGCGGATATTTCGAAAGCCACTAACGGAAAGATCCTAGATCTATTACCTCCTAACAGTCTAGACGCTTCCACTTCGCTAGTTTTGATCAGCACAATTTATTTTAAAGGAGATTGGAAAGATAAATTCGATCCAAAGTAAATGAAATACGAATAAAATATTTTTCCTTACCAAATTAATATAAAAATGTTATTAAATAAGCATTTTGACAAGTTATTACCAGTTAGAACCATTAAGTTTTGAAGCTTATAATTTAATTTTTTTTAATAAATTTTAAAAGCATAATAATATTTTCATATCACTTCACTATCTTTACTACATAAACAATTCATTTTTCCCCATAAAAATTTTTAATTTTTAATTTTTAAAAAAAATGTTTTTGTCAATTAAAATTGAATAGATTATTATAATATATAAAATTTCAAGATCAAGGTTATATTATGTTAATGGTATTGTAAATATATTGGTATAATCTTAAATGAAGGATTAGCTAGAATTTTGGTAAGTTGGGGTATAAGGGAGTGGGGCACTATTAGTTGTGCCTATAAATTTTATGAGGTCTTTTTAGGTCCGGTTATTGTGGGCCCTTTTATATTATATTTTTATAAACATTATTTGGACTTTTCATAATTTTCTTTTTTTTCTAAGTATAAGTAATTTATAAGTCGTTATTTAGATAAAGTTATTAACTTTTAACTACATTTTTCGTTCAAATTCTATCATCAATGACCCGCAAAGGTACCACTTACCAATGACATATAATAATACCTAGACACATTCAATAAAATTGTACTACATATCAATGGAAAACAGCTGGGGACTCCATTTTGATTACCCATATATTAAAAATTTTAAACGAGAGGGCCAATTTCATTCCTATTTCTGAGGCAAACTTAATTAAAGAATTGCCTGATCATCCTCGAGATAATGAGGAAGCAAGTTATCAATTCGATAGTAGTTTTTAACATGAGAATTATTGCTGATATCATGAAACATATTGACGATCAAATTTAAACCCATCCATATAAAATGATAATATTTGCAAAAAATAAATAAAATATGACAAAGTGAAATTATTATTTCTTTTGTTGTAACATTTGTAAAGATTAAAATTATGTATGCATGTGTTTTAATTAAATTCGTCAATATGTTTCATTAAATCATCACAACACTGTAATAGGTTACCAAAAATGGCGGTTCCAATTTGTGTTCAAAGATGCTTTCAAATGCATTATTACGAATGCATCGAGTCTAGGCATAATTATATGTCATTGGATAAAATATACGCCAGAAATATTAACATTTTTAAAATAGAATGTTACTTATTAACAATAGAAATTTACTTAGAAATTCTGTTATTCATGCAAATTTTTAAAATAATTTATTTAGGTGGGAAAGGTATCACCGCTCCCTTGCTAGTTTCACGCCTTTATTTTATATATGTATCCTCGTATTTTTTTTAATCTTACAATAAACTGTTTCAATTAGCCATATATTTCCACCTCACAATATCCCAAAAGAGGATTAGAGAAGAGTGGACATTTTCCCTCCTCATGGAAGATTAAATATACAGTTTTTATAGATTCTTAAAAGTTCATATTTAAATTTGACTCCTCAGAATTATCCAATTAATCGTATGTAATTATGATATCATTTTATATTATAAAAATTAATGAAAAAATTGGAAACAATTTTTCAAAAACTGTTAAAAAAAATGTCATACTAAGTCAAAAACCACATGTGACACCCAAACATCATAATCATATTCTATTCAATATCAGTTACCGCGGCTTAGCTCCTATAAGCTGGCCACCTTTATGGAGGAAGAGCAGCTGATAGATATCCTCAATTTTTTTTTTGTAAAGGGGTTGCTTAACTCTTGATAATTACTCTGTGAAGGATATAACTAGATAACTGTGATATCTCACCACACACACTAACGCTATTCCGAACCTAAACTACAAAACAACGACATGCATAGTATATAAATATACACGAATATAATTGTAATATAATTTCCACCGCCCTGTCAAGAAATTAACGTTTTCCTATCTTCTTAATGTTAAAATAATCGATGGAGACTTTATCTCTATAAATGTCAAATTTTAAGAAGAATTTTTTGTACAGCACGGCATTCGAAATTTTGACTTAACGATTCAAAGGACCACCTTCTATATTAAAATTTGTAATATAATCTTCCATATTGTTACTAGTTGATAACCCGTCAAGAATGACGGGAATAAAAAAGATCATGTTATTATAGTAATTTTTTTTATCTATTAAATAAAGGAGATTTATTAAATTTAGCGTAAGATATACGAAATTATAATCAAAAATGTAGGGAAGATATGGATAAATAGGTAATGCCATTTCCAGACTTCACGTATTAATGGTGAGATAAAATTTTTATTTTGCCTTTTAATTTTTCGATTGGCTAATTATAATTTAAATTAATTTGTTAAATTTAAAAGTGTAATGATATACTTAGGAGTAGTGACTTTGATTAATTTTCCGGCATATTGTGGCATAGTTACATATAGTTTAGGTATTAGAGCCTTATAATTCCATGAAATAATGCAAACAATGAAAGATCTCATTTATTTAATACAAAAAAATTTCTATAATAATTTCGTAATTTTTTTTATTCCCGTCATTCTTGACGGGTTGTCTATTAGTATATATATATAATTGCTTTAGACCTTGTTCACATATCTTTAAATATTTTTTATTTTTAAATACCTTTAACTCGTAGACCTGCAGAAATGCCATTTGCAATGCCGGATTTTTAAAAAAAAAAAATTCGGTTTTGGCCCGAACAAAATATACGGTCTGACCCGTGTACCCGCTAGCCGGGACTGTAGGTCTCTGATTTAACTTGAGTGTTTATTTTTTTTCATTTCCCTTACATTATTGTGAGCGCTATTATAAAATTCAAAATTAATCATCACTCTAGGTTTTCGGGTCTAGGTCTATAGGGAGGGGGGTTGGAATTAATAGTTTTGTTTTTGATAAAATATAATATCGACAAGAGTGTCAAATGAAAATTAATAAAAAAGAATTTTCGAATGACATTAAAATTATCACTCTAGGCATAGATCTATGTAATTGCAAAGGGGGGAGGGAAGTGGGATTACTTTTATGTAAAAATATATATCGACAAGTGTATTAAATGAGTATCTAATAAAAAAATTTATAATTAAAATCTCGGGTCTAGATAATAGGGGGGTTAGTTAAAAATTTTATAACAAATTATCGACAAGGGTATCTAATAAAAGCAAAATAGTCATCGTTGCAATCACTGTGTCTCAGGGGTGATTTTGGGTGGGAGGGAGTGGGGAAGGGTGGGAGATTTCTAACATGATATTTGGACATGGAAAACAAATGTAAACCAAGTTTACATTAATACTCGTCTCTTTGCTTTTAGAGGGTAAATTTGGGAACAGGTTTTGAGGTTATAACAAATTCTAACATAATATCTCGATGTGATTCACAAAATAAAAAATAATATTCTGACTGGATTATTCCTCATTCCCCATCCCTATAAAAAGACCACTAGGGATGCAGGGAGATACATATTTTAAAAACTTTTGTCCGTCCTAGCTATATAAAAATGTTCCCACAGCTGTTTCGAAATTTTAACCAGCTGATATTATAAACATGTGGCTTTTCTCGCTGGATTAAAAAAAGCAGCAAGTTAAGATTACTGCATCAAAATAAGATGTAATTATGTGAGTTAAGACGCCTCTTACACATAAAAATAACGAGTCAAAAAAATTTTAATGGTTGATTAAGGCAATATTCTTATGTTTATAAAAATTTTTATCAAAAAAAGATTGACCAAGAAGATACCCTTTAAAAGCGACGATGGACTAATCCAAGAGGTTGATATGATGCAAGGTCTTAAGGAAGGGTATTATGGGGATTTCGATTTTTCTACGTCAATGGACTCCTCTATAAAACACCCACAATCCGTTAAAGTTTTGCGGTTAGATTATACGGATTCCAATTTGGCAATGTTTTTCTTACTTCCGGAACAGAATGGATTAGAGGGACTTATCATCGATATCAACCCTTCGATATTGGCCAAATTGATAGCGGATGTTAGGCACAATACTAAAATTAAAGCAATATTGCCTAAGTTTTCGATAAATTACGAGGTCGAGATGAAGGATATATTGCAGAAATTAGGGATTACTGATGTATTTAGGTATTTTTTTTTCATAAAAAATTAAATTAATTCTTTCATAACTCCCTTATTTATGTTAATAAAACTAAATATTTATAAGTAACAAAGCAGATCTATCAGAAATTACTAAGACTCCAATGGATGCTGAAGGACTTTATATAAGTAAGGTTTATCACAAAGCCTTTATCGAAGTCAACGAAAAAGGGAGTGAAGCAGCCGCAGCCACTGGCGTTGTTATAAGTAGGTCTTCTATTTTCCTGCCAATTACGTTTCAAGCAGATAGACCGTTTATGTATTTCATTATGGATCTTTCTAATTCGAATATTCTTTTTATTGGAACTTACAGCAGACCATCTTAAATAACTATATATCAATAATATGAAAAATATTTTAAATTATGAATTATATAAAAAATTATTGTTATAATAATTATGTTGAAAAATAATAGTTCTAGTAAAAATATTGAATTTTTTTTTAAAAGATATTATATAATTCAAATTAACAAAAAAATAATATCGGCAAGCAGTTGGCTCAAAAGAGGGAATAGTTTGATGAATAATATATTTATAGATTGTGAACTCATTATTGAGTAGTTCTAACGGAGAGATATGAATATGTAATTTTCGTTTTTTTTTATTATAACAGAAATTTAATAAAAAAGAGTTGTAGATTTTTATAATTTTCAAGATGGCAAATGATATAATAATAAAAATTTATAATCAGTTAATCAAAAAAAATTAATATTATGTGTTTTAAAGGTTATTATTAACATAAGATCATTCATGGTGAATATTATTTACTGCCTAGTCAATAGCAATTTGCTCATCAACGACCAATTATTTTTTAAATGCATTCATATCCATATTTTATATACTTTCAAAAATACTATTTAAAACATCAATTACTATTTTTTTTAAGAGCTCAACCCGGGTAAAAAACGTTTAAATTAATATTTGTTCTGTGAGATATGGATCAACCTTCTGTCCTAAATTTATATTGCATAAAAAGTTTTCAAAAATTCTAATAAATATTATTTTGATGAATTAGTGTACAATTTAGTTAAGAATAATTCATCTAAAAAATTTCAAAAGAAAAATAAAATATTTTTAATAAATTTTAAAAATAAAATACATATTTATTAAAAATAATATAGCAATATTATTTTCAGCGGCCAGCGTTGAACGCGAATTTCTTTCGATTATTAGACCGACGGGAACGAATGCTTTTTTTAAATGTATACAAAACTAAAAATATTGCCTATTTTTTATTCTAAGCACAAATACAATTTTAAAAATCACTTAGTAGTTCTTTTATAATTTTTCAAGCTTATGTAAATTGATGGGTTTTAAAGGGTCGCTTCAAATTAATTTTTTATTGGGGTGTCAAAGTCCTATGATAAATTATTTATTGTTGAAGAATAATTTACTATGTTCTGCTTTAAATAAAAATTAGATATCAGATATACAAAATTTAAGAATCATCTTGCTTTTATCTTCTGGACTATCAAATAAGATAAAATTTAATAACGGTAAAACGAATATACTTATATCAAAGATACAAAAAAATTATAACAAAAGATTATAATATACAATAAAATTTAATAATTTTAAGTAAAAAGTATTTGAATAATAAAATTACAAATAAAGAAAAAAAAAGCTTAGTATAGAAATGTTTAATATAATTCTATAAATAATAATTAGATTAAATTAAAGTATACAATAACACAGATTTTACCATGTCACAACATTTTACCCTAACTCTAACTTAAATAATATAGATGTCAATCTTCTTATTTTATAAAATGTCTAGCATATTCTTTAAAAAATGATTTCGACTGATATGGATGTTGATTCTTCTCATAGTATCAATCATAAAGAAAATAGTTCTTATTCAAAATTAGAAGTTGAGAATACGCTTGTAGATAACCATAAAAAGTTTATTTATATTTAACTATTTTTACAGACAATTTTTCAGACATAAAAAACACAAAAAGGAAAAGCATAAACATGATAATAATTTAAAAGATAATGATAAACGACATTCTAATGATAATAGATACGATAATCATCAAACACATGAAAACAAAAGTATTGAAAAGAGGTATTCAAAATAATTTTTTTTATAAAAACTTTTTAATATTAATATGTATAATAATAATCTTGAGACTAATATAATAAATTACTTTACTTTGAATATATTTAAAATTATAATTTTGTTTTTTATGTGCATTTTTGGAATACTTCACAGTAAATTGGGACCTACACCATATTTATACATATCACTTTTTTGCTGATACTTCTTATCCTAGAAATTAGCTTATAATTTTTTGAAATAGATTTTAATTTAAGTATCATTTTTTATTATTGATTGAACTTTAATTAAAGCTGATACTGACCAATACTCTGAGTACCCCCCCCCCTCCCCATCTAATTCACTCAAATAATATTTACGAATTGAGTCATATATGCAATAGCATTAGATTACCTATTGAAACTTAAAAATTAAAAAGCAATTGTGGGAAATAAATTTAAAATATAATTTTTATTTAAAAAATGATCATGTTAAAAATTGATAACTTTCTATAAAAAGTAATTATGGGAAATAAATTTAAAATATAATTTTTATTTAAAAAATGATCATGTTAAAAATTGATAACTTTCTAATTTTTACATGACCTAAGGTATTATAAAATTTTGAAAATATCTGCTTTTTTTGATAAAATTGTAAATTTATATTTTAATGATGATTTATTAAAATTCTTTAGTAATCTTTAATCCAGTGATTAAGCCTGGATTTTTATTGACCAAACCATATAAAATGTTAAGATTTATAAATGAGCCGAATTTTTTTGTTTTTGAGTAAATAACCAAAATTGTTAGATTTTAAAGTTTTTAATAATTTTTTTTTAATTAAGATAGATTGGTTAATCGGTAAAAATTTTTCTTTTAATTATTAAAGCCCTAATATGAACCTGCAGTGCAGTTGATGAAGCCAAAGTTAAGCTGAATTTTTTTTTATTTCTTTTTCAAGTTTTGTAAAGTTGCTGGTGATAGTTTTTCTCAAAAATCATAGAAAAATTGGTTCCCTATCAAAATTGCTAGAAACGTACACACTTCTGTTGAATTTTTAAAATAAATTTGAAATTAATAGATCGTCGGTCTAGAGTACTCCACTTGACATATTCAATTTTGAGTTAGAAGTGGATAATAACTTATTTATTCCTAATATATGTAAAAATAAAAACTAGATTAAAAAAATATTAATTTTTGCCAAAGTTATAGCTCTGATAAAATTGATCAATGAGTTTTTCCTATATTTGATTGATTTTAATGTTGATTTTCTCATTTTAAACATTTGCGCAAATGGAGCAAGTACTCCAATTCTAGGCCAACGAGATGATTTAAATTGAATTTTTAAATAGGATAATATCATAAATATTTTTAAAAGTCGTCCACAATTCTGGGAACAATGGATGCCATTTCTTCCATTTTTAGTGATTTTTTTTAAAAACTCAAAATGAAAGGGTTTACTTTCTTAACATCTAGTGTTGTTAAATGGCATGATTTCAGCCTATTTTTTATACTTAATATTTTGGAGAATATTGTCATAGCCTTAAGATTTTGCCAATCGATGTCCAAACCTTTGTGGCATCTATGACCAAAATCTTCAGGATTCCGTAATGTTTTTCTGGATAAAATATTGACTTAGCCATTTTTAAAATTGGCATAAATAGAGACGTTTAACTACTCCAATCATATTTTTTAAATGTATATTTATATTTGGTTATATATCAATTGAATATGATATTTTATTATAGAAAATTAGCAAATTTGAATTTACTTCCCACATATATTTTTTTTAACATAGTAAAATAATAACATAATTAAAAAGTTACAAAATAGAGTAATAATATTCCTATTGGAAGATAAAGGTGAGGATTTGAGTTTGAAACTGCATCTAGGCCAAACCTAGCTTATAGAAATTTTTTAAGAATTATTTTTGCCTTGTCCATAAAATAACTTCGTACAAGTTGTCTAGATTGCCTCGTAATTTATTTTACAAAAGATGAAGACATAATTTACTCAATTCTCGGCTTTAAAAGGTCCGTCAAAATCCACTCTGTAAACATATTTAGCACATATTGTCCTGCACAGCTGGAGAATCTTTTGCCCTTTGGTTGGAATATGCCAATCCCTGACAAGGGTCAAAGACCAAACCTGAGTAATTGCAAATGATTTAGATCAGTCAACAAGATAATTTGTATTCATCACCTAATAATTTTTGGAATATTTCCCTATATATTTTTTTTATAAAATAGTATGTAAAAGTCTGAAAAAGGATTGCTTAATTTTGAGGTTGTGACTATTTAATTCGTGTTCTCAAATTTTAATTTTACCAATGAAACTATTCCATGCCTAGTTAAGCATTTCAGGGTTAACTATTGATTAGTATCATGTCTAAATTAAATATTAAATAACTCGAATCTTGCTAGAACCAATTTATGTAGTTATTATAATTAAGTAGTTTATAATGTCATGTGTAAGTTTTATTCTGATTACAAAAGCGAAAAGAATGGTATTATTATCTGCAAGTGGCAGGACAATTGATATATTTAATGAAATGCTTATACAGTTAATTGAAATTAATAAATATTTTTTTATAAAATTATTTTTCTTGAACGGATACTTGGCTCAATAGAGATCACAGTGATATTGCAAATAAGTATGCTAAACTAAAACCTCGTAGTCATTCCAAAATTCCCTTCGTTGTTAATAGTCATAAGAAAATGGAAATTGAGGAAGATGAATTTCTTGTCGATAAAAACGATCCAACAAAGCCAGCTAAAAAGGTTCCATTATCATTGGAAGAAATTCTGGCTAAAAAGAAGGCCGATCAGGAAGCTCTTAGCAAAGTACAAAATTTTGATATCAATTTTAAGCTATAAATCAAAGACCTGCAGAGGTATTGGGCTGCCCAGTTAAAATATGGTCCAGTCTGGCCTTAAACCCTGGCTTAGGGCTGGACCTGCAGGTCTCTGCCATAAATCATTAAAAAGCTGTTTTGGTCATCATTCTGATATTGTAAAAATTTACACTATTTAATAATGTCAATTTTGTCTATAAATATAAAAGCCTGGCTTAAACTAAGCAATATAAGATAAGCCTCATTTACCAAAAATTATATTTCACGATAGCTGTGTATTTAATGTGATTGTTATTGTGTTGACATGCGAGTTAATTTCATTTAGTTTGAGTGGTGGGCATATTTAATTATTAATTTGCTACTTTTCATAACAAAAGTTATTTACATTATATAATTTATATAGAGGTGTGTGGTTTTATATTATTCTACCAATTTTAATGCAATTGCTTAAATTATGGATAAGATCCCGTTTGTAAGCAATTCTTAGGTCTGGCCAGGTTGAAATTTAGTTTTTTAAATTTTCCCGCCCCGTTTCTTTAAACAAGACCTATCCCGATATACTTTATGGATTATAACTCAATATTCAATAATCCAGCCCAAAAGCTCGACCCGTTAATTTTTTTGTCCTGCTTAATCAAGACCGGTCATTGCAGACTTCTGCCCAATCTCGCATGCTATAAAAGATGCAGGTGATACAGTTGAAGATGGTGCTAAATACCCCCCTTAACTTGTCCGTGACGCAATGTGACTGTCGATTTCACTTGGAATATCAAACCTGGGGACCAATGAAAATTGTTGGGTTTCTCAGTAACAATGAATAAAAAGAAATGATTTAACTTTTTTGGGAAAATAAATGGATTTAATCATTCGCGAGAATGCAACGAATTTTGATTTGGCCCCAAAAACAATGATACTAAATCCTAACTAATGTTGTTAAATGGCTCCATTTGAGATTAACTCAATCCTGAAGATTTTGCTCATAGAAAGAGCAAAGGGTTTGGACATCTATTAGCAGAATTTCGAGGCTTTGCTGCCTAGTATTGAGTTAGTCTTGTAAATCGGCTCAACTCGACTCATCTAACTAACACTAACCGATAATGAATTAGTACTTATCGATTCCGCTATTGAAAGGTATTTTAGACGAAATATACCCTTATGGCTTTTACTATAGCCAATGAAATTAGCTACATCTGCTTGAATGTGCGTACACTTTTAATAAACGAATTGTCGGGCTGCATGCTTGGCCAGTGAGAAACTAAAGGTTTTGCGGTGCTCTTGCTTTGCCTGTAGTTATTCACTTTTTTGCAAAAAAATATACCGATTTTTTATGACATTGGCTTAAGGATGGATTGTAAATAAATGTAAATATCGGATATCGAATCGGTTTTATACGAATATCGGATTCGGTCTGAACGAGTTGGCCTTACTAATAACAATATTTTATTGTGTATCCAATATATAAGATAATTTGGGGTCTGGATCGGTTTGTTAGTCTATATTGGATTATTTTTCCATCTCTCATCACGTGTTATTATCTTTGACACTTCACAATCCTAAAAGAAACTTTCAGTTTATTTAGAAATTATAACCGATTTAAGAGAATTCGGGAGTATTTTCAACACGCATCCCAATCCTTCTGTTCGTGGGTTTTGGAAGGCCTATATATTCGATTCGATTTACAAAACGGGGGTAAAAATATTTAAACTGATCAAGCTTAAAACCGGGACCGGTTTCGGAAAAAAATTCGGGAGACTTGTCAGGCTTAAAATAATTGAATAATTTAAACCGGGTTGAGCGCTGTATCATAAGCGCAATTCCACTCGAAAATCGATTTCATCTTTCTTTTATAATTTTTTATAGCCCAAATTTTTGAGTAAAGAAGAACGCGCTGCCGAAGCCATTAAAAGAAGAGAGCAGGAGGTTTCGGAGAAGAAGAAGGTCAACGACGAAGTCAGGAAGAGGCAACAGCTGTTTCTGAAACAAGCCTTGCAGAGCAACGGTAAACAATATTTTTATTCGTATCTCATTTTCAGCATTGGGTTTTACCAATAATTTGGTAATTCGTCAGTACTTCAAAAGTACCTGATGTTTTACCATGCGTACCCTTAACTTGATTATGATAAAATGACAGCACATGTAGGTGAATAAGCTGATGCGGGCGGGCTTGTTGAACGTTGAAACCCTAGCCAGCATTTCATAGCTCAAATGTGGAATCATTCCTAGGTTTAAATAAATAAAAAATTATAGTGTGGGGCTTCTCCTGGTTGGTAGGGGGAAAACGAAGCTCAGCCTCAGAGCATTAAAATTTTTACATGAAACTTTTTACAAAATATCAAAAAAATAAGAATTGATTTAAGAAAACTTTCCTAAAAAACATTCAATTAGTTGGCTTATTTAACAAAAACTAAGAGTATTTAAAAACTTGGCCAAAACATTTGGTATAAATATAATATATAAAGGAAATGGTGGTAGGAAAAGAATAGAGAAAGGGGAAAAAAATGAAAGCTAAATTTAGAAAGATAAAGCTAAAAAAAAGGAACCATATACGAGATACCATTATTTACTGTAATAATAATGATTGTCGTTTTAGAAACCATTTACGAGAAAGAGCGCAGGGAGAGACGCGAAAGGCGGGAGAGAGAGGACAAAGAAAAGGAGGAAGAAAGAACCAAAATCAAGGAGGAAAAGGACAAGGACAAAGAACTCGGTGCCATCAAGGTTTAGAAATTATAAATAATAAATAAATTGTGACTCAAAGTTCGAAATTAGGTAAACCAGGGCGAAATCTAGGAAACGGAAGTAAAACCGCACCTTGCAAAGTATTTCTTCTCCCCCCCCCCTTTTACTGTGCACCTTCCGGGTATCTTGTCCCCAACGCCTATTATATCGTTTGCAACGCTGGTGGTTTCAATGGGAATCGAAAGAAAAGGGCTTATCTCGGCAACTTTATAACTTAATTTTTTGATATGTTTATGAACTCCTATCTATGACATTCGAGTAAGATCAGTCAAAGGGGCGGGTGTTTCAACATGATGGACAGGTGAGTTACGGTAGATTTTTAGTGTTAGGCGGGGGGGGGTTAACTTTACATAGTTAGCAAGCATCAATTTTATATTTTTATAAACGATGAATATAAGTCCATTATGAACCATATAGTTTAAGAAAATTCATGATTAGATGATGCCCATATTTTTATTACTCCCGACAAATTTTATTTCATGCCCAGTGAAAGATTCGAGCTGATGACATGGGATAGGTTGAGTGTGTTGTAAATTTTATTTTGTATCGTAAATCGCTTTGCCGATTTGATTATCGTTACTACCAATGCTAGTATCTGTTTTCCATTTCGAGACGGAAATAATTATTTTTGTAATTTCGTTACTATCTATGACTTCCAAGTTTTTTTGTATTAGGTATAAATAGTAGCAATAGAAAGGATCTCTGTGGAGTTTGGTCAATAAGATACTAACTGGAAGTTTAATACTATCGGAAATACAATTTCTCTGTGACCAAGAAAAATTTCATGATTATTATTCGAGATGGGGAGAGAATATGTGCTAAGCGAAGCTAAAACTTACTGCTTTGTCCATATATTTTATTACCGATCTAAATAATTCCAGCAATTTTAGACAATTTTAAAAAGGGGTCGGCCGAATCGTGATCGATTTGACAGTAAGACGCCATTATTATTTTCCTTTGGCGGGTAAATATTCAAATTCAATTCTGAAATGTTAGAATCTCTTTAAAAAAAAGGATAATTGAGATTTTCACAAATAATTTTTATAATTCCTTAATTTTTCGGTTCCAAATACAGCTGAGCTCAAAGGAATTCACAACAAAGTTATGTTCTCTTATCCCATGACCAACGATGTACGTATAAGCTTAAGATACCCTTAAACATGCTATTAAAAAAAAATTGGATATAAATTTGTGGTAAAAATGCCATTTTCCGTAACGCTTATTACGGTCCCTTAAAATGCGCCAGAATATTGATATACGATGATTGCGATAGGTCCATGTTGTCTATAATTTTAACGATTACGACAGCACATTTATAATTCAATATCCGGTTATCTTAGTCCCATTCTTCATCCTCCAACTGGGAGTTCTCATTTTTTCTCTTAAAAAACGTATTATGTTTTCGTGATAAATATCTAACCGAAATAATGTCCGCTATAATTCGCCAAGAAAAAATACCATTGGTTAACCCCAACAACCCCAACCCTATGAATATATTACGATTTGACCACCATTGTATTTTATATTCCATGCAATGTAGGGCGTAATCGTTTTTTTTAAACAAAAATTTAATCTTGAATTGAATTCATATTTTGTTTGTTAACAGGAAAAGTACCTGGGAGTTGTGAAGAAGAAAAAGCGTGCACGCAGACTCAACGAGCGGAAATTCGTGTTCGATTGGGATGCTACCGAGGACACCTCTATCGATTACAATCCCATTTACAAAGATCGGCACGATTTATTGTTCTACGGGAGAGGAAATCTTGCCGGCATCGATATCAAGGTTAAATTTAAAATAAACAACATGTTGTTCCAGTGTGGGATGGAAACGGCTGTTAATCCTTAGTTGCACCGGTGGAAAAAATAATCCCAGGAAGACTAACTGGGGAGCCCCCTCAGACCCAAATCTAAAAATGCTGTATCTTAGAGAATTGTTTTGTAGCTTTTTCATATTTTAAGCATTATCAATTTTTCTAAGATATATTTAGCATTTTTTTTTAGATTTTTAGAAATATAATTAGTAATTAGTTAATCTTTATTTAGACAATATATCAAGGTAAGTTATAATAATAGTAAAAAAATATAATATTAGTAAATCATAAATATACAAAGTCATTAATTCTTGCTATTTTTTATTGATTGAGATTCAAGTTCCCTTTTAGCGTTAACATTATAATAGGCAGCAAAATGGCCAAAGTCTATCCTATGCATAGTATGTTCAATTACGGGGTTTCAGATATTAAAAAAATAAAGCTGAGATAATTGTATTTTACTATTTTTATGGCTAATCTTTGGCGTAGGAAGAATACCCCCGTTGGGATCCTCGGTCCTAGCAGAGATCCGTTTTCCCAGCTCTTTAAAGAAGTCCAGGGCCTGAGAGCCGAACGACGTTAGAGTCGTGGCGATTAATGGGAGGAATGTATAATTGGCGGGAAGAGATGGCGAATACTTAGCTAGTTTATTCGCCTCTGGCATCTAGTATGACATCTCTATTTATATGGAAGGGGCAAGAGGATCGATGCATGAGAAATCCCAAGTTAGGAATTCCCCCCTCTTCCAAGGGATCATAGTCGAACCATCGGGCCGCTTACCATCGTATTTGTAAAGGCCAGTAGGTTCGAGGGTTGATGGGATGCCGGCGGATTCTAAGGCCCTGGCAATGGTATCATTGCATTTTGAATGCCTAATGAATCTGCCTCTACAGTACTTGCAGTATAGAGAGTGACGGCCTTTGGACGACGTTTGACCGACGTATTGATCATGACGCGATTAAGTCTAAGACCGATGGCGTGACGTAGCTCATCATTGCTTAGGAACTGGTCAAGGTTTCGGGATAGGAAAGTCATCAAGAAATTTGTATCCACTACCTTCGGAAATGGAGAAGAGTAGAGAATGGTCCTCTGGTTGGCTCCTTGATTTAACGAATGCAACCGAGTTGCCAACTAGAGGTTTATCCCAATCCTTCTGTAATGCCGACGATGGAGGATCGACTAATGAAAGGGACTTCCATAGATCAATTGCCTGTAGGAGTAAGGGGTCAGGATGTTTTGTGAGTTTTTGAATGATGGTCTCGCAGAACAGCCGAGAGGATATGAGCGCACTAACGGAAAGTAAGGAAGGTGACCTTATACCAATGCCGCCGGATTTGGTTGGTAAGGTAGCCTGTAACCATGATAATTCCCCAAATTTAAGATTGAGTATATCTTCTGTAAGGCGTTTAATCTCCAGTTCATGTGAAGCGAGGTTGACATCATATTGAAAGATCCGTGACTGTGGTAGGCACGCTTATTTTAGTGTATATGTATTGTTTTTCTTTATTATTACTCATATTCTTTTAATCGATATTATTTGTTTTTTTTTATCAATATTATAATTTTGTCAATATTATTTTTTTTAAATCAATATTATTTGTTTTTTATCAATATTTTTTTTTATTAATTATGTGGGTTATAAAAACCCTGAAAAAGAAGAATTTATAACATTATATTTTTATTCTGTTTATTATTTGGAAATAAAAGTATATTATATAGAAATAGGAAATTGATACATTAATATATTAATATCTGAGATAAAATTATAAGGACATCGAAATATATAGAAATAAGAAATATATAGAAATAAGAAAGTGACGATCGGAGTGTATATATAATTCTTGGAACTAGAAGGGAGTTTTTTAATAAGAAGAAAGCTTGGTGAGCTGGGAGGCAAGATAGTGTATCGCGCATAAGGGATATCTCTGGTAGAATATTGGCAAAGAACTTGATAAAGGACTCGTCTTTACCTACTGGAGATCCGAGATGTGTTAAAGCGTTCAATGGTGTATGATTGAACATAGTATCGTAGTTAAGGTCAATGATCCCAAGAGGACAATATTCGCTCTTGTCTTGATTAACTCGAAGTCCCAAACTTTTCCCTCTGGATTTTATTATTTTTATTGCCTTCATAACTTCAGTCGGTGAGCCTCCTAGTATACCATCGTCGATATATCAGTTATGAAGATTTAGCTTGCATTGGTCATTAATGATCTCGTATTAGACTATTAATGCCCAGACAGAACAAAAAGGAACCTAGAGGATCACCTTGTTGTATCCCATCGCTAGAAGGAATCAATCCATCTCCGAATTGAAGATGTGAGGGATTAGCATAACAATTGAAGATAAATTGTGAGTATTCTGGGTAGAGGGTGGAGATAGGATTTAGAAAAGCTCAACGCCTTAGAGAGGTAAAGGCTTTCGAGGAGAAGTCTATTTTGACTAGGATAGCGTTGGTGGGGTCCGTTTGCAGATACATCCTGGTCATGTGAAGCGATACCTCACATCCACCTTTTACGTCTAATTGATTCGGGCAAAGGTGATTGGATATTGTGAACAATAATCTGCTAACTACTAGTTTGGCAGTTTATTGGCGCCAAGTGGTTCCGATAGCGATTGGGCGAATATCGGGTTTATGGAGAGTGATGAGTTTAGCTCCGGAGAGCCAGTGGAATAATGGCGGGTGGTATGCCTCCAGTAGACATACGTTTGATTAATTGGGTAATTTTTTCTAGAACAACACCTTGTTGTGTTATGTAAGGTGCGAGTTAGGTCCTGTAGGAATATACCCATCGAACCCAGGTGAAGAATCGCGTTTGAAGGAGAGAATAGCCTTTCAAACGTCGCTTGCGGTGTAAGAGGCCGCAATTAGAGGAGTTTCAGGGTAAATCGGTATTTCCTTTTTGAAATCGTGTGAGTGGTGTTTTAGGAGAAGGGTCTGATAAGTTACTAAGTCGTAGGGAGCCAGCTTATTGTCGGAGGTTGCCAGACGTATAGCGGATTTAACATTCAGGTTGTCCATTTTTTTTAGATATTAGCCTGGTCTTGGTGAGCAGGTCAATTAATATGATTTATATTTTTATCTGTGTCATCACTCGTAAAAGATGTGGTAATGTGATTGATGGGTAAGGGGTATATAGTAGCATCCTTAATTTGTTGGGTCAGGGATTTTTTGCTGGCAGGATCAGGAACTTGTAAAGTAGTAAAGGCAAATGACAGGGTGTCTAGCCAGTGTTTTACAGAAGATTAATTAATTAACAAGGAAGTCAAGTTTTTCCACAGGTGTCTCGCAACTTGAAGCCTTGCTCCTTTAGGTATTCGTGAAATTACAAATGGTTTTGGTATCGTTAGAAATATTTCTACATTTGAGTCGGCTGGGCCAAACGTCGAAGCATTTCTGACAGTGGAGGTAGGGATTATTGGGCTAAGTGCGCACATCAGCCAATGATGTGGGAATAGTGACTATGGGTTGTTTAGTTGTGAGGGCAAGGGTAGAGAAGGCATTAAGGGTTCTAGGAATTGCTGGTGATAAGATGGGCAGCCCAGATTGAGGACACTTTATTTTATGGTTACGATGAGATGGCAATGGTTACTTTAATAAGTTTATTACATAATGGGAAGTTACATCTGGTAGGTGCTGTGCTGAGGTCTGGTAGGCTCATGGATTAGGAATTTTTATTATATTTAGGGTGAAGGTGAATATCATTATTGAGCTGCATGAATTGCAGATATACATATAGATACAATCTAGTGTATTAACTCTGCAAACTTGAAGATGCAGATGCAAGTAAAAATGTCATGATATTATTGTTAATCAATATTATTGAAAGAAATATACCTAACATTTATGCAACTACATTTACAATTTTAATATATAGAATGATTTACATACCATACGTTATCCATAATCAATATGAAAGAAATATACTGTAACACTTTGATTGCAACTACATGGTACAATAGGGTAATTAATCTATATTATTAGTAATAGCAATACTATACTGTGGGAATTGACATAAATGAGGCATACTATACTGCTCTATTGCGATCTAGATACTTTAACCCGTATACTTAGGCATCTAGTTCCACTCACCATCAGCATTGTCTCCCTCATCCATCTCAATTCCCACAACACAATAATGCTATTACTAATGATATAGATCAATTACCCCATTGTAAAGCCATCTTTGCAATCAAATGTTTACAGTTATCATGATCACATATAATAAATTAGATTTGAAGTATGGTACATACGAAATTCTATATATTAAAATCATAATGCAGATAGCAGATATTTTAGATTATTTCATTCGGTAATATGGATTGTATAATTTATGGCAACTGTCAACAAAAATCTCATCACATTCTACTTATATGCATTTTGATTTACAGACACTAATAGATAGATTGTATCCATAAACACATCTGTGATTTTTAACAATAATGATATTCACCTTCACCCAAAATATAATAAAAATTCCTAATGCATGAGCCTATTAGACCTCAGCACACAGCACCTACCAGATGTAACTGCCCATTATGTAATAAACTTATTGAAGTAACCATTGCCATCTCATCGTAACCATAAAATAAAGTGTCCTCATTCTGGGCTGCCCAACTTATCACCAGCAATTCCTAGAACCCTTAATGCCTTCTCTGCTCTGCCCTTGCCCTCACAACTAAACAACCCATAGTCACTATTCCCACATCATTGGCTGATGTGCGCACTTAGCCCAATAATCCCTACCTCCACTTTCACAAATGCTTCCACGTTTGACCCAGCCGACTCAAACGTAGAAATATTTCTAACGACACCAAAACCATTTGTAATTTCACGAATACTTAAAAGGAGCAAGGCTTCAGGTTGTGAGATAAAATATATTTGGAATTATGTATAGTTTATAATCCATTTGAAAAAAAACACACACACTTAATCTCATCTAAAGTTATACGTGCTCTATTTTATAAACTTGAATGAAAAAAAAAACACTAGCCAAAACCTTATCGATTGTTTATTTTAAAACCAAATCAGAATTTTTTTTTCTTATATATCTTATGATATGAACGCACTGAGAATGTCAAACTTAGGGATTGGTATTAAATATATTTATGATACAAAAAAAAAAACAACTATTAAATTCAAAATAAACACTCAAAAATTTTTTCTTATTTTTAAGTTTAATTTCTCTTGATTTTTTTTTAAAATAAAAATAAATAAACCAGATAGCAAATTTATCTTAATTTGAATAAATAAATTTCGATTTTTCTTGCGGTTTTGCCCCGGGTTGAATGTTACTTCATTATTCAAAAATAAAAAAAAATATTTCTCTATTTAAGACTCAACGCAAACAACAGGCCGAATTCTATGCTCGCTTCATAGAGAAGAGAAGGAATTGCTCAGAAAAGGAACAGGAAAAGTTTACCTTATGATTATTGTTTTTTTTTTAAAAATATACATTCGTAAACATTTTTGAACGGTCGTATTTATTTTTTTAATATTCTTGACTTTAATTTACCGTGACGAAAACTGTTTCTGTTCACCTCCCACCTATTTTGTTAGCTCTAAAAAAAATCTACTTTTTTAAAAAAAGGAACGGTCTTAAGTTACTTGTTGCACGGTTTATGGCGCTAACTCAAATAATACGAACAAAACTAAACCCATTTTTTCGTTTGATTTTTAAATCTAATTTCTCTCGATTTCCCATACGTTTCTAATTTAAGAAGAAAAAAATTACAATGCTTCAAAAAAAATACGTGTTCCCATTTGGGATGGAAATCTCGGTTTGTTTATTTCTATTGGTGGGTGATGAGGCACTTTTTTTTTATTAGTTAATATCACGTGTTATTATTTTCGTCGTTAATATTACTGTTATATTTATTAATTGATTTCGATTTCCTATTACCATTTATCACAGATCTCGCTTAACCAAAGTAGCCAAGAGGGAGGCCAAAGAGAAATGGGACGATCGCCATTGGACAGATAAATCGCTCGAAGAAATGACCGATAGGGATTGGAGGATATTCAAAGAGGATTACAATATCAGCATCAAAGGTGCTCAACTCCCCCCCCCCTTCCCTTTTTATTAAAATAAATATATATTTGAACAAATTTTTTGAATAACTGACATTCGAAAAAAGAAAAGTATCAAATTTCAAAAAAAAATAAGATTTAAGATTAGATTTTCGGAGAGAAGTTTTCTAGTTAAAAATTTCAGAGAACTCGCTAACATAGTTAAACTCTTCGCGGTGGGTATTCAGTATTAGGCCTCTTTTTGTCGGGAGGGGGAGTGAATAGATTAATAATTATGATCTAATTGTGATATATTGATTCAGTTTACTATCTACGACAACTACAATTTTATGTTTTAAAAATTATAATCAATTAGGTGGCCGGATACCTGTTCCCTATAGATCGTGGAAAGAGGCCAAATTGCCCAAAGAAATTATGAATATCATAGAGAAGATTGGTTACAAGGTCAATAAATTCTTTATTTTTAAATTACGTTTTATTATTTATCGTTATTTAGGAACCTACACCCATTCAAAGGCAAGCCATTCCTATCGGTCTTCAAAATAGGGATATCATAGGAGTGGCGGAAACTGGGTCTGGTAAAACACTCGCATTTCTTCTTCCTTTGCTAGTTTGGATCACTTCACTGCCTAAGCTAGTCAGGTTTATTTTTTTATGTATAAGTTACTATCCTTTAGAGTTACTTTTGAGGTAGATTCATGCCTTATGAGCTCAAAATTAGCGTCGGCTTATTTTATACTTTTTTTAAACGTATTTTTATTTGGACCTTTTAATTTTCCGCCTTTATGATTAAATTATTTTTAAAATTTTATGAAAAATGAGATGAATTAGGTTTAACGTGTATATATCTGATAATTATAATTGTCAACCAATTTTATAGTAGAGCAAATTATTTATGCTAATTCATGATCTTCTATGTATTAATCTTGCCTCTACATATATATTAACCCTCAGAAAATATATAATAAAAATCAATCCTCTAAAAAAATCATAAAACAAACCAAGAGATTCCGATAACGACCAAGGACCTTACGCCATAATAATGGCGCCCACCCGTGAATTAGCCCAACAAATCGAGGAGGAAACTGTTAAGTTTGGCCGACCCTTGGAAATTAGAACGGTTTCTTTGATAGGCGGGCTGTCGAGAGAAGATCAAGGTTTCAAGCTCAGACGCGGGTGCGAAGTTTAGTAAATTTTTTTCTTCACGATTTTTGATCATGTCAAGAGAAAGAAGTGATTAAGTTAAAATTGAAAAGAAAAACGTCATATAAAATATTTAATGTGGATCCGTTAATCTTGACCGTAGCTTGAAAATAAGATTTTGGAAGAAGATATTTAAGTTTATTTTAGGAATAGGAAAACGAAATAGTGAGATATTTAGAAAGAAACTAATGAATGGTATAAAATATATTTTTTTAAAATAATTTAGATAGTCATAGCTACTCCTGGTAGGCTTTTGGATTGCTTGCTTAACCACTACATCGTGCTGAATCAATGCACTTACGTCGTGTTAGACGAGGTTTACTCATTTTAAAAAAAATATATAATTTTTGATAAAAAACCGTTTTTAAATTACAAGAAATCACAAAACTAATTAACTTATTATTTGAAAATATTATGACAACTTTTCTTCGAAACTGTTTAAGGCGGATCGAATGATTGACATGGGTTTCGAAACTGACGTCCAGAAAATACTGGATTTCCTACCTGTCAGCAATAAAAAACCTGATACGGAAGAAGCCGAAGACGAATCCGTTATCATGAAAAATTTTGCCACCAAAGAAAAATACAGACAAGTTTTATTTTCTTCGATTTTTTTTTACAGACACATAAGGATAATATAAAAAAAGTAAGAAATTAACTAAATGGGTTTTATAGTTACTTAACCACCAGGTTTTTGCCAGCTAACACCTTATCCTAGACCTACGCGCTGCTGGCCGATTAAGGTCGGTCACGCCGCCGGTTTATCCGCCCATTTATTTAGTCGTTGGATAATTTGGCGTATCAACAACCTACCGTTGAAAAGGACAAAACCTCGCCTATCTATATAACTATATATTACTTTTTTTTAACCCCTCCCCATATTTCAGACCGTCATGTTTACGGCCACTATGCCCCCATCCGTTGAACGCTTGGCCAGGACTTATTTGAGGAGGCCTGCCGTTGTATATATCGGTTCTATCGGCAGACCGGTTGATAGAGTGGAACAAATCGTTTACATGGTGGGGGAAAACGAGAAAAGGTTAACAAAATTACCCTATATCATTTTTTTTTCCTATTTATGACTTTAAACCTGATTTCCTCGAGGCTTTCTTTGATCTAGCGAAACAATATATTCTATGTTTTGCCTTTATGTTTTGTGAAAGAAAAAAGATCATTGGTTAATAATAAAATGTACCTTAAATAGATTTTTTCGATAAACTAACTAAACCCCAGAAGAAAGAAATATAAAAAACTGATGGAATGAATGAAACAGTTCTCTAACAAGATTTTCTTTTTAAAATTATTCTTAAAGTTTTCTATATACCGATTAAATATTTACACTTTGTTACAATTATACAGTATTTAATTATTTTTTTGTTGTTGTTATTTAACAGGAAAAAACTCCTGGATATTCTGGATAAAGGCGTGGAACCTCCCATCATAATATTCGTTAATCAAAAGAAGGGCGCTGATATACTCGCCAAATCTTTGGAGAAAATGGGGGTATTATATTTTAAATTTGGAATATGTTTAAAGCAATAAAATGGCTCGAATAATTTTGTCGTTTATAAAATAAGAACAATTATCATACAGAAAACGTATACAAAGCATTTCCATGATTTTTTTTAAAAAAATTTTTGGTATTTAATAGGCTTCCACATTGTTTGGATATTTTGCCCTTCCCAGATTTCAAAATATTGCTTTTAAGAAACCTGCGCTGTGGTCTATTTACAGAGATCATTAGTTTTTTTTTTAGTTTTTGAATATAATCTACCAATTGGTTAAACTTAAAATGAATCATGTCCATTTATATATATATATTGATAAATGTTACGAGAAGATAATTATTCCAATTCTAATTTTGTTTGTCACGAAATTCAGTATCTATCGTGCACTCTCCATGGGGGTAAAGGTCAAGAAGCTAGAGATTTCGCTTTAGCCTCTCTCAAAAACGGGACAAAGCATATTCTGGTAGCAACGGACGTAGCCAGCAGAGGTATAGACGTGTCGGACGTCTCCATAGTCCTCAATTACGATATGGCCAAGAGTATAGAAGGTAATCAATCATTTTTTTAACACTAAATCCTGGATATCTCACGGTTAAGATTAGAAGGTGAGGAAGTTTAAACAGATAAGAACCTTAGTTTTGGGAAGAACTAAATATTTTATTTTTTAAAATAAATAATTAAAGATTACACCCACCGAATAGGCCGAACAGGTCGGGCCGGCAAATCGGGTATAGCTATATCCTTTTTAACTCGAGACGACTCGGCCGTTTTTTACGACCTCAAGCAATGTCTCGTATCTAGCCCCTCCTCGTTTTGCCCCGTCGAACTTATGAATCACCCAGAAGCTCAAATAAAACCGGGAACTTTCGTGGCTAAGAAAAGGAAGGATGAGGTGGTTTACTTGCCTTGAACAAATTTTTATTAGAGGGAAAAAAATATAAAGATTTACGAAAATTATGATTTGTCTTGGGGATGTTTATCACACACACACTTATTTATAAAATTTTGTAAATATTTTATAATATATATATATATATATATGAAGTAAAAAAAAATTTGAAAATGCCTAATTTGATATGAATAAATATTGAGCAGGATAAAAGTTTTTTTAAAGGGGGGTAATTTTTATTGATGAAATTTATAATTATGAACAAATATTATTTATAATCTAGAATATTATTATCATACCATTTGTGATTTGTATATTATTGTGTATTCTTATTTGATTATATGGATAGAAAAATTTTGTTTCTTAAAAATATTTTAGCCACTTTATAGAGGGGGGGGGGTGGTCCCTCTAAAAATTTATAAGAATATATTTAACTTTTTAAATATATATATTTAAAAAAATTTTATAACAAAAATTTGAACCTTATACTGCTTCAGCTAGACGTTTTTTATGAGGCAAATTTTAAGATAAACATTATTGGGAAGCAAAAATTCCATTACTCATTTATAGACCTGGAGTTGGGATGTGTAGGAGTGCCAGGAGAAATCAGATGTGTATGAATTAGTGCTGTAAACATTTCTAAAAAAGTCGAATGCGCTCAACGTTCGCCTTCAAAAAAAGAAACGCGTTTACGTTCTTTCAAAACTTTATGAATAATTTTTTTTAAATATTTAATTTCATACAAATAAATATCATATATTTTTAACACAATATATTAGCCATGTTTATAGAGTTTATAGTCAATAGTTTTAAATATTTTTATTTATAGAAAAAAAAATATAATTAATTTGTAATATAACTTTTATATATCCAAAGACGTTACCCCAACCCTCAGAAATTTAATCCCCCGCTCCCCCCCTAGGAAAATAAAATCATAATGATGATGAAATAGCAACATTCACGCTTACACTAATCTATAAAATATAAATAATAATATTCAAAGTTAACAAACCATAATAGAACGTAAATAGTGGCCTTGTTTAAAAAAAAATTCATATGTTGTAAAGAACAGCTGATTAAAAAAATAACCTTTTTTTTCCTTAAAAAATTCGGATTGATATTTGTTTATTTTTCAAACGAATAAAAATAAATAAGATTTTCCAAAATCGATTCGAAAGCGTTCTTCGAAAAAACGTTTTCGCGTTCAAAGTTCGTCGAAAATAAAAGAAACGACGTTCATCATTTTTTTTTGAAAAAAAAAACCAACTTCGTTTACAACATTAATATGAATAGTAGTGTTGTTAAACGGTTTATTTTGAGCCGGTTTTTAAAAACGGTTCATTTTTAGCCGGTTTTTATAAGCGGTTTATTTTGAGCTGGTTTTTAAAAACGGTTTATTTCGAGCCGGTTGTTAAAAACGGTTCATTTTAGCCGATTTTTAAAAACGGTTCATTTTTAGCCGATTTTTAAAAACGGTTCATTTTTAGCCGATTTTTGAAAACGGCTAACTCAATATTTTATTAGGGAAAATGTTATAAGTTCTTAAGATTATGTTCGTAGGTGGCATAAGGGTTCGAACATCTACCCACCAAATCGTGAGATTTGGACGATATTTTTCTGGCTAAAATATCGAGTTAGCCGGTTTTGAAGATCGCCTCAAACCAAGCCGTTTAACAACACTAACGAATAGTTGGTGTTCGCAATGAATGACGGGGTTATTACGCGCATATGGGAATAGTGGCATATCGGGTTCTTTGGATGGCGACAGAAAATCCTATTTTATTGCTCATTTACTAAACACTGATGCAGAAGTTGTTAAGAAATCGACAGAATAGGTTTCTCATTCAAACCGATTCATCGGAAAAAAATGCCGCGCTAATTTTTTTAAAAAAATTATTTCAACTATCGGTAACGATCCTAGATTTTATTATTATATTACTTTTATATCTTATTTCTTGAATTATCGATATTTATTAATAGGTATGTGCCACAATGAGACCGTTTTAGAGGTCAAAAAAGATGATCTTGGGATTCGATGATAATTTTGGCAAATTGTCCGTATCTATTCTTTAAAAAAAAATGAGGGGGAAAAATATAGATCTAATTTAGTATCCACCAGAATTTTAATTTTTGTTACCATTCTAATTCACTTTTTAAATATTGAAATAGGGATAAACTAAATTAGGTTTATATCATTCTCCGAACCTAATAAAGTTGAAGATACAGATCTAAAATAAATCACAATTTTTGGAAGAGGAGGAAAATCATGATAATGTTTAAACGTTTTCTTTACATATTTTACCTTATCAAAAATGTTGGGTTGAATTTTCTTGAGAATTTTAGGAAATCAGAATCCTAGAAAAAGGTAAGCGGAGGTATCGATGAAAGGATCTGTATCACGATCCTATCATTTTTAAAAAATTTGGATTCTATTTAGAAAGGGAGAGATTAATTAAGCCTGGCCACGAATGGATATATAATCCGAATGCAAATTCAATATTATATTTAACATGATTGAGGAAAATAATTCCAATCAAACCATTAAAACAAAACAAAAAAATTTTTTAAATCAATAACATAAATACAAAGAGAAAGATGTATGATAAAGGCAGGTAAAGTGAATTTTATAATGGTAAATTTGTATATTGAAGAAAGCCTAAAAAAATATGGCGATATTATTTTACACTTCTCTGCTAAAAATTCCTAATCATTGGAAGTCAGACTCCGTTTGCGAATCTTCAGATGAATTAAATTCAATAAGTTTCGGCGAAATACCCTTCTCCTTCACGTCTAATCTTTTGCCTTCTTTATTTTCCGTCATCGTTGCATCTCTAACATCCCTGGTAACTCTAATTTCATCTATTTTCTAATAAATATTTATTATTATAATATACTGGTGATAAAGTAAGTATCCACTCAAGGCAAATTCCCCTCAAAAACCTAACATCAACCCCCCCCCCTCTCTCATCCCAACTATAGTAAATCGAAGGATGTTAAAAAAAATGCCTTTCGATATCATTTATAAACATCTGCTTGGCCCTGATGCCTGGCCCGGCCCGGATATATTTAAAAATATTAAAAACCGGGCCGGGTCTGCAGGGTCTAATTAATTGACTCACTATTATATATATAATTCTCGCCCCCTAAAAAAATTGTAATTAATTTGCTGCATCATGATTCAGGGATAGTGTGAATAAGGAATAAAGACGACTGATTGGTTATAAATCAACTAGAATTTAGTAATCTAAAAATTTAGTGCTGATCCTATATAATGCGCAACTGTTAAAATGGGGGTTAATATTTATACAATGTTTAAACGGTTCATTTTAGTCGAATTTTTGAAAATGGCTAACTCAAGATTTTAGCACCTTTCGATTCATCTCGCTATTCAAATCCTTCTTATGCCCAGTTCCCATTTTGGTTTTGCTCAATTCGAACGAGTCCTTTTTGATTTTATTCAGGGGAGATAAGACTCTATCCGCTAACACTTGCGATACGCGCCTCCATTTTTGGTAGGCCATTTCCGCCTTCAAGTTATCGGGATCGTTCATGGCGTTTATATCCTTTTCCTTCATTTTCATTACTAAAATATATTTCATTTTTTTTTTATCAATATAGGAAAAAAGATGATATTTTTTTTATAAAAACAGAGTATTTATAGTCTCTGGTCACACAATCGTACATGAAATTAGTAGTTTAAATATTCCTTAAATTTTGGCAGGGCAAAAGAACCCAGGGCGAAAAGACTTAAGGACAAAAAAGGGACTAGGAGATAAAATAACTTAATTTTTAGGAACAGTTTTTTAAATGCTCAAAAAAAAGAAACACTAAGAAATTTCTGTCCGGGTTTTTTATTTTAATATAAAACTGAAAAAAAAAAAACATTTTAAAAAAACACGTATTATGCCATATTATAAAAAAACTAAAAAAAAAACATTTTTAAAAATACATGTATTTTGATATTATAAAAAAACTAAATTAAATTATCACACTCAAGCAATTTTGTAAAAGTATTATTTTTTATAAATAGATAAAATGCTCATTGTATTTAACGAGGAAAAAAATAATTTCCAATGGAAAAATTGATTTTAAGAGATCCATCATTTTTAAATTATAAGATATATATATATACACTTACGAGTCTCGTGCTTCTGCTTAATATCCTTAAAGAGGGTAACTCCTCCTATGAAATAACCGTAGCTGTCCGCTAACAAATCTTCGTTTTTGATGGATTCAAAAATGGAAGATTTGACGTACATCAGAAGAAATAGGGCTAAACCCTGGCGCCAAAAAAAATAAAATACAAAAATGAAAGTAATTAACGCATGCGCTATGTACTTACTAAGAGCCCAATCTTAGCTACAAGAAAATAAAAAATAACTTTTTTTAAAAACATTTCTTGAATCAAAACCGGGAATTGAAATTATTTTCGATCCAATCCCGGCTAAAGATTCTCCGCCAAAGCCGGAAGTGGTCTAAAAGCCTTTGACCCGTCTTAAATCCTTTTATACAAAATAGAATTAGAAATTTAATGGTATTTTTTTTTGGGGGGGGGGGGGGGTTAAGTTTTGGAAGGAAAAATAATTTTCTTATAATTTCTCCTGATCGGTGTTTCGAAAAAAAAATCGAACCGATTAATAAATATTCGTAATTCAATTCGTAAATTTTGAATCGAATAATATCTATTGCTCTTATACGACGAATCGAATAATTATATTATATGTGTTGTCTAGCATTATTAGACTTTCTTTCTTTCTTTCTTTCTTTCTTTCTTTCTTTCTTTCTTTCTTTCTTTCTTTCTTTCTTTCTTTCTTTCTTTCTTTCTTTCTTTCTTTCTAACTTTCTTTCTAACTTTCTTTCTTAATTAAACATCTAATTAAATAATAATTTTTGCTCAGTTTTCATCGACAAAATTTTAGCCAAATAAAGAGAAAAAAATACAGTATATATTTTAGTTGAAATACGCCAAAATTATTAACAACGTTTTATATCCAATATATATCTTGGTGCGACACCAATTCAATATCATACATAAGATATTCGATTCGAATTATTTTCTAATCTTTATTGGTATCCCTGAACCTCGAGTAAAATCGAATATATAATTTTCTATAGACCTACTTCTCGATAATGTGTTCAATTTAGTATTTAGTGATGATATAATAAATTCTTCGGGAATGGACCAAATTATTCTATTTATGACGCCATGCCCCCCCACCCCCCAATGTGACCCATGCGGCACTAAAGGAATCTATGATTAAATCATTTTGGTTTAAATGAAACCTCTATGGTGCTGATGATGTAGGTAGATATAGCGAAATATTGCATAAAATATTCTCCGAAATACGTGTAAATAGGTTCGACACAGCCCTTATCGTATAGGGTAGTTTTGACTCGGTAATCGTAATTGTAATGCAGGTTATTGTGATGAACTCCAAAATGAATGCATGGCCTAGGAGATTTCGGGTCGCAACAACTCCAAGGAACGTTGTCAATCATTTTGTGAGTTTTGGCCAAGAGATCACGTTCTGGATTACTAGTGGAATATATTTTATTTTTAAATGTCGTGATATCAATTGATTAACCTTTCGACGGCTTCTACGAACACAATTTTGAACACGTCTTCTTTATGTTCCAACCACGTGACATTAAACCAATCAGCGTAGGAGTATCTACCGCAACATCGAAAACCTAAATTTAATATGACAATTTGAAAAATGTCATTTTTGGTCAACTATTTTTCGACAAAATTTTATATAATGAATTATTTTTTTGATTGGCAGCATATCAATTTTTTTGAATATTAAGGCACTTTATCTTTCTAGTGGATTTACTAAGAAAAATGGCTTTTACAATTTCTAAGCACAAACTGTAACCAAAATTTATATACCTAACTGTTAGGGTCCCTGGTTAAAATTCATGTCCTTAACATAAAGACTTAATTAAATATATATCTGGGAATTTCTTCTGTATCAGAAGTGGAACAAAAAGATACTTAAATTCCAATAAAAACTGAATATATATTTAAAAAAAACACACATTTTAAACGTTTTAGTCAATAAATTATAAAAAACATTACCTATTTATCACTTTTTAAAGTTAAATAATAATAATAAAAAACTTTTAACTTATATGAATTCTGTCAATTTCAATTTTTCTTTCGATGTCATAACGATACTTATGCATGGCGGCTGCCAGTTCTAGATCTACATTTTCTTTGAGATTTTTTTTGATAACCAAACAGAGACTCCCTTATAATTACAAATTGTTATATATATAATGTATATTTTGATCAACACACATATTTTTATTTTAATCATATAACTAATTTTAAATGCACTGAATAAATTATATCTAGAGGGTTTCTGAGTGACCATCTGGAATGACTTGATCATCCTCCTTTATCAACTTATCTGTAAATATATATTTGTTTCGAATTCTTAAAAGTCATAGCCATACCTCGTAACCAGTGGCGCGACAACCAGTGTGGCAGGACCAGCTTCACAGAGGAACAAAATGCTTGAATAGGGGCCCTTAGGAAGCATCGCTGGTATGCCACTGCTTACCTCTACTTATTTATTCGATTAATTATCAAATGACCTTGTTTTAGAAGACTTTATTCAAAATTTCATAATTTTTTACGTATAAATAGAATCGAATGCTGTCTATGTCTAGTGGATACATGTTCGCATAGAAAATAACGGTGACTAATTTTTCTTAACAATATATATATAACTTAGTAACTATAAGTAACTTTTTTTGGAATACAACAGTTACTTTAGATAATTATAAATGAGGGCAGCCTTTTTGGCGCTTAATATAAAAATAGTTTAATCATAAAATCCAATAATATTTATATAAGCATAAATTTTCATAAAAAAATTATATATTTTTTTAATTCAATTATTTTTTACTTTAAATTGCTTTGATTAAAATATGCAAATAAAAATTATTTTGTATAACGATTTAAATATGAAAAATATAAAACTAGTAAAACCATAACTCATTACTTTTTTTTACTGATGTATCTTGTAACGTTACTTTGCAAAAGTAACTTTTAACAAGACTAATAGAATTCTTAACCTAATATTCACATAAAAATTTTACACGAAATATTGAACAGCTGATTATGTAGTGCATTAATTAACCAAAACCATAGTGCAAAATAAAGATTAAATTGTTATATTCAGTAGATAACCTGTAACAACATTTACAAATAATTTTATTTTAAAATTGATATCTAAAGGAATGTATAACTAACATAATATAAAAACTTATAAAAAAAATATATAACATAAAAAAAACAGTTAAAATTGGTGAGATGAGTTAACTTGCATAGCTATATAGAGCCATGAATCAAGGCAAATGTTCTCATGAATTTCCCTAATGGCTAGATTTTATTAGAAGACTTCATTATCCTATTTCGTTTAATTTTTTTTACCTTATAAATTTGATAAATGTTAGGAATTCTTAACCAAAGATATCTAGTAATAGTCTCACAAATGAGAAAAAATTTTCACGCATTTATTCATTTCAAAGAGTTTGGCTCGAAAAATTGCACTATAACGTTTTTATTAGTTCGGGTGTGCTCCTAAGCTGCTCGACCCTAAGATCCAGGTATAAGACTGATATCATTAGGATTTTTGTTATTGCTTGACCATAAATAATTTGGCTTAAAGCTATATGGAATATTACCCTTTCAAGGCTTAAACATCAGGTTATTTTTATTTATTGTATGCCTTGGAAAAAGGAAAACTGCCTTTTGGAATATTTGCGAAATTAATTGAATGTAAGTTTACCCAATCCTAAAAGAGCGTAGGTGAGCAACCAATCAATTGTCATGATCCAATTTATGTGCTTTACCCATGCCAATCTCGAATACGGGAAGTGATAATCGAATACGACTTTGATCTTAACTATATATATATATACATATAAATGATATTTATTTTAGGCTTTCCTATCTACAAACAATGATGAATCAAAGTTTTTTTCTTAAATATTATATTTAAAATTAATATTTTTAATAAATATATATACCAGAGACCAGCATGGTTCGGATCTATTTCCGGTGCTAAGTCCAGAAGAAGATAAAAATATTGCAAAACCGGGTTCCGTACGAATTATTACGATAAGTTTAAACTATATTATTTGAATCAGTTTTAATATAGTTGGAAAAGGGAGTCTAACATTAACAGTACTGCTCGTATCTTTTAGATATCAATCTAAAAAAACAATCTAGAGAAATATGGCCAAAATAATTTTAAAATATTTTTAAAATTCTGGACTTGGGGCCATAAGAAAAAATTTTTTTAAGAAAAAGGAATCTGGGCTGGGACTGTGAAAATAGAAAATTTCTAAAATTTTGGCTTCTTAGGGACTCTGCAATATATATTCATTGTGAATGTATATCGGAGACCTATACATAGGTACCATTTGCGCGGCTCGGTCCAAATTTTTTTTCTTTCTAAAATATTTTTCGGTCCAACCCGGTCCGGGTTTTATATATTCAGGCCCGGCCCGGATTTTTTTTAAAATGTACCCGAACCTGGTAGGTCGGGCCTGCTGGTCTCTGATATATATATATATATATAAATATGCGAAATGAATTAATTTTCTTTACGCACTTATGTTGATTAAAACGCCGAGAAGCGAAACTAACAAAATGGTAACGGTGACGGTGTCGTCTTTGAATATCGGTAGCAATTTGGAATGATGATGAAGCTCCGCCCAAAGGTACGCGCCGGACGCCATATTTATGACGGAAGAAAATAAACATTTGCTGTATATCCATAGTAAGAAGGCGCAGCAGATCTTCCTGCGCCGCTCCGTGAATTTGATTCCTAAGTATCCCTTCATTCTGTTTTAGAGGAATCAATTCGAAAAAAACGAAATTAGCCAATGAAAAAAGGGGAGGGAAAAAAATAGTACATAATTTAAATTTATTATATACTATTTTTTTCTAAAATTTTATGTTTTGTTTTTAGAACATTTCTTATTTTTATTTTATTTTTTTGTCACAATTTTATTTTTTATGTTATTGTTATCTAATTTGTAAAATGTGTGCAAAATGAATCCACGGGCTTAAGTTTCTTTTTTCTTTCTTTCTTTCTTTCTTTCTTTCTTTCTTTCTTTCTTTCTTTTCTTTCTTTCTTTCTTTCTTTCTTTCTTTCTTTCTTTCTTTCTTTCTTTCTTTCTTTCTTTCTTTCTTTCTTTCTTTCTTTCTTTCTTTCTTTCTTTCTTTCTTTCTTTCTTTCTTTCTTTCTTTCTTCTTTCTCTTCTCCATCTCTTCTCTTCTCTTCATGATAATAACTTCAATAAAATACCCCCCCCCCCTCATATGGATTCATCACCATTCATAAATGATTATGACTATTTCTGACACATCCATTTTGTTTCTAAAGTTGTCTTAGATTACTAAATTTTAGCCATTTCCTTCCGGTCTTTTCTACCATAAATTAATTATTAACATCTTATCTTCCAAACACGATTCAAAATCAATCTAACCAAAAAATTGATTAAACAAATCAAGAAGAAAAAAAAGATGTCGGTTAAAAATTTTAGTTATTATTTTTTTTTATAAAAAAAATAGATTAGAAATCGATTACGAAAAATAAATTATTGGTGTGAGTGGCCTAAGTCAAAATTTTATTTTTAGAATAATTGATTTAAAATAATAATTGACTGCTGTCTGGATAGAATTAAATTTATATAAAACTAATGAATTTGCCAAATATTAGGCTAACAATTTGGTTTTTTTATTTAATCCCGGGGTTTTATTACGTTGATATCATATGGGGAATATAAATCAGCTGATTTTTTTTAAAGTTTTATCTTTTTTTGCGGTATCTAATTCATGTGGATAATGGTGAAACTGACTTTTGTTTGCGAGAAATCGAAAAAAATAATATTGACATTTCAAAACAAAGACATACTGGAAATTAGATGACATATGACACTTACCTAGGAAGAAGATGACGATTCATTTATTAAAATGCATTTTGAAGCATGGTTTGCATGTAAATCAGCTGATGAATCTCTTTTGTTTTAACCGTAAAAGATATAAGATGAATAAAATCTTCGAATTTTTTATTTGAAGGCTAAAAAAAATATAAATGGCGTAAACAGCTGATTCACATCGATTTAAAGTGAATGAATCCGGTCTAGGAAGTAATAAAAAAAATCGTTATAAATCTATTTCAAAATGAATTTATGTTTGCCAGTTTGAAAAAAAATTAATTTATATAATAAACAAATCAACTAACTATTTACCAGAGTTGTTTAAAGATACTTTTTAAATAGATCTAGATACAGATACATCGTCTAAAATAATATCTAGATACAGATATTTTAATCAAAAATCTATATTAGATACAGATACAGATACCATATTTTTATATCTAGATCCTTTAACAACTCTGCTATTTACAAAACTGACAAAAAAAATTGTTTTTTTAAAAGTTTAATAAAGCAAAATTCTGTTAACAAATATAAACATAATATATTAACATATTTGGATTTCGTTTATCGTAATCAATCATTGATTGGCAAAATGGGACTTTGGAGAGCTTTTCGATAAAAATATTTTGGATACATTCGTTTTCTCGACTTCCAAATATATTTTAAAATTTATTTATCATATTTTGGTAAATTAATATGTTATTTTTTTTAAATAATTTTACACAAGAGAAAGAAACAAAAAATTCTTAACAAAATAATTTGAAGTAAAATTTTAAGAATCATATTGCTATTTTTTTTGTGAATTTATTTTTTATTAAATTTTTCCATATATTTTTTATATAAATTTATAAAATGACTCGAAAAGTTTTATTTCCGGTAAAATCAGATTTTAAATTTTTAAATTTTTAAATTTTTAAATTTTTAAATTTTTAAATTTTTAAATTTTTAAATTTTTAAAAAGCGCGTACAAAAATTGATTTTAAAGTTCTAAAATATAACACATTGTCAGAAAAAACGAAAACGAAAAAAAACAAAAAAAACGATATATACTTTACTTCAAATAAGAATTAACCCATTAATTTCTAAACGACTAAAAAATGATTTTAGTACACCATTTTATTTTTACATTAAAAATAGCTTATTATATGTTTATTATTTTTATTACTTCAAAATATTTAAAAATTTATTTATTTATATATTTTTTTTTAGATTTAGGACACAACAGTCTAATAAAAAAAAATTTCAGAATTTTCAGAATTTTTATATAAAAAATAAATAAATAAATTCTAGACTTGACGATGCATTCATAATAACGCATTTGAAAGCGTCTGCAAATCAGCTGTATCCGCCATCTTGGTAACCCATAGAGTAATTATTCTCGTGTTAGAACTAATATTAAATCGATAACTTGCTTCCTTATTATATCGATTATCAGACAATTCTTTAATAATTAATAATTAGAGGGTAAAATCAAAATGGCGACCCCAGCTGTTTTTCTTCGATGTACACTTTTTTTAATGAATGCACAGTCAGTCTAGGTATTATTATATGTCATTGAATAATATATTCATTTCAATAAAACTCAAAAATGATAGACAAGTTAGAGAAATATTAAGGTCAAAGGTATCTTCAGTTAAGGATATTTAATTTTGGTCTGATTCAGCTTATTTATGAACCTTTAAGGTCTTGATAAGTAAAAACCTAACGTTCAATATTTTTAAAGATATATTTGTTTTTATATAATTGAATCCATGCGCTAAAAGTCTTATCGGGGCAGCGTAAGGCTGGCGATGACGTAACAATTCCCCCGCTGCCGTGAAACAGCTGACATTACCCTACTCTTTTGAAACAGAAATATTTTTTTGAATTTGTAATTCATAATAAGATTACTCAAATAATATAAATTTTAATTTTATATAAATTAAAAATTTTAATTATTTTTTAAGATTCGAGAAGGATTGTGTGGCATAACTGTGGGAATACTGCGCGAGATCATGTTTTCCAAAAATCTAACAGCTGTTATCTACGGATCGATATACGAAATGAATAACATTCTTTAACTTAGTCCTCAAATTGCATTTTTTTGATCCGAATTTCGGTATTGTATCTAAAATATCGAATATTGTAAGGGGATAATCTAATACTGAAGTCATCCCAAATAGTTTTACAATATGCTAGATTTTCAATATAAAGGTTGCGGAGACAAATGAGAATTATTTAATGTTAGTTATGATCTTCAAAAAGTTTATAATTCAATTATTCCAATAAAAATCAGAGCCACTACTTCAACCGGAAGGTAAGAGAAGAGGTTAGAAAAAAAAGATGGTGGGAGGGGGAGAAAGGGGGCCGGGCCACATTTGGCCCCATTGATGGTTGAGGCAGCGAAGATGGGAAATTTAAACAAATATAAACTGACAGTTAGCATTTGTGAGTGAATGGTGAATATTTATATTGTATTTATTTTGAAGGGGTAAAAAAAAAATAAACATATCTTTTTCCAACTTCGCAATACCTCATCAAAAAAAAAATACTAAACAAGCTCTCGTAATGATGCGCAAAGTGCTCATGATGTAATGGGCCAGTGGAGTGACATTCCCCTATAAATATTTAGCACTAACTATTGGTTACATAAGTGACTTAATGGTGATTATTAAGGATGCAATTTGAATTCTTAATATTATTCTCGTTGTCTCTGAGTCTAGAGTAAAAAAAAAACATTAGAGACACAACAGGCGAGTGCCCAAAAGCCTAGAGGGGAGAGGGAAGGAGGGGAAAATTATAAAGATCTAATACAGCCAAATGCTTGCAATGAATGGACTTAAAGATCTCCAATAAAATTTACAGGTAAAAAAATTTTTTTTTTACCTAACAGTGCTCTCTTTCCCCACCTCCCCCCCCCCAACTTCTTAGAAAAATCCTGGATACGCCAGTCAGTGGAGAGGATTTATTAAAAATGGAGGAGACCTTATTACAAATTGAAACTGCTAGTTTTTTTTCCAGCATTCAAATATTATAAAACCTTAAAGTAGATGTAAATGAAGCAGGCGTCTACGCAAGAATTTACCATCGAATGAAAGGGGGGGGGGATAATAAATTTTTTATCACTAATTACCAGAGTTGTTAAAGGATCTAGATACAAGTATCTAGATATAAAAATGTGGTATCTGTATCTAGATAGATTTTTGATTAAGATATTGGTATCTAGATATTATTTTAGAAGATGTATCTGTATCTAGATCCATTTAAAAAGTATCTTTTAACAACTCTGCTAATTACTATAAAATGGTTTTATTTAGAGTTTTAGTTTAATTATATCGAATTATCGGATTTTTTTTAAAGAAAAATGGCCCAAGCTTTCACTGTCTAGCAGGAGTTAGAACATATTTCTTGCAAAATCAAATCTTCTAAACTTGCTTCAAAAAAATAATTTATTTGTAACTATTTTATTTTCAACTTTAAATCATTATCATCCTCTGTGAAGGTCATTAATAGGTATAAAAAAAATTTAACAAAGCATAATTTAGCATTGATTACAATGTATGTATTCTGGCAAACTAGCTTATAAAATTTATTTCTAAAAACATCCCCAAATCTCAATGTTTAACTTGTGATTCAGATATATCATTAAAAATTTATTTTGTCGCGATAGAAACATCTGTAATGTATAGCTTTTTTTGTACATCATTAAGAATAATAAATGTTAAACGGCTCTAAGCCAATATCATAGCCAAAAAAAAATTATTATGCAAGGCCTGGAGATTGTGTTTACAAGATGGGCAGAAAGGTTTGGACATCCATTACTAAAATCTAGACAATTTTAGATTACTAAAATCTAGACAATTTGAGTAATTTTTTGATTTTCTGCCTAAAAAATCTTGATTTAAAAATAAGCAGATGGACGCCGTTTTAGCAATACTAAGTTAGAATAAAATTTGCTTAATAAAAGTCCCCCTTTATGAAACGTTTAACATTATTATTCAAGATTTTTCCGGATGTTTTTAAAAGAAAAATATATAATTTAATATACTAATTCTCTAAGTAACATTCAAAATGCAAATGAATTCACTTTTAATTAATTAATTTTTTAAAAAATCACCTGTCAGCTGTTTTTTTTATTAAATATATATTTTATAAAGAAGAAATTAAAATTCATCCCTCATGATATTTTTTTTGGCAATTAGTTTTAATAAATAACTTAGTAAATTTTTAAGGACATATAAGTATATATATAAATAAAATTAAGTCCAAAAAATATGATTAATGTCATATTATTAATTATTAATTTTTAAAAAAGTATCGATTAATAATTAATTGTTACCTTTTAATTCTAAAATTCAAGGATTGTCCTAAACAAAAGTGAGGTAAAAAAAAATATATAATATCATACATATATATATTTCTTTACAAAAATATACCTCATCATAATTGTAAGTGTGTTATTCCAGAAGCTGTTAATTCCTCTCAAATATTCTGTTAAAAACTGATATAAACTTTGATATTTGAAATAGAGGTCTGCCATTGGGCCGGTTTTTCGCGCCATAACTCTACCCACCCAAAGTTTTAAAAATTTTTTTAACCCAAGCCCGCCAATCATAAAATTTAAATATGGACATTCTTTAAAAATTTTTAAAATTAATAATAATTTCAGTTTCACCATTACCCCTCTACAAAAATAAGTTTTATAATTTAGGAAAATATACTTATTATTATTAAGCATAAATAAAATATTCGATTTAAATTATGGATAATTTAATTTTGATCAAAATAAAAATATTTTTGAAAATAAATAAAAATTGATATTATTTATATGTAATTATAATGCATAAAATAATAAATGAATCGACATTTTCTAGGATTCGAACACGTTTTTCTTTTCTCTGAAGATCTTCCAGTAATGCTAGAGCCTCGCTTCAGAAGAAGCATTTATCTTGCTAGTCTTATTAGCTTTGACAAATCTTTTTTTTGCTATTTCCGCCAAAGTAGGATGCCATACCCGGCTTGAAGTTATATCCCCTCCCTCAAGTGAGATCTTCAAATAAAAATGAAATTAATAAATAATCAATTTTAAAAAAGAGTAATTTAAAAATTTAAATTATTTGTAAATATACATATCAAAACTGGTTATATTGAGCTTTAAATAATTTTGCTTAGGTCATTAGGTATGGCCCTTCCATCAGTAATGAATCCTCATCCTCCCAATCTGTTTGTGAGTTTAATTTTGACGCGGAAGCTATTTGTATTATAATATATTAGTCACCATTTAATATGGATTCTCCTTTGCTTTTTTTGGGGGAAACTGATAAAATCAGATCCGCCGACAACATTCTCAGTAGTCCGAACTTTTGGTAATAAAAAAATATTGAAATTTTATAGAAGCATATGGATTAAAATTATTTTTAGCTGGAATTTGATCTAAATTTTTGTCATTTTCATCTCATTCGAAATTATCTCAATAATTGACAATATTTATCGTAATTTTGAAATTAAGTTTTAATATTAAATGTGAAGACTCCTGGAGCAGGTTTGAGACGGCATCCGTGTAACCATATTTTTTAGCGAGGATTATTTTGAAAATACATTTTTAAAAAAAATTAACTCAATTTATAAAGAACAATGAAACAATAAACATTTTATGTTAGGGTCCACGAATGACAATATAATGATAATTGACTTTCATGTGACAACAAGCTATATTCTGGGTGATACATATATATATATATAAAATAAGAGATATTTGACAATAAATATATTTTCATTTATTTACGTCAAGATTAACATTTTTATATATAAAAAAATTTTAATAATCTTTTTAAAAATCTTTTTTAAAAAAAAACGCGACGATATGTACCGCGAAAAGGTGCAGATACCCTAGCGTTTTTTTTTTAAAAAAAACAATTTTATATTAAGAAAAACTTTTAGATGTCATAGTTTTTTTTATATCACTTAATTTTTTTTTATGGACAATATAACCCCGGTCTATTGAGGGCTTTACCAATTTTTTTTTTCAAGTACATAATATTCTTATTCATTTTTAAAATCAGGGAATAGACTATAACAATATTTGTCGATATTCAAACGTATGTTATACCTCCATTATAAATGGATACCATTCTTTTCGTTGACTCATATGCCACTCCAGCTTTCGTGTTGATGCTAATCGTCCTAACACTGTGTATTATATATCTCCTATTCAACCCTTATTACCTTGTAAGAAAGAGCGGGCTTTTATACCCCCGACCGATTTATCCCGTTTTTGGACATCAGTTGTCTTTAATGAAACACGGCTTTCAAATATGTTACTGCAATTGGCGCAATCAGCTGTACCCACCTAAAAATAGTGAGAATGTATCATCGAAGGAAGTCTATAAAATATACGCCGTATGCGAGGGTTTAAATTGCACCGTTGTTGTTTCCGATCCTCTGATACTAAAATTGGTGTTTGTCAGAGACTTTCACACCTTCCCCAATCGACGACTCCTAATTTTGCATCAAAAATGTTTGACCAAAGCGGTGATAGCTCAGCCTTACCGGGAGTGGAAAATAAATCGTCAAAATCTGGTGGGAACATTTACCACTTCCATGATAAAGCAAATGCTGGTTGACAATGTGCGTTGCACCTTAGACTTAGTGGAAAAGGCTGGATCGATGACTGAAGATAGTCTTAATCTTTCGGAAGGGCTGCCAAAGAAAAGTTATAAAATGAGCGATGACGAATCTTATACAAAACAAAGAAATCATGATCCGAAAATTTCGGCCGAAAAAATAATAGATAGCAGCTGTCAATCGAAACAACAAAATACGCGTTACCCATTTAAGATTGACGGGAAGACCCCCTTCGAAACAAAACCGTTGTTCGGAATTTACGCTATCGACATCATGACCAGGAACTCTTTCGGTTTCAAATTAAAGTTTGGAACACGTGACCACGCAAAATTCATGGAAAGCACTAGGGAAATATTTACGTACCAAATGCACAGATTTATCATTCTAAGCTGGCTTAAGCCGATTGTATATCTCATCTCCTGCCTGTTGAGGATTTCTTTTGTGGGTGAGCCATCTCTCATCTACATTAGAGATGTCATTAGGAAGTTCGCTGGCCTAAGACAAGACGCTTTCTTCAATCGGTAAAATAAGAATGTATTTTAAGAATTATTTTTAGGGTTAGGGTTAGGGTTAAGGTTAGGGTTAGGGTTAGGGTTAGGGTTAGGGTTAGGGTTAGGGTTAGGGTTAAGGTTAGGTTAGGGTTAGGGTTAAGGTCAGGGTTAGAGTTAGGGTTAGGGTTAAGGTTAGGGTTAGGGTTAGGGTTAGGGTTAAGGTCAGGGTTAGGGTTAGGGTTAGGTTAGGGTTAAGGTTACGATTAGTATTGAAAATTACATCATATCATTGTTGCATGATGTCCTTTTTGAGAGATATAATGTTTAAAAAATCCCGGTCACCCTTTTTCGCTACTTAAATTGAAAGATAACACTATCCTATTTTTTTTTTAGTAAATTCACCATGTCTCTCAGCTAATTGTCCTTATTATGTGAACAAATATTTTGTCGTAAAAAAATGGTTCAATATTACGAAAATTAAATAAATGATATCAGTTTTTGTAGTGTTTTGTATAATGATTTTGAACACCCATTAATTAAACTGAGTCGTTTAGAAATAATCACATCCCCAACACACACACTTAAATTCAATAATTAACATGAAAAAAATTTATACATTAGGAAAGACCTGTATCAGATTATGCTAAACGCGGCTAAAAGGAATTTTCAAAATGAACGTCGCGATAACTCGTTAGTCGATCGTATCAAAGGTTGTCCTTTCGTCAATTATTTGACAAAAAGTGACAATAAAAATATGATCGATTATGACATGGAGAACGTGGAGGCGAATTCGATATTCATTACATTAGCCACTTACGAAACATTGTCAACGGCTCTGTCCTGGGTCGTCTATCACCTAGCCCAGAATCCCGGCATGCAAGATCTTATATACCAAGAAATCGTAGCGGAATTAGGAAGCGCATCTCTTCATAAGTTAAATAATATATTTAAAAATGTTAAGCGAAAACCTCTTAGGATTTCTATCTTCACTCGGTATCAACCCGGTTATCTTGTATAGGAAGGTTAAGCTTACATTTAAAACAATTGCTGAAATGTTTTCTCTGACAGAGATTTTTATTTAACACAATAAGCTATTTTCATTAAAACTATCAGAAACATGCTCTCGTAATAAAGTTATATTTTATTAGTTTTATTAGGGAGGCTTATAATTATCCAAGACTAACTTATAAAGAATTTGATAAGTTCTGTTTGGATTAGAACAATATCATAAATTTAGCATTGAAAACTGTATTTCATTCCATTTAGGGAAGATGAAACTAATATGGTATCTAGCGTGAGCAATGACGATGATAGTGAAATACTAATGAGTGAACATGATTCTCCTAATAGGAACAGCAGATATGATAAAGAAGAATTTCCGAATTCCGAGTATTCCAAAGTGAATTACCACTTCCTAAAACGTTTAAAATATACAGATATGTTTGTGAAAGAAGTCCTTAGACACGATCCACCCGTGGCTATCATAAATAGGGTGGCTAATGAGGATTATACCCTACCGCTTAAAGATAGTAGAATAAAGATTCTTAAAGGAACGCTGATCAATGTACCAATTTACGACATACATCATGATCCAGAATATTGGCCTGATCCTGATATCTTTGATCCGGAAAGATTTAGCATCGAAAATAGGTAAAAAAATTAATTTAATCTAATAATTAGCAAAGGATCCCTTGAGATTTAAGATTTTTTTCAAAATATAACTAGATTTATATATATATTTTTTTAAATATAATTAACCCTACACTTCATCAATCTACACAATCAAAACCTTTTATTCATGGATAAGTCTAGAGAAGCAAAAAAATTCTTATCATTTATGTTTTTTTTTGTAAATTTATATCAGCTATAACAAATATGCCTATCTGCCGTTCGGATTAGGGCCTCGCAACTGTGCAGCAGAAAAATACGCTATGTTAACTATGAAGACATTTCTAGCTGTCGTTTTGCAGAAAGTTGAATTTAGAAAGTGCCCCAAGACCTTGGACAGTTACACGCCCTACGAAACCGCTTTCCAAAAGAGCGAGTTCCATTATCCAGAATGCGGAATATGGTTAGTGGCTCATCCCAGAGTTTAATATTTAAAATTGAATGTTCTTTTATTATGTACATAGAATATTACATAATGATTATTTTCTATTTATCTATCTATCTATCTTTCTTTCTTCTTCTTTCTCTTTCTTTCTTTCTTTCTTTCTTTCTTTCTTTCTTTCTTTCTTTCTTTCTTTCTTTCTTTCTTTCTTTCTTTCTTTCTTTCTTTCTTTCTTTCTTTCTTTCTTTCTTTCTTTCTTTCTTTCTTTCTTTCTTTCTTTCTTTCTTTCTTTCTTTCTTTCTTTCTTTCTTTCTTTCTTTCTTTCTTTCTTTCTTTCTTTCTTTCTTTCTTTCTTTCTTTCTTCTTTCTTTCTTCTTCTTTCTTCTTTTTTTTCTTTCTTTCTTACATAAAATTATTTGTATCAATTATCAAGTATTTTACATAAACTAAATAAAATTTCACCCTTATTTATAATCAATTTGGGATATGTAACTATTAAAATATTAGTTTTATGAATTAAATCGCCACTGAAATCTAACGAGCTGGATTCATTCCTAGATTTGAACATCTATAACCTCGAAATCTCCAAAAATTGTAGAATATCTGATAAGGGAATTTTCATTAATTTTAAAAATAAAAAATTTCAACTATCCTCACAATGGCGTTTCTCGGAGATCCATAGTCACAACTTTCAATCTAATTAGTTTAAATTTTTATTCGTAAAAACAACTAAAATTGGGCAAATGATGAAGTCTTAGTAATAAACTCCGTCAGGGTTGTTTAAGTAATAGTCAAGTTTTTGCATTAGAAAAAAAAACTATAAAAAATTTTGTTAAATAAAAGTCAAATTTTATCATAATTACAATAAGACCTTTGTTCTGTATTTGACTTAATTTTTGTTAAAAGAAGGTGAATATTTCAATTTAGAATAACTTTATTTTCAAGTATTAATCCAGAATAATATATTATATAAAGATCACATCGAATATATACCTATCGTAAATCAATTTATGGTAAATAAATTGTGGCTAAAGGCTTCGTATATAAAAATACAATAATCTATTATTACGTTTAAAAAGTAATATCGATTAAATATATTAAGAAATTATATTAAGAAATAATAGCGAACATGCAACAATTTTGATACTTAATTGCTTTTTAGTATAGGATAGGCTAACAAGTTTTCCCACTAGGAAACCCTATTTTGGGTTAGTTGTAAATATTTTCCATATTTTATTCTCTTTTTTTCTTTCAATGTTTTTATTTTCCATTTAAAGACAGATATTTTTTTTTAAAAAAAACTTCCAAGTTCAAAATTTAAGAAAGAATATTTTTTATAGAAGAAATGTCGTCACGGTTATTATTGTAATAAAAAAAAAATTAATATCTAGAAAAATTTAAATAGATAAGAGGGCATATCAGATTGATTCTCCTGCACAGAGTCTGACAAATATATAAATACGCTTTTTTAAATAAAAAGTGTTAGAGCATTGTTTGGTAGAATTTATTAACCATTGAGATCAGAAATGTAGGCTAGAATCAGGTCAGTAAAAAAAAATATATTTGCTAAAGCCAATTTGAAAATTAGATTTTGTTAAGCCCCCCCCCTAAATATAATCTTTAACACCATCTATGAAAATAAATGTTATCGATTGAAGATATAAACAATTTCATTTATAGTTTTATTATTATTTTTGAACATCGCCGTATGTTTTATTTATAAAAATGAGGGCCATAATATAGGAAGTTCATAATGTTTCAAAAATAATTTCAAGTATATGCTTATAAGCATGTTCAATTCAGTGTTTTATATCTTTATATAGGTATAAATTATTTTTTTAAATCCAATTTGGATTAGCCTTTCTTGTTCAGAGGGTTAGAGAGACGAGTGACGAAGCAGGTTCAGTATCCATCTACTCTTGAAATTATTTCAAAAAAGAGAACAGTTATCTTAGAAGTGAAGGGATAGTAATGTAACAAATTGCTAAAGTAAGAAATTTTAATTAAGTGTGAAGGCACCCTGAAGCATGTAAGGGGTTGCTAAAAATAATGATCATTTGATTTTATATATAAAACCTAACTGTATATTTATTATCATATTTCATCCAAGAACCAACAAGGAAACATTGAAGGTATAATAAATTAATAAAATTTATGAGATAATGAATTAAAAGTTAACAAAAAATAAAAGTAAAATTAAAATGTGAAAAAAAGTACAGAATCTCCACAATGATATAGCATATATTATAATCCTGAATATATTATTTGCGTAATAAAAATATTTAAAAACGCTTGTAAAATAGGTATAATTTAATTTTTCTAATTCCATACCACATAATATTCACCCTCTTCTAGGTAATATACTAACTTTATTAAGGATATTTCTCCAGAATAGCAAAATAATAATTTAAAATAGCAATAAGGAATGAAAAAAAATATTATAGAAGTTGAGATGATTATGATTATGTTAAATAAACAAATCCCATATAATGAAAGTACCCCGAACTAACAAAGGAGCGTATCATGCTTCATGCTCCTCCTGTTGTTAGAGGTTTATAAATCTAATATAGACAAAATAATAGCCATCTTATAATAAATAATTAATAATTAATCTATAATTTATATTTTCAACTATTTTCTATTACAAAAAAAAAATTAATATAATTAAAGAGTTTAAAATTATTTCAAATTATTTCCAATAAATTTTTCTGTATTTTTTGTATATAACGAAATAGTAAATATAACTTAAAAATAGATTTGATATAGCACACTTGGGCGGATTCGCAAATTTAACAATTACAGCAGAAATATTCTTCTGAGTTGCAATAATCGTGGCAGAATAATGTCCTATCTTATAGCATTAAAGTTTAATAAATATATTATAAATTAGAAAATCTGCAAAAGTAGGCCAGATTCTGTACCCGGCCCGGGCCTTAGATATTTTTTTTTAAAATATATCTAAATTTATCGATTGTATGTTGAATTTTTTGTTTAAAATAAAAAATATGTGATTTTATATATAGAAAGTAGACGCCATATTACATATATCGTTTATTTTGAATAATTATAAAAAAAAAATTAATTTCTATATTTAAATAAATTCTGGCCGGGTTTCGGGAATGGTCGGGCAAAATTCTATAATTTCAGGCCGGTCCGGACTTGATTAGGCCCGATGCATAAAAAAATAATTTTACCATGCGTTGCTAAATATTCGAGTTGTCTGCGTAATTCCCTGCTATTTGGATCATCTTACAAAAATAAATATGAATAGAATATATATGATTTAGCACACAAAATTACAGATAGTGGTAGGGCAGTCACTCATGATCATTGCGATAGTCAGCGCATATAAAAATCCTATCAGGTAGAAAATTGTGTTCATTCTTAATAACAATTATGTTTTATATATGGAGAAAAAATCTCTCTTTTTATACACAAATTTCAAAAAATAATCTCTAATTAACAATTATTATCAAAATTACGAGATATTTTTAAAAAAAAATAATAATTAAAAAAGAAACAAAATTTTATTTACTTAAAACTGTCATAAATAATTTTGACAATTTTTAATTTATTGGAAAGGCTCTTCATTTTTATTAAAAACTATAAATAACTTTTCTTTTCTTTTCTTTTCTTTTCTTTTCTTTCTTTCTTTCTTTCTTTCTTTCTTTCTTTCTTTCTTTCTTTCTTTCTTTCTTTCTTTCTTTCTTTCTTTCTTTCTTTCTTTCTTTCTTTCTTTCTTTCTTTCTTTCTTTCTTTCTTTCTTTCTTTCTTTCTTTCTTTCTTTCTTTCTTTCTTTCTTTCTTTCTTTCTTTCTTTCTTTCTTTCTTTCTTTCTTCCTTCCTTTCTTTCTTCTCTTCCTTCCTTCCTTCCTTCCTTCTAAAACAAAATCATTCATATCAATAATCACCGCTCATTCTTTCGTATAATAGACGATAAAATTTGGTAAATTAAAAGGATTTAAAATAAATTCATATATTTTTTAAAAGTGATTATAATATTTCTTTATTAGTTATTTTCTTCCAAAATGCAATTCAATTATAGTTTACTAAAAATTTAAAAAAATACAATAAGCCAAACGAAAATGATATACATTAATAAACACAATATTGGAATACTACTTAATTATGGATATTTCTCTAGCATACCAAAATAAAATTTAAAATAACATTATGGAATATAAAAAAAAAATATTCCATAAAATGAAAGTACCTACCACGGTTAACAAAGATGCTTATTTTGCTACATGCTCTTCATGATGTTAAGGTTTTAAAATCTAATATATAAAAAAACAATAAATAATAGTTTTTTATTTTAAAATAATTAATCTATATTTCACTATTTTTTTAAAAATAACTAAATTAGAAATGACAAAAATTTTATTTACTTAAAACTGTCTTAAATAATTTTGCCAATTTTTAAATTAATTGAAAAAGCTCTTCATTTTATTTTAAAAATACTGTAAATGATGTATCTCTTGAATTCGATAAAATTGTATAAACAATACACAATTATAGTTGAAATATATTTTAAGGTTACTTTTTGTTTGTTCTCTTTGGACACTTCAAAATGAAATGTGTATTTTTTTTGGAACCAATCAAAACCATTAATTTTGCCTTTGGAAATATATAGCATAACATATATATTTTAGATTTAAAAAGTCTTATTAAAAAAAATTATTAATTTTTACACTAAACATTTTATTTGTCATATTTTAAACTCCTACGAAACAGTTGAATATAATAATACTTCCATGCAGGGCCGCAACCAGAAATTAATAATGGTAAAGGAAGACACTGAAAGGCCCGATACTTTTATACAAGCTCATAAGCATAGTAGTAATACTTGTTTAATTTATCAATTATGGAATATTAATTATGGAATTAATCCTCCCTATATTTTATAGTAAAATTGGGTATCGTTTTAAAATAATTAAAATTTATTTTAGCGAATCTTGAGCCTGGCGCGGTTTCTGTATCAAATGACCACGTCTTAAGGTGAAAGTCTACATCGATATTCTAGAGAGGATATTTGAGCAGTGTAACTAACAATTAGTTTCTGCGAGAACTTCCCGTTTTAAAGAGATTTGTTTCATCATTTTTAAAAAATCTGACAAAGAAAATTGACTAAGCTAGGTTAAGAAACTATGAACCTTGGTGACAAAAATATATTTATTTTTACTCAATTAAAAAAGTAACGAGAGATTTTTTTAATGTATCTGATAATTGGAATTTATGTATCTTTTTTTTTAGTTCAAGATACCCTTGCTTCCTTCTTAGTTACCCATTTCTCTATGGCTTAATCTAAAAGTGTTGGCTAAAATAATGATTAATTTCATAGATAAGAATTACCGATATTATTATCATATTTTATCCAAGACCAACGAAAAACATTAATGATATAATGTGAAAACTTAAAAAATTCCCAAAAAATATCGGTACAAAATATTAAAAATTATTTCGCATCTATTATAATAATCCTCAAAAAACGTCAATCAAATTTAGCCAATAGTGTTCATTTAAAAAAAATTTGTCCAATAAAAATGATTATAGTGTAATCGGTCCAATAGTAATGATGTAACAACCTTGACAATCATTCAATTTTATAACACATTTTACCATCTTCACTTTATAATGTTTTTTTAATAGTTTATATAGTTAACCTACAGGAAACGTTAATATATTGGAATATTTTCAAGTCTTTTAAAATTGGCTTCAAAGAAATTTAAACTTCAAACTGGGTAGAATAAATGATAGTTTTAATGTCATAGTATGTCACTAGGAATTGGGGTAAACAATTTTATTATCAAAACTGATTTTAAAGTGTACTATGATAAACATTTTAAATATTTTAAGTTTTTTAAAACTTAAATGTGTCCAAAGTGTTGTTATTAATTTGTGAAAATTTTAAGGATTTTTTAAAACATTTTGGATGCAGCTTAAAATAAAATTTTAGTTAATTATTATTCAATAAATTTTTTGGGTTTAAAGAAAAGTTATTTGGAGAATATAATATTATTTCTTAAAATAATAAAAATAAAATTTGGTATCTATCCTATCTCCAGTTTTGGAATAATAATAAAAATGATTATTTTAGAAAGGAACTATTAAATATACACATTAATTTCATATAAAACCTACACTTATCATAAAAAATTATATGCTTTTAAGACCTTCATAAATACTCTTTTAAACAAAGACCTTCTATCATAGATTTAAATCAAATATGAGGTCAACCTGAATCTCACAAAAACTCTATGGTGGTAACCATTGGCTAAAATCCAGCGTCTTAATTTATTAGGTATACATAGCAATTAAGATTGATTGTTAAGGGATAAGTTAAAAGAGTATTTATGAAGGTCTTAAAACATTTAAATAATTTTTTATTATAAATGTAGGTTTTATATGAAATTCATGTGTATATTTAATAGTTCCTTTCTAAAATAATCATTTTTATTATTATTCCAAAACTGGAGAGAAAGTATATACCAAATTTTATTTTTATAATTTTAAAAATTATTATTCTATTCTCCAAATAACTTTTCTTTAAATCCAAAAAATTTATTGAATAATAATTAACTAAAAATTTTATTTTAAGCTGCGTCCAAAATGTTTTTAAAAAATTAATATTTTCACGAATTAATAACAACATTTGGACACATTTAAGTTTTAAAAAAATTAAATATTCAAAATGTTTAATATGATTCAATTATTAATTATTTATTAAAAGATATGAATTGTATTTATTATTATATATTACCTTTCAGTTATTAATCTTTATATGATCTTATTATTTGATAATAGTTATATTTAAATTTTATTTTTATACTTAATAAATAAATATATGTTGTAAATAATTGTATCAATATTTAATAAACAGTTGGAAAACTAATAATAACTTTTATTTTAAAGATAATCTTTCCATAAAATATATATAAATTATTATATTTGAGTTATGTAATAAAATTATAATAGAAATGATATAATATCTTTTAAGAGTAGGAATAGGAATATTTTTATTAATAACTGTAGGGTTTTAATTTTCTTTGTTGGCATTATCTTGATCTAGCTATTATTCAATAATAAATAACATAGTAACATAATGTACAGAATCATTAGAAATAGGGATAGAAATTTAATTAAGGTATGATGCAATTAATTTTATATACATATATAAAATAATACTGTTCCAAGATGTCAATTTTTAGATTCCTAAAATAATAAACTATTTTATATTTTTTCCTTTTAATATTTTACATTTGTCTGTCAATTTTAAAATTGACTCAGAATATTTGGTAATATCATCAATATTTTCTTTTAACCATACATAATGTTTGACATATTGTAGATCCTTATTTTCCAGCACCTTTTAATGTTAAGATCTGAGTTATTGTAATATATTTATAGTATGGTTTAAGAGAAAATTGACAGATATTCCAAGTGAAATTGCAGAGATTATTAGCAGTGTATTATTTTGAAGGATAAAATAAAGAATTAAATAATTTTTTTAAAATTGTCCACATACTAATTCTACAATTACCATTAAATAATTCAATCTATTATAATATAGTGTTGTATATTTTCTCATAACTTTATAATTGTAGAATGTATGTTATTCATAATTTATTATAACATTTTTGATGAAATGTATAACATTTTTGATGAAATGTATAACATTTTTGATGAAATGTATAACATTTTTGATGAAATGTATAACATTTTTGATGAAATGTATAACATTTTTGTTTTACTTATATATAATTTGACTATGATTGTAGTTAACCTCCTAATATCTTTTTATTTTTTCTATTGTAATTTAATATCAATTTATTAAATTTAATTTTATAATTTGTAACTAAATAATAAATCATTTGGAAAGATGGTGGTTTGTTTAAAATTTAAATTAGGATGAACATATTTTCAGCATGGTACTTTAATGTGTATTCATGAATTTTATATAATGATAGGAAATCAGATATTTCCCCTTCATTTGATGATAATTTTAAAAAATTTACCCAATTAATATATAGATATATTAGACAGATTTAATTCTTATAAACCTCTTATATTCTTCATGATCCAAGGAAAAAATTAATTGTTCTGAATTTTCCTGGGCTTGGTAAATATTTTTCACAATTAATTTTGACTTGGACGTAGCTTGCTAAACATTTTTCAAAAAATTTATTAATTTTAAATATGGGCTAGAAATTAGCCTGAAATTTCTTTTGAAGACATGGCCAGGCCTGATCAAAAACTAAGGCCCATACAACTTTTATATTCTGATTGTATTTTTAAATGCATTGTGACTTTTTATATATTTTATTTCAATTCTCAACCACCAAAATTATTATGGTCTTTGGCAGGTTTGAGAAAATTTTCCCAAGTGCGTGGACCTGGCTTGGGAATTTTTTTAATATTAGGGCATAGGTGTTATATTTAACACTTAAATATTATTTTTAAAAATAGTATTCACTCTTAGTCTAAATGGGTTGGCCTTGGTCTGAAGTAGGTGTGAGATTAAGATAGAATAAAAAATAGATAAGTTTTTTAGAGATTTACCTATCTCCAGGTTTGGGAAAAAATTTTGAAAATTATTATGAGTTGGACTGGGCTTGGAAAATATTTTTATAAATTATATTGGGCTGGGCTTGGGGAAAATTATGAGCTTGGACGTTTGATAATTTTTTTATTATTAACTATGGGTCAGACATTGGCCTTAATCAAGTTATTTTGCACATAAAAATTTGATTATTATTGTATTTTTAAATTCATCATGATTATTTAAATGTTTTATTTCAGTTCTCAACTATCAAAATTATTATGATCTTTCATTGGGCTTGGATGAATTTTTCAAAATTATTACGGCTTTATACTTTACCTGGGAATTTTTTTTAATATTAAATATTATGTATAAATGATCATTAAATTTAACATATTGGTATTATCAAGTAAAAGCTTTAAATTTATTCTTACACAAACAATAGTAAATAGTCTTAGTTTTAATGGAAACCTGGCCTGAAGGGGGGAGGGGATAAAAAGAATAAAATTGGATATAATTTCCAAATAACAGCTAACATCTAGCATAAATATAAGATGATAATTCTCATTCCCCGCCATTTTTGACGGGCTATCTCTTAGTTATAATATAATCCTGAACATATAATTTGATAAAATCGTATTTAAATCTTTTAATATATTCCTAATTATTAATACCAATTCTAGAATAAATTTCATGTATATAACTAAACAAAATACAATATTTACTATAATTCTCAATAATATGGAAATTTAAAACGGAATAAATAAGTTTCAACTCTAAATAAATAAATATTTTTTTTTTATAGTCAGGTATTCCTTAAATTATTTAACACACATTGCATATTTATTACATTTCTATAAGCAAGGATAGGCATAAAAATAGTTTTGGAGCTTGTCATGTATAATAAAGACTGCATGGAATAAAAACTTTGAGCGGATTGGGATTAAATAAGATTTCTTACCGACCCAAGTCAACAAATGCTAAGATCTTATTGAATTTACCTTCCATATTAACTCCTATTTTAACAATTGATAAAGAGTTTAAAATTAACATATCCAAATTAAAAGTAATCATTCAAATTGATAAATACACAGTTACCCCTTATTCTTTCGTAGATGATATAGTTTAGAAAATGAAAAGGATTGTAAAAATTGATTTTTCTAATTAATAAATTAACATATTATTTTTGAAGTGGTATACTAAAATGCAATTGAACTAGTTTATTAAACTGTAGAAGAAAAACAATAAAACAATTAAAAATGATTTACTTTTAAAAAAATGGAATATATAATGAAATGAAGTGATTTATATAATATATAACAATATATTATATGATTACAAATAAGAAAATAATATATCCATATATTACTTTTACAAAAATCGTTTATCCATTTAATCTATTACATTAAAATTGTACCTTAACACCAAAAATTAACAAAATAGAATTTTATATTTATATTATTAGATTATAATATAGAAAAAATATTTATTATTTTACGCCAGCTCCTATGAATACTTACTTTATTAAGGATATTTCTCTAAGCTTACCAAAATAAAATTTATAATAGCAATAGCGAATACAAAATATTAGGGTGGCGATGATTATGAATATTTTAAAATAAACTAATCCCATAGAATAAAAGTATACCTCTACTGACAAAGGTGCGTATTATGGTTCATGCTCCTGTCGTTGTTAGGGGTACCAAATATAGTATAAAATAATACCAACTTGTTATTAAAAATAATTAATCAATAATTTATCTATTTATAAAACATAGTTATCATTGCAATAATTTATATAATAAAAGTTTTCTTTTATAAATTCTCCAAATTTTATTTTGTATATATATAAAATCTGACAGAATTACGGACATTTACAGCAGAAATATTCATTTGAAGTGCAATAATCGTGGCAGAATCTACTCTCACCTTTATAGCATTAAAGTTAATACTTATAAAAATAAATATTCATTTTTTTAAATTATTAAAATTTTATATAAAAACTATATTAAAACATTTTTAAGAAAAATATTATTAAAAAATGAACATAAAATTTGTAAATAATATAAAAAAAATTTTTACCAAATATTTCTAAATAAGTGCGCTGTCTGCGTAGTTCGTCGCTATTTGGATCAACTGACAAAATAAAAATGATAGAACATATGATTTAATAATATTACAGATATAGTTGGGACATCCCATAAATATTTGACTTAACATCAATATAATAATCAAAGTATATAAATATCCTAAAAGATAGAAATTTGTATTCATTTTTGTAACAATTATGTGTTAATATGGGGAAAAATTTTTCTCTTTTATATACTATTTTTAAAAAATAATCTAAAAATAACGATTATTATATTAAAATTTTATCAAAATTATGAGATGTGAGATATGAAGATATTTTTAGATCTAATTTTTTCAAAAATAACATAAATTAGAAAAATACAAAAATTTTATTTACTTAAAACTGTCATAAATAATTCTGCCAATTTTTAATTAATTGGAAGTAAATGATATATCTCTTGAATTAGATATAAATTGTATAAATACAATTATTGTTGGCCACTTCAAATTTTTATTTTTATTGGTAGGAATTTAAACTATAAATTTTGCCTTTTGGTATATAATGCATGACATATACATATTTCTGACTTAAACATGATCGAAAGATATAACAAAAAAAATTATTACACTAAATATTTTTTTTGGTCATATTTTGAACTATTACGAATAGTTGTATATATATGTAACTTTTATACAAACTCATAAGCATAGTAGGTAATACTAATATAATTTAATTTATCATTAGAATATTAATCATGGAATAATCTTCCTATATTTATTATATTATATGGTATTAAAATTATATAAATAAAATTGTTTTAAATAATTAAATTATGAAATGTGATTGATTGTTTTATAATTAATTGAAATTTATTTTAACACAACTAGAGGCTGGCCCGGTTTAAATATCAATGACCGTTATCTTAAGATGAAAACCTATATCGATTTCCAGATAAGAGCAATGTTATGAACAATTAATTTCTGAAGGTTGATGGTCAACTACCATGTATCGACCATGTCCATCAAGGATCGAGTATTCTGTTAAAAATAATGATTAATGATTATTGTTACTATAATTGTCATTAGGTTCGCGCAAATATGAATTAAATGCTTTTACAATACATATTTATACAATGCACAACTTAAAAGAAAATTAAAAAATTTGAAAATAGTGATGTAATACAATAAATGTCTTTTAACAGTTCATCTTTGAGACCTTAATGAAACAAATTTCTCCTCACCGTCATATGAGTGCCAAAATTTTAACTAAATCAATTTTGCATTTGATTTATTTTAAAAAAATATATTAAAATAATAATTTTAATATTTATATAATCAATTTTATTATATTTTCATATATTGTTTTAAATTTTAATTTAATATTATTATTGGAAATTAAAATTTTTATTTAATTAACTCCATCTACAATATAATTTATTATCGATTTATAATTTATATATAAAAAAAATAATAAACACAGATTCATATGCCAGAAGAAAAATAAAAAATTTTATAAAAACATATTTAATAAATATTTATCATATTTTTTTGTTTTTACATATTTGTCAAAAAGTGAATTTAACCTATTTTTAAAAAAGGTTGTTTTTATATATTTTAACCTTGAGAATGATATTTCAATGTTTACAGTAACAATTAATTAAATGATATGTAATTAGCAGAGTTGTTAAAAGATACTTTTTAAATGGATCTAGATACAGATACATCTCTAAAATAATATCTAGATACCGATATTTTAATCAAAAATCTATCTAGATACAGATACAGATACCACATTTTTATATCTAGATACTTGTATCTAGATCCTTTAACAACTCTGGTAATTAGTATTTATCATATAAAAGTTTCTATTAGTGTTTATTAAATTACCCTAATTTTGACCATCTCTAATGTGGCTCAGTCAAGCATTTAGCTTAAAAAAAATTGAATTAAGCTTCTAAGTTGAGTTTCAACTTGACGATTTGAATTGAATATTTTTGGATATATACATAGCTACGCTGTTTTATAGTTAACCTAAGTTAGGTAGTTTAAAGAACACTAGTTTTTATACGACTGAATTTACGAATCGTGATAATAAATACCAAAAATACAACTAACGTGAATTTATCAAGATTTATGTTAGCCCAAATATTTTATATAAATAAAGGTTTGTTATTTCTTCGAAAAATATTAATATATATATATATATATACAAATCAAAAAAAAGGAAATAATCTTACCAATTAGAAATATTTTATCACAAAAGGAAATGTTCTAACAGGTTCGATTAAAAATGGGAAAAGTTTCATAGAAAAAAATAAAATTTTCGGAAAAGGTTCAACCATATAAAAGAGAAAAAAAATTTGCTGGACATCTTCGGGAGCTTGATTAGCGAACACATCCTCTGAACCTGTGTATCATTTTGAATGACTTAGAAACCTTTTACTATATATCATAAGATATCTTTAATAAAAATATAATTCCCTGAAGGAACGATTAATATATTTGTGTGAACTACCTTGATTTCCTCTTCTAGTTAAATCTTTTCGCATAGCTTAAAATCGAAATTATTTTATAAGCAAGTTTTAGTATGCAAGATTTAAACCACGGGCATTTTCTTTGAATTTTAGAAACACAAAAAGTTCTGTTCAAGTTATATCGAAGGATCCTAATATGCATCCATATAACCGAATAGCTCTGTAGAGACATGTTAGTAATTTAGTACGATGACACTACCAAGGTAACCCCTATTACAGGAGAGGGTGGAGTTGTGAAATAACGTAATTAACAGGAGCACATCATTTTCATTCAATAGCATTATGAACATTTATTATACTCACTATTGTTTTAAAAAATTTTGCATACACTAGCGTATTCCCTCTCATTCTACTATGTCTCGAATAAAATATATAATTTATATAATAAAATTGCAATATATTGTAATATATATTTATTGCGTAATATTTATATAGAAATATATATTTATATATATATATATATTTATTTAATTTATAGATTGCCTCGGTATACACAAATCCATAAATTTTTTTTATTAATTTTTTTAAAGAGATAAAATTAAAAAATGTAAATTGAAATTATCTAGTTCCTTTAAATAAAATTTTTATAGATACATATTGAATAAATGATGCAATCATATTGAATAAAATTGAAGATTAAAATATTCATCCTCACACCGAATTTTCTAGATCTTAGCAGTACAATAGCATGAGTAAGTACTTAGAATATCGTTGTATGTACATAGATTTTGTATAACATAATTTACTTTTAATTCTTAAACTCTGCACCATTTATCTGATGATATAAATATGAAAAACTCCAGATATGAGCTCCTAGGCTTATAATTGATAATTGTTGCGTATCTAAAGCCTACTCCGACAATACATACAATTAAGTTCCCATTTTTTTTACATTTTATAACATTTATTAACATATGGTTAAATCAAAAATAAAATTGTAAATTCTCATTTTCAAAACATAAACATGCTTATTTTTTTAAAAAAAATTTTTTTAGTCCAACATCCGTTATTATAAAGAATGCCCGTATTAAATTTTTAAAATAAATGTGTGTATTATTTTATTTTATAAAAATATTACAATATAATAATAACATTTGATGCAAAATGAATATAACAAATATAGTAAAATTTAATTAATAAATTTTTAGGAGCGGTGTGTTCCCAATACCATCTTTCAATCACTTTTAAAATAAATGTGTGTATTTTATTTTATAAAAATATTACAATATAATAACATTTGATACAAAATGATTATAACAAATATAGTAAAATTTAATTAATAAATTTTTAGGAGCGGTGTGTTCCCAATATCATCTTTCAATCACGAATAATAAGTATAATTTTTGCAATAGATATTTCTTTTTAAAAATATTTGAATATAAAGAATGCTGATATTGAACGAGTTAAGGAGGTTGATAACTTGCCAATCGACGCTATCCGACTTGATTAGTAACTCTGTAAACATATATATTTTTTAGGTTAATATAATATGGTTTTGGTTTAGAGCATCAGGTTCTAAGATTTTTTTAGAGGAGGGAGAGGAAATGAATAACCACTATCAGGATTGATGAATTTATTTTATTTAATATCTATAGTTGATTACAATATATTTTCAACACGCAAGAAATTAGGAAATAACCCATACCGAATAAATATTTTAAACCATAAATACTCAATTTTTTGAATAAAACTTACCCTCCTTAACCAATAATGTATATTTTTGATGAAATCAAGTATGAATTAGGAATATAAAATTACTGAGCAATTAAATAACTATGCTAAACCCACCAGCTCATCTCATATTTGCCTTTGCGCCTGAATACGAAAACTTTATATTTAAACTAAAATATACAAATTATTTTTTTTTACCCGACACTGATTATGCTTAGAAACGATAAGTATTGTTTATCATTAGAATTAAAAAGTTTATACAACATTTCTTAAAAAATTATTTTTATCATATTTTTTAAAATATATATTTAAATCACAAATTTATTATAATTTAACCAGTTATTCTATTTAAAATTTTTGCTATTTATTCTTTAAATTGATAAATTAATATATCAGGTATAAGATCGTTAAATAAAAAAAAATTAAACTTACGGACATATGCAACATACATATTGATTTAGAATGCATTTATTGGAGCAGAACATTTCCAAATCTTTAAAGATTATAAAATTTGTTAATTTTGTTTCTAAATTTTACTAGTTCTTCTTAAATATACGAGCTGTTCATTCATTATATTATTCTGAGGATCATCTTGAAGATTTAAATAAAATTAATTATGAGCATATATATAAATAAGATTTATTTATATATATATATACATTGATAGCATCCCATGGCTCCATGAATTAAAAAAATATTAATTATAATGATAAAGGCTAATAAAAATCCCTCTAAATTAAAATTTTTAGTCATTTTTAATTATAATATATATATAAAACAAAATGGACAATCTCTATTTTTTATATACAATGTAGACCAGAGATGAGACATTATTAAAAAAATAATAAAAATTATAGTAAAATTGCATCATCATTACGATAATTTATATTTAAATTATAAAATAATATTTTTTTTTAAAAAAATAAGCTGTAAAATACATATTGAAACTTGTTAAAATCTATATTGTTTTTAAATGTATAATATAGATTTAAAATATTTCTCAATAGGAAAAGCTAAATTCCTCCCAGAATATACTTATAAAAAAAGCCAAATAATTCTTCCCCAAAAATAACTTCATAATTATTTCACAAGATTAAAATTAATTTTTTTTTAAAAACAGTAGATACATATTCTTTTCATGAATATTAAATATTTTTGCCATCCTCTATCAAAATTTTTTAGGATAAAATGAAAAATAAATAAATAAATAATTTCACAAATGTGACGAACAATAAAATGCGGCACACCTCCCAATGAAACTTTTATATGAACATTAAGTTATTTAATAAACCCGACATAAAAATTGACTTCCACAACTCTGTCTATAATAAGTTACTAGATCCGTATTTTTTCATTATATAGAAACATTATCAATCTTTAATTTATTCAAAATAATTCGTTTCGTTTTAATGTATTAGCAGAGGCATCCCACAAAATGAGTTACATGTTAAAGGAATTATTAATGATAAAATTATAACATATTTTTTAAAATTTTTTTTTTTATAACTATGCAATAACAATCTTTAAAATTACATTATTCATTTTATATTTACTTTACATCTATAATATTGGCTAACAGATATGTTAGAAATTAGGCAATGCCTACAACCATTGCTAAAAAAAAAAAATTTTTTAAATTTACATTACTAGATTTTTAAATTTATTTGCAATTATAAGATTCTTATTAAAATATTCATTTTTGTGTTGTACAATTTTAAAAATAAATTTCGAAAAAATTATCAGTGGAGGAATACATCTTTTTTTTTGCTACTCAATCGTTATCATTGATTTTTGAATATTTGATTCAGAATATATGAATATTATTAGATTAGTAAAAGAAATTATAAATATTATTCGAATAATTTCCAAATCAAAATTACTAATTAGCACTAGAATGGGCTTCGACAGGGTGGTCGGAATTAAGATAAATGACAAGTAATCAGAAATTCTTATTTGGTGAATAAATGGGTGAACCAATAAAAATTACTTTTATGCAAACTCATGAGATTAGCTGTAAGTTAGTTTACATTTCATATCAATTTTATGTTAAATAGTATTAGTATATAATATATCATGGTATTACTCAAACCATTTATACTCTAAACACAACTGACGATGACGACTAGACAAATTTCTGCAGAACTGAGACAAAGAACTACACAAACTCACAGAGCAACTAAAACAAAACACTTATTCTTCTAACCACAACTGACGATTATTTAACTATTAATATTTGAGTAGTGTCAGTAACAAACATAGGAAATATGTTTACACTATATTTTTCTTTATTAATATTACTAGTTAGTAGTATAATTTTAGTTGTTATGATATATATATATAAATAAAATACACCTTTATAAATCCCCAATTTTCGTACAATAAAAATTACAAGATGACATGTATAAAAAAATAATCTATAATCTATAGGGTTAGCTGTTAGGGTGTGCAATAACAGCAGAGATGTTCATTTGAGGTGCAATAGTCATGGCAGAAGAGAGCTCGACCTTGATCATTAAAAAAGTTTGTATATATTTTAAAAAAATTAGATATATATCTAAAAATTAATCATGTTTTAATATAAATCCTACCATATTCATTTACATAACGCAGTTGAGCATTTACTACAGGGTTTGTTGAATCAACTTTAAAATAAAATTAAAAATAATCATAGCAAGATATCTATTTTTTACAGAGTGGGCATCCTGTGGATATAGGAATTAGGAAGTTCAAAATAATTATCACAGTATATAGAAATCCCATTAGATACAAGCAACTTTTAATCATGTTTTTTATTGATTATATATTAATAAAATATATTTGATAAAATCAGTCTTTATATACATCTAATTAATCGTGACATATATTAATATTATAAATACGATACAAACTAAAATATTATTATATTTAAGGAAAAATATGCTAATTTATTTTGGAAAAAATATGATATTTTATTTTTTTTTAAAATATATAAATATAATTAGTTTTACCAACATGATAAACATTTATTGAAATGACGACTATTATAATATATCTTATTATGACAATTATTCAAATAAATTTTTTTTATATAAAAACACAGTTAAAATAATATTTTTTTTTAATTAATATTTTGTATGACCTTTGGCACCTTCAACCAAAATAATTCGGTTTTTTTTTAAGAAATGAAAATCCGCAGATATCATTTAAGTGTATAGCCTATTAAAAATTAGAATATATATATTTCAGACGCTAACATTGCATACCAGATATATACAAATGGCAAAATTTTCAGGTTAAGCCCAGTTTTAACTTAGCTTATGCCCGGCCAGGCCAAATTTTTACATGCCCCGGTCCTGACCATTTCTAATTTTGTACTATGGTTCCCAAACTCGGTACAATTTTAGTAAATACAAGGCCCCACCCGAAATATATAGTTAAACACCGAAATAAACAACTATTTATAATATTGAGAAAGGGGTTAAAATTAATAAAACATGGATTACCACTTCTATCAAATATCGGAAATTATCAATAATCCAGTCAATTATTGTTTTTAATAGGCCTAGTTAGTTACTCTGTTTGCCCAACCCGGCACATGCTGAGGAGCATTGCAGACCTTCAATACGCACGCTTTATTTTTCTATTTTTTGTTCTGGTTTACTTTTTAAATCATATTGGGATAATCTTGTTAAAAATCATGGAGAAAAAAAAATAATCATTGAATACTTGTATTACCTTGAAATTTTAGTCATTAATATCAAGCAATGAGATAAGGTAATATGCCAATTTCAGGATTTCCTTGTCTGTAATATTTATATAATAATTTTTAAAAAAATGTAAGTCTCAATCATTCATAGTTCAAAAATTAGGGGTAAGGGAACTAAGAGATTCCTATGAGAATTTAAGTAATAAATTTTAGGCTTATTAAAATCAAATAATTTTAAGTTGTTGCAACATGACACTACTCCAGCCAACTATTCTCTAATCCTGAGGGTTATGATTACACAACTTACAGAACTGAAACTAGAAGTCCGCCCTGACTCGCAGTACCATTAGAACTTCAGAAACTACTTCAACCATTTATACTCTAAAGAATTGACATTATACAAATTACTCTGAACGGAGACAGAACTGCACAGACTCACAGAAAACTCAAAACAAAACACCTATCCTTCTAACCAAAACTGACGATTATTATAATATGCTTCGTTTTTTTTATCAAACTAACTATTAATATTTGATTAGTGTCAGTAACAAACATAGTAATAGAAAGTTAAAATGTATTATTACTGTAAAATTTATTACTAGTTATAAGTATAATTTTATCTGTTATGAAATATATATATATATAAATATATAAATAAAATATACACCTTGATAAATCCCCAACTTTATTTTCGCATAATAAATATTATAAGTCTTGTATAATAAAATAAGCTATTATCTGTAGAGTTAGCTGTTAGGGGTTAGCAATAACAGCAGAGATATTCATCTGAGGTGCAAAAGTCATGGCAGAAGATAGCTCGACCTTGAGTATTAAATATATATTATGTATATCAAAAATTTTATCATGTTTTAATATAATACCATGTTCATTTACATAACGTATTTGAGCATTCATTTTAGGGTTTCTTGAATCAACTAAAAAAATAAAATCAAAATTATCATAGCAAGCTATCTATTTTTACATAGGGGACATTCTTTGGATCCATGAATTAGGAAGTTGAAAATAAGGGTTAGAGTATACAGAAATCCTGCTAGATACAAACTTTTAATCATGTTTTATATTAATAATATCAATAGAATATATTTTTATATTATCGTAATCTAATTTAAATACGAGATTAACTTATATATTATTTACAAAAAATATATTCTAATTTTTTTTTTTTTTAATATAATAAAAATACAATTAATTATGCCAACATGCTAAATATTTACTGACTATTGATAATATATCTTATTATGACAATTATTCAAATTAAAATTTTTATAAAAACACACTTAAAATATTTTTTTCTTAAAACTAATATTTTGTATGACCTTTGGCACTTCAACCAAAAATTATTCGGTTTTTTAAGAAATAAAAATCCTCAGATATCGTTAAGTGCATAGTCTATTAAAGAATGCAGACTTAACAAAGCATTTATTTGTTGTGTACAAATAGCAAAATTTTTATGTCCGGCCATGTTGTGATTTAGTTTATGCCAGGCCAGGCCAAATTTCAGGCGATCCCGCTCAGTTCCTAATTGTATTAAGGTGGGCCCAGCACGGTCTGATTTACATAAATACAAAAACTTACCAGTAATATATAGTAGTTAAAGTCCAAAATAAAACCAATTATAATTAATATTGAGGAAGTGGGGATTAAGCAAAAATTTAATAGTAATTTCGTCCACGTGAGAAACGTTTTCAAAAATTTATTAACCCTAAAGCTCTATGTCAAGCGAGTTGTACTCTATGCGAAATATCGATTTACTTAATAATATAACATCAGTTAACTAATTTAAAAACAAAAAATGTAAATATACAAAAGAGTTTTTATGATACCAAAAAAAAAGGAAATTTTAATATTTAATTTCCAAAAAAGTTCATAGGAACCATTTTTTTTATTAATATTTTCTCAAATGATTTTAAATTTTTTTAACCCACCCGCTCACATTGTTTAAATTTCTTTATCCGCCCGCCAGCCTTAAATTCTTAACCGGCCACATTCGGAATTTAAAAATTGGGAGTAAGAGAACTGTGAGTTTCCTATGAAAATTTAAACATTATATTTTGGGCTTATTAAATATTACATAATTTCATGTAGTTGGCGTAACCTGATACTAAACAAACTACTCCAACCAAATATCCTCTATTCACTATAGGCAATGATGATTACACAACTTACTACAAAATTGAAAAATCTAGCAGTTAGCCGACTAGAAATGCCATCAGAATTTCACAAATAATCCATGACGATTATGCAAATTACTACAGAACTGAGATGAAGATACACAAACTCACAGAACTAGAACAAAACACCCATCTTTTAATCAGAACTGATATTCTACGATTCTTCTTTTTCTTATCAAATGAACTAAATATTTGAATATTGTCAGTAACAAACATATTAAAAATATGCTTATTATTTTTTACTTATTATAGTTTTTGAATAGAATATATATATTTACAGTAAAATTTATTATCGCTAGTTATTAGTACAATTTTATTTGTTGTAAAATATATATAGTTATAATAAACCTTCATAAATACCCAACTTTAATTTCGTACAGTAAAAGTTATATGTCTTTAATAATAAAATAATATATTATCTATAGAGTTAGCTGTTAGTAGCAATGACAACAGAGATTTTCATTTGAGGTGCAATAGTCATGGCAGAAGAAAGTTTTACCTTATATTGTTTATTAATATATATATATCAATAAATTTTATCATGTTTTAATATATTTCCTACCATGTTCATTTATATAACGCAGTTGAGTAATCATTTCAGGGTCTGTTGGATCATCTTAAATATCAAATCAAAAATAATCATAGAAAGCTATCTATTTTTTACATAGAGGGCATCCTTTGGATCCATGAATCAGGAAGATCAAAATAATGATCATAGCATATAGAAAACCTATTAGATACAAATTTTTAATCATGTTTTATATTGATAAAATATTTTATTTTTTTTTAAAATCAGTCTTTATATACTAATTTAAGATAATCCAATTAATCATAACGTTAAAATGTTATTTATAAATTTACTAATTTTTTTTATTTTTAATTGCAATTAGTTTTTACTTGACATGATAAATATTATTGAAAATAATTACAGTTAAAATAATAATATTTTTTTTAACTAATATTTTTTATGACCTTTGGAATCTTCAACCAAAATTATACAGTTTTAAAGAAATAAAATAGATATCATTTAAGTGCATAGCCTAATAAAATTAGAATATATAATTCAGACTTAACAATGCATCTAGATGTCTTAACAAATGGAATAATCTTGAGGTCTGGCCCCATTGAAATTTAGCTTATGCCCTGTCAGGCTAAATTTTTACCCGAACCTGCCCATTTTTAAAATTTGTACTAAGGTTTCCCAGCCCGATCAGATATCTATATATTTATATCTAGATATAAAAGGCTTAAATCTGGATAAATATGGAAAGAAAAATCATTGAATACTTGTATTACTTTGAAATTTTAGACAAATCATATCAAGCAATGAGATCAACTCATACGCCAATACCACTATCTCCAACCTTGTCTGTAACATTTATATAAAAACATAATTTAAAAAAAACCACCGTTCGCTTTGCTAAGCTCTCTTACTAGTTTCATCATCAAAGAATACGACTACTTGGCACGATCGCTAAATATAACGTTTAGATTGGCCTTGAGGAAACAATGTTGAATCGATAAATATTACCAATCGGAAAAATTGGTTTTAGATATAAGCTGGCTGAAATTTCTATAAAAAAATAGGCTAAAACAAGAGTTTTATAGCCTTATTAATAGTGCGTAATAGCGTATTGGATGAATTTTTTTTTAAAATATTCATATGACTCGATTGGTAGTATGATAAAAATTGGTTATACAAGGTAGGAGTTATTATTTGAAATTTATTAAAATTATTATTATAGGTAAAACTATAATAATTTTATGCTGTATATTTTATCTGATAGGTTTGTGAAAATTTCTAAGGAAAGGGGTTAAGCAAATATTGAATAGTAATTTAGCTCACACACGAAAGTGTATGTACTATGATTTGGTCACTCTTAAGCTCTTTTTCCAGCAAGTAATACTCTAGGCGAAATAGTGTAAGTAAGGGAGAATAGCTAAGAGTTTTTTTAAAAATATAAACCATCAAATTAATATACAAATTTTAGTTAATAATTTTCGATTTATTTAATAAGACATGATTATCTTAATAAAAATTAAATAAAAATATAAAATATGTCTGAGATATAGTATTGTATATAATATTTTGCTGTCATCCTTACATGTTGGGTTAGCAAAAAGTGGGAACGAAATAGATTAGAGAAACACAGACTTAATCGTCCTAAATTACCAACTTGCATGCTAAAAATTAAAAAGCTTTACAGGTACCTATATATCAGCATTAGGTCATACTAAGAGCAAACATACAATAACAAGGACGAACATTAGAAACTTGCTTCTTATAATTTTAGAATAGATATATCAAAAAAATCTACTCGGAGGAAATTGGAACAAATTTCTAATGTTATAACTGAAATTCCCTAAATGCATGCAAATGAATAACGTTAATTGCTGAATTTCCTCGATTATGGAGGATTATTAAATATATAAGACTACCATTTGGTATATTTTTCTCTCCGGCAATATTACAACGGGCCAGTGATAACTTATTTAAAGGGTTTAAAGGGAGTAGTTTATTATTGTAGGAATATGTAGGAATATATTATTTATACATTATGATTTATTATATTAGCCAATTAGACATGGTTATAATAAGAAATATATGTATTTACGATTAACATAATATTGGGTAAGGTTACCTAACACCCATAGCATCTATTAATGTGATATCCTCCGGTTCTATATAAATTGTTATGGTGAGTATAAATAAATTTTGTATGAATTATCTCATCTATTATAATAATCTTCAAAAAAGGTCAATCAAATTTAGCCAATAGTGTTCTTTTAAAAAAAATTAGTCCAATAAAAATGATTATAGGGTAATAGGTCCAATAATAATCATGTAACAACCTTAACATTCATTCAATTTTATAACACATTTTACAATCTTCATAAGGTTACAGAAAACGTTAATTAAGGTTAAATTTTTTATAGATTATATAGTTAACCTACAGATAAAATTGGCTTTAAAGATATTTAATCAAACTGGGTAGAATAAAGGAGAGTTTTAATGTCATAGTATGTCTCTAGGAATTTAGGGGAAAACAATTTTATAAAGTATACTTTGATAAACATTTTGAATATTTTAATTTTGTTAAAACTTAAAAGTGCCCAAAGTGTTTTTATTAATTTGTGAAAATTTTAAGGATTTTTTAAAACATTTTGGATGCAGCTTAAAATAAAATTTTAGTTAATTATTATTCAATAAATTTTTTGGATTTAAAGAAAAGTTCATTTGGTGGAGAATAGAATAATATTAAAAAAAATAAAATTTGGTATTTAATCTATCTCCAGTTTTGAAATGATAATAAAAATGATTATTTTAGAAAGGAACTATTAAATATACACATGTGTTTCATATAAAACCTACACTTATCATAAAAAATTATTTAAATGCTTTTAAGATCTTCATAAATACTCTTTTAAACAAAGACCTCCTATCATATATTTAAATCAAATATGAGGTCAACCTGATTGTGTCACAAACTTAGTGGTGGTATCCATTGGCTATTTGGAGCAAGGATTAAAATACAGAGTCTTAATTTATTAGGTATACATAGCAAATAAGATTGATTGTTAAGGGAGAAGTTAAAAGAGTATTTATGAGGTCTTAAAAGCATTTAAATAATTTTTTATGATAAGTTTGAATTTTATTTCAGTTCTCAACTACCAAAATTATTATGATCTTTCATTGGGCTTGAAATAATTTTTCAAAATTATTATGGCTTTGTACTTTGCCTGGGATATTAAATATTAGGTATAAGTGATCATTAATATTTAATAAATAATATTGGTATTATCAAGTAAAAGCTTTAAATTTATTCTTAATCAAACAATAGTATTTACACTTAGTCTTAATGGATTGAACCCGGCCTGAAGGGGGCAGGAGGTAAAAAGAATAAAAATTGGATATTATTTTCAAATAACAGGTAACATCTAGCATAAAAGTAAGAAGAAAATTCTCATTCCCCGTCATTTTTGACGGGCCATCTACTAGTAATTAATAAAAATAGGAAAAAATACAGAGAATCGAGAAACTAATTGAAATAGAAAAAAATACTAAAATAAATGTTTAGACAAAAATGGTATCAAATGAAGAATAGAAAAATGTTTTTAAAAAAATATCTGACAAAAATTGAGAGTAGGGGAGACTGGGGTTGGTCGGACCGATTTTTTACAAAATCGCCTATAGCTCCAGTGTAATTTTTTATAGATTATATATAATATAAGAATTGATAACCTAAAATTATATTCTATATATGTACATAGAATATCATAAGAATCTATTCCTATTATTGAAATTATGTCCAACAAGCCCCAATAGCAAATGTTAGCCAAGCCCCTTTAAGGGTCTTCCTAAATCCTTAGTTCTTTTAGGCTATGATAAATTGAAATGCATTTTTTATTCATAATGATAAGTATAGAATAATTATAATGTTAATTGTATATAAAAAATTTACTAAATTTTGGTTGACAATAACATAAAAACCCTACAATTAAATTAATAAATAATGCAATTACATTATTTATTATTAATCTTCATCAGCTATCAAAAAATGTACCAAAAATTCTTTCCCATCTCTGATCTTTTTGCAAGGGTTCAGGCATAAGATTGATCCCAAGAGTTTGACGAATAATCTTCTTTCATTTATTTTATTTTTTTCGATTTCAAGAACTTGTTCAAATAAATTTAGTTTTAGAATAATAAATATATTTACAAATGCAAATTACCTTGATATCAATATTCCTCAATTTTTTGAAAGATACAATATGATCCTATACTTAGATAATGGTGATTCTAAATAATATATAATATTATTTATATAAAATATGATTAAAATCATTCCTTAAAATTGTGGATTCACTTTGGCTAGTCTCTATTCGTGAGATTTCAACAGTTATGCAATAATAAAATCTTAATAAAAAAAATAGTATATTTACAATCTTCATATAAATAATTTACATTTCCACACCTTCTCAAACATTGCCCTAGCAATATTTGCTTCAGTAACAAGATATTTACCTTTTATAACAAGTTTGTATACGGTTTCCCTGGCTAGCTGGTTAAAATTAGAAAAGCTAAGTTATGGTACAATTGCCAAGTGGGAATGTACCCACTCTTTAGAAATTTGATCCCTTATAAAGCAATCTCTTATGGGATACTTTATCTTCCGATCGTTAGATTTTTCCATGTTGATTTAGCCATCGCTCTTGCAAAAGAAAAATATTTCAAATTAATACACTCCTTAATTATCTGTTTTGATATTTATTTTCCGCTACAATGGATTTCCATATTTTTCTGAATATTTTTATACCCTATGAATTTTTTTTGGTACCTTACCTTATTGAATTAATTAAAGCTTCTTTATTGATTATCTATAACAAATAATTTTTTTTAAATATTTGAAAATATATAATTATTATTTTAATAACATTTCAAAAATTCACTTTACAAAATATCTGTTATAGGTCATTATTGTAGTTATGTCATTTTGAAAATAACAAAAGATTTTGTAATTTGATTTCTGTTTTATGTGACAAATTTGGCAAGATTGTCATGTCCTGTCACAAAGGCTCCTCAATGAATAGTCATTGGTATTTACACATATAGGTATTTTGTCATGCAGTCACTCTCTAGTGTGTATTCGCTCTTATGTAATCCAGCTTCAACAAAGGCTAATATCTTTGTGAAAAAAATTTTTTCTACTGTTTTTTTTTCTTGCAAATATTACACTTTCTATCTTGTAATATCTCGTAAAGTTTACATTAGGAATTTAAATATAAACAAGCCAAATAAAATATTTAAGATTATATTAATTATAACTTGATTAACTATTACAATAATATTATACTTCCATTATAAGTTAAAATTTAAGAACATAAAAATTTAGAAATAACATTTAGAAATAATGTATAAATTATATTTTAATTTCTTCACAATTACCATTTTAATTTTTTATTTACATAAGCTGATATTGCTAAAATTTGATTATATTGTTTAAAAATTACATAAAATGATTGTGATTATATCTATCTTAAAAATAATTACTATTCAAAATCCGTTTTTGCAGACATAAACATTGTATACATTATTAGAAAAGGTAAAATAGAAAAGACCAATCGCATTCACCTCAAAAGCGATAAATTTAGCAGGAAATCTTTTATAGTTAAATAGAAAGAGAAGCTCTGCCATTATATTTGGGATTATAAAATTCAGGGAATTTTTAAAAAAAAGTTTCCGCTACAAACAGACCACAAGCTATTAATGAGTTTATTTTATACCAAATTATATACCGTTAACATTCACTACCAGAATATAAAGGTGGGCTTGATTATTACAAAGATATCAATATAAAATTGAATTCAAAAGTAGCAGCCAAAGAGCTAATCTGACATGCTTTCTATATTTATCCATACAAGTGAACACAATATTAAAGGATAAACTCTAGATCAAATACAGGTTTGGGAACAAACTCCTTTGAGTGCAAACAAAATTGAAAAATAATAATAATGCAAAATGATGTACTCTCTACATGCCTACCAAAGAAGAGACGAAGTCATAAAAGGTAGAGGTTATTTACAATGGAGAATTAAAATGAAAATTACAATACCAAACCTACTTGTTTAGATATGAAACATCAAGAACATATTGGAATTGTAAGAATGAAGGAACAAGAGAATACATGTGATGGCCTAATATAAACAAAGATATAAACATGGGTGAAAAAATGTAACGATTGCCAGGAACAACAGGATATGCCTCTAAAAAAATCGATTCAAAATTGTCCCCAAACAAATTAAATGGACGACACCGAATGCATATCGATTATGCGACACCATTCAAAACCATTATTGGTTGGTAGTGATATAGATTCATAAATAGTTCACTCTAAAATACGGTTCCATCAGTATCTTAAATAACTGGAAATATAAACTATAACAAGAAATAATGTAATTTAAAAAAATTCGGCTTATTCTTATTATGAAAAAACGCTATAATATCATGCTTAAACAAAATTAAATACAAGATGACGCAAATTCGAAACGATTATTATATCATAATTATGCAAAAATATCTTTGAAAGTTTATTCGATATAATTATAAGTTCACAAAGCAAATTTCAAAGAAATAAAAATATAATGCAAGGCCATTTTATCTTTATTAAATATTATATAGATTTATTGTTACCCTTCCCGTGTTAATCAATTGTGAATAAAATATATACCATATAATCCATGATAATAATGGAACAATAAATAGCTAAAAATGTATATACAATATAATACCATAAAATATAATTAATATAAATAGATTAATCAATTGTGAATAAGTACCATATAATCCATGATAATAATGGAACAATAAATGGCTAAAAATGTATATACAACCGTAAAATACAATTAATATAAATAGATTAATCAATTGTGAATAAAATATGTACCATATAATCCATGATAATAATGGAACAATAAATGGCTAAAAATGTATATACAATATAATACCGTAAAATTTAATTAATATAAATAGATTAATCAATTGTGAATAAAATATGTACCATATAAACCATGATAATAATGTAACAATAAATGGCTAAAAATGTATATACAATATAATACCGTAAAATAAAATTAATATAAATAGATTATTAAAAAATTTTGAATGCAAGATTATTATAATTGTGATAAATAATGAAATTATAAATTAAGGAGAAATTTAAAAAAAAGAAATTTAGAAAGGGATGTGTCAATTTTTCTTATGAATGTTTAATAAGATTTTATGGGTTTTTCTCTTCTCGGTATTTAATAATAATAATTTTTCACAAATAAATGGTAACACTATATTTATTATTTATGGTAATATATGATATAATGTTTTAAAATGTCATCGATAATTAAATATGGCCTAAGTTGAGATGATAGTAGATATTTTCCAGTGGCTTGACTGAATTCTAAGAAATTCTATTTCTTAAGACAAAATTTAAAAAATGCAAATTGAAATATTTAAAATATAGTTTTTAATTATTTTTAATTATGTAGTATATCGAATGAAGATTTAAGTGTACCTTTAAATATAATATAAATGTTTTAAACAATTGGTAATCCAATTTAAAGTCATTATATATATGTATTACTGTTGTAAATGATAAGTTTATAATTTTAAAGCTCTGATTAAAGCGCTCAGAATTTTTTCTAAGAAACCAAAGGCTAGATCATCAGAGACTTCGATACCTGCTGAAAGCTGAGAAATACTATATAATTGTTTAAAACTATTTTTATTTTTATATAAAAATAACGAGATCGGAAAAAATGAATTGATAAGAATAGTATATGAAGCGCCTAGAATTTAATTATCTAATTAGAAATAATGATAAGAACCGTTAATTAAAGATCCAAAAAATATATATTTAAAAATGATACTTTTTTTGCCTTAATTTTAAATAGAATTATAATATATTTTTTTTATAGAAATATGCCACTTTTTTGTTTCTGTGAATGTTGGCAAATCTTCTGAAAAGATGTTAATTCTATAAAAAAAAAAAAATGTTTCAAGATCAAAATCATTAAAGATTGTTTTTTATTTTTAGGAAATGTTAAACTCTCGCTGCAGGAAAATGTTTTCCAGGACGGCTTCTACTGGTAAATAAATAAACATGTTTCATTTTTTTGTGCTATTTCAGGAATCCAATTCCTGAGAGAGAAATAACGTTATCTGACAAATAATCTTTCGTCTAAAATCAGTCTCCAAAATGGGTGATTCAGAAAGTTTAATTTTTTTCATTTAAATCGACATATTTTACTCGAAAGATCTAAAGAAATGATTAGGATAAAGCACTAAAAGATCATTTTATCATTTTTTTTATTAGGGTTTCCCATGTAATTATATCAGTTGGATCTAATTGGGATAGGTTCTTAAATAGCTAAAACTAAAAATTGCAGAAAATTAGAAATTTCTCTTTATATTTCTTAGTAAAACATTTAAAATAAAATTCGAAATTAATTATGCTAAAGCGTAAACACTTATATTTGAGTTAATTTATCTGGAAAAAATAACTAAAATAAAATAGTTGAAAATATTATCATTGCTCACAATGTGATATCATAAAATTTGGGAATAAGGTATTCACAATTTTTAGCTTGTTTTAGAGATTTTAGAAACGGGAACAGATATCAATATTAAAATATTAGAGCAAATTTAAGACCTAACCATTTTTACATAATGATAGAGATAAAACACTGGTCAAATTAACTTTTTACTATCATTTTATACACACGTGTATTATGATTAGAAAATATTTCAAAAAATTGTGAGATTAAAATTCAGTTTTAAAATTATTTAGCTTCTATTAATTTCAAAATTCTGAGCAAAATCTAAGTGTTTTAGACTAGTGGAATATTTGCCAAATTGACATCTCAAAATTGATAATATAAATTGACAAAATGCTAATTTAAATTTAAACTTACCGGCATATACAACAAACGTAATCATACGATTGGCAATATCTTGTGCAGAATATTTTCTGACCTTAAAGCATTAGAAAATTTAGAAAATATATTTTTTTTTACTTTCAAATATATATATATATATAAATAATACGTTTACCGTTTGCTCTGATAAAAAGGAGATGGGCCCTTACAATGTTACTGAATGGACTATCTTTTTTTAAAAAAATAAAAATTATTATTAAGATTTTTATGGATATATGTAATATTTATGTGTATTTACAATGAGAATAGCATCCGTTGGATTGTTGTGTATTTAAGTAGATTATAACTATAAAAATATACAGAAATACTATTAAAGAAAACGTTTTTTTATACATAATTAATTTTAATGTGAAAAATAATTAATTTTTACTTTATTTAAAAATAATATAATAGAAAATAATTAAACAATTAATAAATGGCATGGCCAATTGGAAAATTATTTTATTTAAAATATTTAACATTATATGATGATAATTAATGTTATTATATATAATTTTTTTTGAAATTTATTTTATAATTATAAAAAAAAAAATTTAGAATAATATGTGTAATCCTTGTTACCATTTTATTATTACTTTAACATGTATCTCATTTTTGTAGGATACCATCTCTGTCAGTAATAATGTTGTTAAACTGCTCGTTTTGAGCCGATTAAAATGGCTTACTCAGTATGCCATCCAGAAAAACATTACGCCTGAAGATTTTGCTCACAGCAGGAACAAAGATCTAAGAATATATTATCGAAATCTCCAAGCTTAGCCACTCTTTTTCTGGCTAAAAATATTGATTTAGCCGTTTTTAAAAATCGGCTCAAAACGAGGCCTTTAACAACACTAGTTAGTACATTACGACTTTTAAAATAAAATTAAACTATATAATGATATAGACACATCTAGTAACTTCTGACAAAACTTGTTCTGGGAAAGTCGAATTTTATTTTGTTGTGGTTCATTAAATAATTTAAATATTATTTTAAATTTTTTTTTTCGGGAGGTGTGTCGCATTTTATTTTATGTCACATTTTGTGACATAAATTTTTATTATTTTTTATAATCATTTCATTGTAAAAAAAAATAAAAAATTTTGATAGTAGAGAGAGACAAAATATTTTAATATTCATAAAAAAGATGATATATTTTTTTTTTGGCATAATTAATGAGATAATATAAATTTCCTTAAACTTTCGTCTTTTAAACTTAATTTTTTTCAGCAATAAATATATCCCTCTTGTGTTAAAAATATAGTAATTTTATTCTTATGATATAGTTATGAAATATTTTGGAAAGAATTTGCCTTTTTATCTAATGAAATATATGAAATCTAAGTTATACATTTATTTCAAATTCAGCTTATTTGATAATTTTTTAAATAAATAATCATAATGACGCAATATCATTTTTTAAATATTGTCATCTCTGGTCTATATTATATACAAATAGACATTTTCAATTTGTTTCATATATGTATGTTATCCCCTATGTGTTTTTTCAGGCGATGAGTTATTTTTTCAACTTTAAATTCATTTTTTGTGGATTTTAAAAAAAATAATTAAAAATCTGATTTTACAGGAAATGTGTGCCTTCATGTTTGGAATACTAAGCATTATTATGTTTTTAGATAAGAATGCATTCTTTTCTTACTTGATTAATCATATGTCAATATATCGTCGATCTAGAATTCCACTCGACATTTTAAAATTTTTGAGTTAGAGAGAAGATAATAACTTATTTATTCCCAATATATATATATAAATCAAAATTAGATTTATAAAATATTAATTTTTGCACAAAGTTATTGTCAAAATTGATCAATAAGTTTTTCCTAGACTTTAAACTTTAATATTGATTTTCTCATTTTAAACATTTGTGCACCAATTCTAGGCCGACGATATAAAATCGGACTTTAATTGCATATATTGTCAGAGCATATATTCTCTGATATGCAACAATTATCAATTATAAGTACCTAGAATAAGGTCTGAAGCTTTCCTTATTTATATCATCAGTTAACTGTCTGAGAGTTCATAGTAATTAAGTTGTTAAATAATAGAAAAGGATATACAAAATTTATGAATACATAAAATGATATTATGAGTATCCCGATATTTATTAACTTTTATCATAATGTAAATATAAAGTAAAAATATAAAACCCTTTTTATTATTTTCTTAGTTTTCGATCTTAGCTAAAACCATGTGTTTCCATCATTGTATAACATAATTATAGAATAGAGATGTTATTCTGATTATTATTATTATAACAGTATATAATGTATATTTTTGTAAAAAATTTTTAATTTCTATGCCTAATTTTGTTTATTGAAATATAAAAAGTGTAATACCATAACCACATCCTGATATAATTAATAAGCAGGGGCGTTCACTACTCTTTAGAATCTCAGGGAGTTCATCTTTAATTATATTCTATATGATTGAATTATTTATGCAATATGTATCTATAAGATATACAATATGCTCTTAAGAAAGACTGACTATTACTTTACGGTATATGTGCATATAAGTTCATTCTTTATTTATAAAATTAAATTAGTGGCATGCTTAAAATTTTAATTTCTTTTCTTACGTGTTTTGGGTATTTAGCAGATTCTTAAAAAGCCAACTATATATCACGCTAATAAAGCGTTAAGCTAAACCTAGGAAATAAGCCTAATAATTTTATATATTACATTTAACTTTACCATCCAGAAATTTAAATAAATATTTATAGATTTATGAATAACGAGGTAATATATAAATTGAATTTATATAAGCAATACGCGATATACCTATACTAATATTGCAAAAATCACTAAATTAATTATATACATAATAATTAAACGATTATAATAAATGTTCACTACTATTGAACTAAAATGATGTGCTCCTATTTATTACGTTATTGCACAAACTCCTCCGTCTCCTGTAGACTACTAGGTTTCTAACACAGAGGAAATGGTCATTGTTTAATATGGCCTACTTAACTTTGCTGTGAAAAATAATTTTTAAGCTAAATAGAAGAGGAAATCAAGGTTATTTCACACAAATATTTAATCGTAATTAAGATATCCTTTAATATATTTATAGTAATGAGGTTTCTGAGCCATTCAAGATGATTCAGTGGTTGTGTTCGTTTATTCTACTGGCGAAGATTTCGTGCAAACATTTTCCCCTTTTCCAAAAAAATTTTTTTTTTGAATCTCATAACAACCCCCCCCCCTCTCATTCTAGGCTTTTGATTAATATTATCTTTTTCTATTAAACCTCTACCATTTTTAATTAAACCATTTTTCATAAAATATTTTTTATAGAAACTTTTCCTTTGATTTAAAATATTTTCAAAATTGATTTAAATCATTTCCTAATTTTGAATGAATATTAATGTTTTATTAGAAGAAAAATGAAAACTTTATATATTATAAAATATTTGGCTGAAATAAATCTTGATAAATTATAGTTAGATGTATTTTTGGTTAGTATTTATTAACACGATCCAAAATTCAGTCCTATTAAAACTTATATATATGATTTTAATTCAATAAACTTCTTATTAAACGTTTCTTTTTAATTAAATTTACAAATTTTTCAAATATTTATATTTAACTGAAAACTTTAATCATCTAATAAATTTAGTGCTTCCTGTGCTAAACATGCTTAATTCAATATAAATTTAACCGAAATATCTAATTAATCTTATTCTTTTAAAACCACTCAAAACATGGTCAGATTATTTCTATTGTTTATACTGAGTGTACTGAACCTTTATTTAAGTAGATATAAGAGAAATATTATTTATGACAAAAACTAATTTAATATCATTTATTTAATGTTATTGTAAACTTTGAGATATTATTCTCAAGGTCAAAATAAAACATTTTTGGGGAAAAAAAAATAAAAATATGCTAAATATTTATTAAATATGCTTCTTAAAAAATTTTTATTTTTCTTCTGGCAGTTGAAGCTGCTTGTATATTTTTTTATATATAAAATATAAATCGATAATATTTTATTTTCTAGATGGAGTTATTAATTAAATCAAAATTTTCCAATATTAAATTTAAAACAATTTATAAAAAAAAAATATAAAATACTCAAATGCAAATTGATTTAGTTAAACTTTTGGCACTCATATAGCAGTGCGGAGAAATACGTTCCTTCTTAAGATCTCAAAGGTGATCTTTACAAAATAGACATTTATGTTAAATCGCTATTTTCAAATTTTTACTAATTTTTTTTTAAAGTTGTGTCAAATACATATTTCAAACATATTTAATTAATATTAAAGCCAAGATGAACCTAATAATTATTTTTAAACCCTTTTTGTAGAATAAAAAAAATATATATTGAAACATGATAGTTGTCACTATTTGTCATTGAAAAAATTTTTCAAATTATTTTTAATAAAAATAATGGTAATGAGTAACATTGAAACCCAAATGGCTAAAAAAACTGCTATGAATTGGCGCTGGATATAAAGATTAAACCTCAACCTTCCTATTATTTTTAGATGACGAAGGAGACGAGCCTATAAAGGTTATAGCATCTATGAGGATTATGACCAAATCACTAACAGCGCAGATACAAATAGATGTTGGAGATGACCCAATAATAATTGCCAATATGATATCTAGGAGAATCACACTATACAACGCGTCTGTCAAGACCTCATCCGCGTAGAAGTCCAACAGTGAGTGTGAGTCCACTGGAAAATTCTACAAGCTCACCTAATTTTTGATTCCCAATACAAATAATATAAGGTTATCAGCCTCCATCCTCGCTACACTCATCACATTCTACTATCACCAAAAAGTTCAATTATCAAGCCTAAAACACTCTTCCTGATTCGCAAAAGAGACGACACACCTCGGATGATCAAGAATTTCTAGGAAGTTTCAAAAAAATTTATTCTATGCCCCTTCAAACTCAAGATTTTATAATTATCCCGATGCTAGCGACGGCAACGAAAACAGATAAGATTGAACTCAAGCCTGCTTTCTTATAGGTCCCTTTAGCACATTTTTGGTTTGTCATGTGAAATACTAAAATAGCCATAATGCATTACCTTAGACACTAATTATTAGCCATCCTACTAAATATCATTCTCGACTTTGATCTAAATTAGTCAAAATTACGCATTATTCATTCTTGAACGTCATTATCAATTTTTCCATCACAACTTACATACCACCCTTCAGAAATGGTTCCTGCGTCAATTATTATTAGAACTCAACTATTCTCAGGAGTACAAAATATAACTAAATAAATTTTGGTGTTATAATTTTTTTTTATCTATATACCATGTTTAAGTCTGAAATATGTATGTTATGCAATTATAAACTCTAAAATTTTAATTAATTCCAATAAAAAAAAACAATACGAAGTTTATTTGAAGTGGCCCTAAGAACAAACAAATAACCTTAAAAATATATTTTAAAAATAATTTTGTTTTTTTAAGGAAGGAAGGAAGGAAGGAAGGAAGGAAGGAAGGAAGGAAGGAAGGAAGGAAGGAAGAAAGAAAGAAAGAAAGAAAGAAAGAAAGAAAGAAAGAAAGAAAGAAAGAAAGAAAGAAAGAAAGAAAGAAAGAAAGAAAGAAAGAAAGAAAGAAAGAAAGAAAGTAAAAAAGATGAGACAAGTTATTTTTTTAATAAAAATGAAGAGCTTTTCCAATAAATTAAAATTTGGCATAAATATTTAAGACAGTTTTAAGTAAATAAATATTATGTTTTTCTGATTAAAATATATTGTTATCAAAATTTTATCACGTATCTCATAATTTTGTTAATATTTCTAAATTAATCATTTCTATATTTAGCCTATTTTTTCTAAAAATAGTATATAAAAGCGAAGATTTTCTTAACATAATTGCAATAAAAAATGGAAACAAATTTCTATCTTGTAGGACTTTTATATACTTTGATTATTATAATGATCATGAGTCACTGGAACGAGGGATGCCCTAACTATATCTGTAATTTTGTGGGATTAAATCATATATTCCATCATTTTTTATTTTTTGTAAAGATGATCCACAAAGCAAAGAACTACAAAGACAGCTCAGTTATTTAAAAAAATTTGGTAAAATCTTTATATCAATTTACAAATTTCATGTTTAATAAAATTTAAGACTTAAAAAAAGAGTTTTATATAGTTTTTATAAGAATTATAATATTTATATTATATTTATTAACTTGTGTTATAAGATAAGACCACATTTTGCCACGATTATTGCACCTCAAATGAGTATTTATGCTGTATGTGTTGAATTTGCCAACTCTGCTAAGGGTGCTATCGAATTTATTTCAAGATATACACTATTTTATTATATTAAAAAATAAATGAATTTGGGGATTTATGAAAGAAAAATTTATTTGTAAAAATTTAAACCCATTTGTATTATATTAATTTTTGTAAGGATTGTAAAATAGTTGAAATAGTGAAATATTAAATTGTACAATTATTTTCATATAAAAATGTGTTAATTTTTTCAAAATATTAGAAATAGAAAGCCTAAACAACAGGAAGAGCATGAAATATAATAAGCATCTTTGTTAGCCTAGGTATACCATTATATGTATATTTGTTTATTTAAAATAATCAAAAATACATAACTACCTTAATTTTTTTTATTCCTTGATTTTATTTTAAGTATGCTATAGAAATATCCTTTAACATAATAGTATAGAAGCGAGTTTATATAATAAATATATTTCTATATATAAATATATTGTTTCTTATAGTTTTTTCCACTGTAGTAAACTAGTTCAATTGCATTTTAGAATACCAAAAAACAAAGAAATAATATACAACTTTCAAAAAATATAATTTGTTAGTTAGATGAGAAAAAAAAATCGATTACGTGATAAGTGATATTAAGCGCACTATCCCTAAAATGTCATATATATCAAAGATATATATACAACAGAGAAACGCTTGGTTCTCTCGTAAGAGTCCATCTAACTGGGATAAAAGAATGGGAAATAATTAAATAAATAAGAGGACCATCCATGTTTTTTGGACAGGCCGTAGTTACCTGTGCGCGCAAGAGGCAAAGCCTCTTACTTAAAGGCCCATGGGAAGATAAAAAGAGAGATAAAAATCCAATGCCCGATTAAAAATAAAACTTGATTACGGAAGGATAATATTGGCAATATTAATTTTATTTAAAATAATATTGAGAAGTAATGAATTATTTAAAATAATATTGAGAAGTAAATAATAAAACTCGGCTTAAATAAATATAATAACATAATATATTAAAAATAAGGTTCAAAAACTTACGTTTAGCAGCGATAAATTGAATAACCATCCAATGAGTGTATATCAGGTTTAGGAATATAAAGGTTACGTAGTAAATTCTTAGAATGAGCTTGAAAATGGTAAAAGAGGAAAAGGAAATTACTGAAACCTCCCATAGGGATGGAATGATTAAATAAGAAAAACTATCGATCTATAAGGTAGTTGGTTTTCATTTTAAGTAGTTTATTAATTAAACTTTTATTATTATTCAAATGTGTAAATTGAGTTAGACTTATATTCAAATTTATAATGTCGAATACAGTTTTATTTAGCCAGTACGTTTTATAATTACAATATCTTTTGTTTTTATAAATTGGTAGCCAGTCAAGGGCTTCATAGGCCAAATTATTTCCGGTGTTTCTCAGAATATGCTCAAATAATTGAATTATTTCTTCAGTTGTACTGCGACTGGAGTATGTTTGGATATTTTCCATAGGCTAACATTTGTGATGACTATAGGATATATATATCCATTAATAAGTCTTAGACATCTATTGATACTTGAAGTTTTTTAGTCTGAGTTTTTCCAGATATCGCTTCCATATAAAAGAATGGGGATAATCAACGAATTGAACAACTGTAGTCTACTTTTGACTGATATTTCTCTTGTTATCCATAATTTAAAATATATGTAGAATAAGTAATCTTTTTCATTTACCAAATTTTATCGTCTACGAAAAAGTAAGTGGTTGATTTGAATGACTTTTTTGTTGTTGTTTGGATTTGGTACTTTGAAATAGTGTTGTTAATCGACTCGTTTTGGCCGATTTTTAAAAACGGCTAGCTCAATATTTTAGCCTTAAAAACATAGCCGTAAACCTTGATATTTTCGCTAATATATGTCCTAACCTTGGTTCCTTCTACAAGCAAAATCTTTAGGCATGCGTGATATTATTCTGGATGAAATATTAAGTTAGCCGTTTAACAACACTACTTTTAAACCCTTTATTAATTGTAAAAGGAGGAGTTAATACAGAAGGTAAATTCAATACGATCTTAGCATTTATTGACTGTAAATTCAATAAGATCTTAGCATTTATTGACTCAGGTCAGATAAGATATCTTATCGATCCCAACCATTACAAAGTTCTTACTCAAGCTTTAAAACTGTTTATGATGCCTATCTTACTAATAGAAGAGTTAAATATGCAACTTGTGTTGGATCCTTATTTTCTTAAGGGAATACATCACTAAGAAGAAAAAAATAATTACTTGTTGCGAGTGAATATTATTTATTTTAAGTTTAAAATTTCCCATATTATTGAGAATTATAGAAATTGTATTTTTGTTAGTTATACATGAAATTTATTATAGAAATCGATTTGAATTATATGAATGAGATTAGAAGAATTAAATACGATTCTACCAAGTGTTTTCTTAAGATATTTTTTGGTATGCAAATAATATATTCAGGTTTATATTATAATGCAAAATCATTTTGGAGATTCTGTACTTTTATAAAAAAAATTTTTGGCAATTTTATTTTTTAATTTTCTCTTCTTTATACTTTTGGGAGTTTTCACTTTCTAATTTTTTAAAAGAAATATTTAAATAAGACTAATGATGAGTAGCTTTGCGTAATATGCAAGAGGGCATATTCAAAGAGAAAGAAAAGTGAAGAATTAAATGCCTGCAATTTGAAAAATGAGCTCATAATCAATGTACGAATGGCAATGTTTTATTTGTTTGTTTTGTATGTAAATAAAGTTACTAAAATTGTATGGCTTTCATTAGAGTTGGTGTATTAAACATTATGTACATATAGTTTTAATAATTTATAAAAATGCTTAAGTAGATAGTAAGTGATTAATTTTTCAAATAAGAAATGTTTAACAAAAAATATATTATTTAAATATATGACGATAAATTTTATATGTTTAATACTAATTAAATTAACAGAGTTGTTAACGCTCCTTTTTAAAAATAGCTAGCTCCCGCTCTCGCTACTATCATTTTTAAAAGGAGCTAGCTCCCGCCTCCCACTCCATGTAATGGAGTGCCACACCATAAAATATTTTTTATATGATGGAAATGGAAATTCGATTTCTTCATCTATGATATCATAAATCCATAATATCTAAAACTATTTTTTATTATATGTCTATATAACGACATATTAATATGACTTCCAAGATTTTTCAAAAAAATTTCTAATCTTAAAAGGAAAACTTGATGTTTAAAATTTAAAATGATGAGATGAAAAACCATTATAAAACTCGGCTAAACACTTAATAATGGATAAATTTAAATTAAATTAAATTTCATTTTTATTAAATTTAATTATTAAATATTATTAATATTTAATAAAATATTTTAATTTATACATTAAATTTAAAGAAGCGGTGGAGCGGCGCTCCTCTACTCCAGCCCTAAAAGGAGCTAGCTCCGGTTCCCCAATTTTGTTCTTGAAAAAATGTACCTTAACAACTCTGTAAATTAGTATATAATTGTATATACCTAAAAAATGGAAGAGGCATGCAAGATAGGTCTATTGCGAGTATTTCATATTGTAATATTTGAAAAATTATTAAATAATATATTATGGCCAGTTGACACACTGTTTAGGCTCAGTCAATATACACTATGTTTTGATTGGCCAGAAAAACAACTTTCACATTACCTCATCTAACTCATAAACTGGTATGATTAGATAATGCATTTCTAAAAAAGCAAATAAATCATAATCAATCAAATTATTTGATTATATAATCATTTTTTTTTTAAAAAATAATTATTAATTCCATTTTTTACTTATAATATTATTGGAAAATAAATTATTTACATAAATTATTACAACTCAAATTTTATCATTTTATTTTGTAAAATTTAACAAATATATATCCATAAGAGGGCGTTAAATGCATAAATATTAAAAAAAATATTTTCTTAGGAAACCAGAATAAATATTGGATAGCGCTTCTTTTTTTTATATTTGGATGTTGTGAAAAACCTAAAAAAAATTTTAAACAAATAGGTTTCTTTGACATTTAATTAATGAACAGGTGTAGAATCTAAAAATAATATAAAACTTGTAAGGCACACAATGATATTAATACTATAGACTGCCGATTAATGTATTCGGAGTGGCAAAAATTGAATTGAGTAGCAGCCATTTTGTGTTTGGAGCTAAGAAAGAAACGTATTATAATTTCACGAATTTCAGGATTATTTTTGTTATATATTATATTTATGATCTTATTTTTTTACTAGATGAATAAAAAAACATTTTAAGAGCAAGTAATTTAGAGTTATACTGTTTAGATTATTGTCTAATGAAAATTTTTAAGATTTATTTAGAGTAATCAAGTTAGAATAAATACTCTTTATAGTATTAAGATTATAATTAAATATTTTCTGGTCTTTATTAACATTTAGCAGAGAAAGTAAAGGATATGTTTAATACTTAATGAATATTATTAAGATTTATTTAGACTAAGCAAGTTAGAATATATACCTTTTGATGAGAATATAATTAAACATTTATGCTCTTTATTAACATTTGCAGTTTATAACTTAATGAATATCTTTAATATTTTATATAGACTAATCAATATAAAAGAAAATCTCTATAGTAATAATGAATATAGTTTAAAATTTTGTCATTTCCAGAGAAGTAAAGATTTATTGTTTTCTTTAATACTTCATGAATATCTTTAAGATTTTTCAAATATATTTAGACTTATCAAGTTAGAATGAATATTTTTTATAAAAATTAATTTAATATTTTGAGGAAAGATATTTTTTGATTTGAAATCTATTGTAGTAAATTGTAGTGCAAATGGCTGTAACCAAATTAAATATTAGACAAAAACTTAACAAAGCAGTACTTTTTCAAGGGCAAGTATATAAAAATATGTGATTTAACTTAAATATTTATAGGTGAAGGAAAAATTAATGTGAAAATTTCTACGAAAATAAACTTTGAACTTTATACCTTTATTATGATTTTAATCCATTATATGTTAAAATTTAAGAACATAAAAATTTAGAAATAACATTTAGAAATAATATATAAATTATATTTTAATTTCTTCACCATTGGCATTTCGATTTTTATTTACATAATCTATGTATTGCTAAAATTTGAATATTGTATGAAAATACATAAAATTAT